TATATAAAATTATATATAATATAACCCTCCCATGGGGTACACCTTGTCGTGGTGGGAGGGCTTAGTACTTGGATGGTGCCTTGAGATTTATTTTAAATTTTTCTTTTTACGATAAATCTTATGGTACCTAAAAGGGAAGCTAAGTACCCTTTCGCGTCGTCGGTGCCGTCAACGTGCCGCGGACGGCTGCGCTTCGTAACCGCGTTTTCGCGTTATAGTATTATCGCGTTATCGCGTTTTCGCGTTTTCAAAATCCCAATTTCGTTTTTATCAACGAGTCTCTCCTTCCGACGCCAACTAACTGGGATGTTTCATCGAGTCGTTGCTTTGCGACGTACTCGCGCCTTGTGCAACGTGGCACTTGGTGATGCCGGCCGCGCAGAACGTATGTCCAGTACAAAATGTACATGGGCGCGCGGGTTCGATGCTTCGCGCTCGATCGGCTTAGTGATGAACACGCTCTGCTTCGTCAATTGATTTGGCCCGAATCGGTTAGAACTCGATCGATTGTTCGAAATGGTCGTCAATGGGTCCCTTCTCTTTGCTCGTCTACTCTACAGCCATACGCCTAGCGTGTGTTAACCCTGTCGAGGAGTCGAGTGGATTCCCCTAGGCACGATTTTCGCTCGGTAAAAGGGGTTGCCTCCCCATTTTCTAAATTGCTGAATGTTAGCTTTTAAAAAATGTGGGTATCCTCTTCTTTTACCGTCTATCAGCCTTGTGTACTGCGCTAGTGATATAGCATCCGTGCGGGTCACTTGAAATCGTGCTTAGCGGGTCCAGGTTCGATATGAGATAGGATAATTATGCGCGAAAAAGAGCTGGTGAACTTTATTTTCCTCTATTCCGTCAATCGTTTCGTCTTCTTTCCGGTTCGGGCCTAATCTTTGCTCGTTGTATCGTTGCATTCCCGACCTGTTGGCTCGAAATTGATTCTCGCGAAATGAAATGGGATTTTCGCTCGTACCGAAACCGGGAGTGTCGGACAAAGTATATATATATTAAATATATACATCGCGCGACAAAATTTTTAATCGTACCGAATTAGTGCGGGAGTGCCGTTTAGTATCGCGCGTAAAATAACGAAAATAGCGATATAAAAATATCGCTCGTGTGTGCGGGAGTGCCGTTGAAAGTATCGCGCGTCAACAACATGAGAGGAGGAGGAGGCCTGGGAGAGGCATCTTGCATCGGCGGAGCAACCTGATGGTGAATATTTATTATTTGTATATCAATTGTTATAAATCGTACGCATAATAATTCGATCTTATTATTTAAATGAATTAAAGAGAAAATTAGAGAGAAAGATTTTTATAAAAGTTATATAAAACTTTTTAAAAAACTTTCTTAAAACACAGTTTTAAAATTTTATAAAAATTTTCCACACGTGTTTATCTCTGCTTATTATTTTACACATCGGATATAAAATTTTCGCGCGATAAAAATTTTTTGAAATATTGATTGCATTTTGTGAGCATTAATATAAATGAATTTTATATTTGTATGTTACAGACAACTAGCTTCGATAACAACAACTCCGCTGTTGCGCATCAGTGCCGGTGAGTGAGAAAAACTTTTATTTAACTTTAAGGTAACGGATTCGTAGAGATTGTAGATGTAGATTGTAGATTGTAGATTGTAGATTGTAGATTGTAGATTGTAGATTGTAGATTGTGAATTGTAGAGTAAGTCCGTTGCCTTAAAATGGATGAGCTAGGATAGATTAAATTAAATAACTTTTAATAAATTCTTTCGAAATGCTTTGCATCTATTGCGAAAATATATTGAAGTATTAATTTAAAAAAGAGAATCAAGAAAAGAAAACTTTTTTTGCAAAGACTTGACTAGTTTATTAAATCAAGAGCACGCATTAATAATTTTAACAATTTTATCAATTTTTGATACTACTTTATTCTTATAACGCGCACTTATTTTATTCTAATTTCTTATATCATAGCTCATCCATTGTAGAATTTGTTTGTAGATATTGTTTTTAAATTTTACTTTAACTTAAAATAAAGCCAAACGATTAATTAATTAAATAATTTGTAATATCATAAAAGTTATACACGTACATGAATTTTATATTTTATTAGAAAATATAGTATATAGAAATTTGTAGTAATTTGGCTTTATTTGCGTTAAAATAAAGTTATATTCAAATATTTAAGAAACGATCGTAAAATCGAGCGATCGTTACGATGAGCGTGAAATATTTACGCTCATTTGCCGGTAATTAATCGGCAAAAGAAGGAGTGTTTATCTCCTTTTTCGATCTCTGATTAGAGATCGAGCGAGAAAGTGGCCAGAATCAACGAAAAGTAAGTTCAATTGGCCTGAAGAAAAGCTTTACGTACAATAGTACGTAATGTCGGACATTTATTCACGCGGTTAGGGCATGCGGTTAGAGAATGTAATTAGGGCACGTAATTAAAATATGCGTGATTAGAGATAGGCTTTCCTCGAATAATTTCACTTAATCGAGAAATAGGATTGTTAGGGCTATTAGGTGATCATTAGGTTTTTTTCCTTTCAAATTCCTTTCTATTATGTCATGCTATTAGGTCATCATTAGGTTTTTTTCCTTTCAATTTTCCTTTCAAAAAGTAGAAGATTGTTAGTGCTATTATGTGATTAATTTATCTGATTTTATATTATGTATCTTTTAAGGAATCAGGAAATGTAAGTTTAAATAATATTAGGGAAAACAAATTAATAAATATTTCAATAAATATATTATTAATATTAAGAATTTTTAAGGGATCAATATTTTTTGAGTATTTTTGATAGGTATTTTATTTATATAAGGATGAAAATTAAATTGTTAACACTCAATAATTTGTATAGTAATACGAATTCTTTTGCGAAATTTTATGTACTTATGTAATACGAAATTTATGTACTTTTATGTAATACGAAATTTTATATGAAAAATTTTAAATATAAATTTATATATTAAGCTATTTTTTAGTAATATGAATAACAAATTTTGTATATTTATGAATTTATAAGTTATTTTTAAATATAGAAATTGAAAGATTTAATATAGAATTAAGAATGATATTAAAGAATAGATATTAAAGAATGAATAGAATTTATAGGAAAAGATTTATTATTAAAATTTCAAAAAAAATTTTAATCTAAATAATATTTTTAAATAATATCTTTTCGAAAATTTATATATTCATTTATTTATATATTTATGGTTTTAATTTAAATAATAATTTTTACAAAATTTATATATTTATATACTTATATATACATTTAATGTTTTAGTTTAAATAATAATTTTTATATAAAATTTATATGTTTATTTTCTTATATATAGATATTTGTGCATTTATGTATTTATATGTTTATTTTCTTATATATAGATATTTGTGCATTTATGTATTTAAAATTTTAATTTAAATAATAATTTTTATAAAATTTATATATTTATATATATTTTGAGATATATATAATTTCATTAATTTTATTTATATAAATTTATCTAAACAGCTTATATTATTAAAGTTTAATATCGAAGATATTAAGAAAATTATTGTTTTCAGATATTTGTGAATATATATTGAATGTATATAATATTGAATATAGTGAATATTATGAACATATAATAGGATAGTAGTTTGTTAGGGCTACTCCATATAATGCTCCTTATGCACATGGTTCCGGTGACTTGCGCGTTGCAAGACTAAGGAAAGGCGCGTGGGGTTTTTAGTTGGTAGTCCCTGCCGTTAATATGGCGGCGGGGAGAGCCCAACACTACCCCGACGGGACCGCTAAATAAGTCCCGGCGGGGTGTGCATAAGGTGCATTTTCCCCACGTAAAAAAAAAAAAAAAAAAAATTTTTAAATTATGTTGTATTACATTTCAAATTATATTATATTTTAATAATGAATTTCAACAATGAATAACATAATATCCGACATAAACAAAACCGTGCTAATGATTTTGTTTTACGATCTTGTTATGCAAATTTAAATTTATATACTATATTGCAAAATAAATGCTGCAATTGTATATATTATATTATATATAAAATTATATATAATATAACCCTCCCATGGGGTACACCTTGTCGCGGTGGGAGGGCTTAGTACTTGGATGATGTCTTGAGATTTATCTTAAATTTTTCTATTTATGATAAATCTTAAGATGCTTGAAAGGGAAGCTAAGTACCCTTTCGATAGAAATGCATAATGATTGAAAATAATTAGAAACTAAAAGACAGTGTGCAATCTTTTTATTAATAATAATACTATTTTGTAATTATATTAAATTTTATAATTTAGTATATTAAATTTTATAATTTAGTACATTATATTATATAAAATATTAAGCATAAAAATATTATGCTGGTAAGAAAATTATAATAAAAGTATACAAATAGTGTTGACTATATTAGAATAGAACATATGAAATCTTTATATTTTATATAAAGGAAGAGATATTTAAAATATATTGCAACATCTATATTTTTCGAGTCTTAATTATAAAAACTTCAGAAGAATCAATGATTAATGTGACAAATTCTACACATGTATTAATAATTAAATTTTTAAATAATTAAAAAAATGATTGATAAATATCAAAGATCTGTTTACTGCTAATTAAGGAGATTTATAGAAATATGATTAAAAATGTTTTTATTCCGCAGGCATTTTGTGTTTTGTAAATAAAAAGATTTAAATCTGACAATGAATATAGAAAAATATTTATTTCATCTTTGAATATTACAATATCTTTCGCGATTGAATAATTCATTTACTATCAATTTACATACATAAGTATCTTGTTATACAGCACTGGTGCTACCGGCATTTCGTGCACATAGCATGGAACAAAACTTGAAATTGTGCACATTTTATATTACCCTCTGAGAACATTCATGGACTTTGGTTTTGTAGTTCATGTCCACGTTTACAATGTCCATAGAGGGAGTATCGCTTTCAGTGATCATAGTGATCATCTAAAAGCAGACCATGACATCTTTCAGTCTTCTCTCTGCATGTGTGAGACGTGAGATAGTGTTGGCAAGTTCAGCGATATTTAATTAGTTAAATTCCATTAAAAATCTACAATTTGCAATGTCCGATGAATCTGAGTACGACGTAGAACCAGAGGAGTTTGATGTCTATAAGAAAAAGTATCAGTTGCTGTTAGAAAGATGTGACATCTTGCAACAGGTTAAGTCTCTCCTTGTCTGTCTCAAACAATATCACTTTTGTGGCATATATCCCACAAGATGATTATTACCTCAGCTATTTTTTCAAGCTACATATTTCTTTCAACTGTAGGAAAATGAGAGATTGGTCTATAGAATCCAGATGGTAAGGAAGCTTCTTCGACGCACAAGGAAAGAGAAAAAGTTAGTTTCATAGATTATAGAAATATATATTTAAAAACCTGAAATTTCTACAAAGTTTCGTCATTCGTAATATTGATCATAGATTTTTGATCGATCGATTGAACCAACATGGAGATCGTTGGCGCGAGGCACCAATGGGTGTACTAGAAGAGAATAGTGTATTCGAAACAACTCCAAAATCGGAAAAAGGAGGGAAAGGTGCCTCTCATAATGCTAAAGATGAGAAACCTAGAAAAGGGACAAAAAGAAAGGGTACAAAGGCTGATCCAAATGCACCAAAGAGGCCTGCTAATCCTTTCTTCCAGTTTTGTCAAGAGCAGAGACCTCGTGTGATGGAACGCTTGGCTGGAGAACCGGAACCTAGTAAACAAGAGCTTACTAGACAACTTGCAACCACTTGGAAATCTCTCAGCACCGAGGATAAGAAAGTAAGATCAAATATTATGTATCACATATAAGTGAACATAGTTTTTATAATTATTATAAATATTGAATATGGAATATCACCTTCTTTCAGGTTTATTATGACATGTATGAAAGATCCAAGGAGAAATATGTCGCCGAAATGCAAATATATAACAAAAAGACTGAAGATGCTCCATGTCAAATGCCATTAAATATATCATAATCAATGTATAAATAACAATATATTTCCTGTGCAAGATTATTATTAATATAAGTATATTGATAATTATATTAATAATTTTTTTCCATAATATTAATAACTTGTGATTACATAAGTTATTAAGTATTTTATATAGATAGTAATGATTAAATATATCTTAATTGTTTATAGATAATTTATATTATATTATTAATACAATTTAATATTAATGTAAATCTATTACTAAACAAGAGTACCTCTCTTATTATTTTTGTTTTGTAAATGTTATCAATATAATGGACTTTGTTATAAGATTAAAAATTTTTTTATAAAATATAATTATAAAAAAATTTGGATTATTATATTTGGATTATTATTGGATTGAAAATAGAAGCAGTAGAAACTCAAATATTTATTTTAATACCAAATATTTATCGAGATACCTTATTTCACATATTTTTTACATCCCTTATACCTCGATTTTATATTTCCCATTTTAAATATATTAATTAATAAATATATACTCAATGAATAGAAAGATATTTCAGTATTATTCAAAGTTTCTTAAGCCTTAAAATTATCCTTTTCGCGTCTTAAATAAGACATTGTCTGAATAGGATCATTTTGTTGTGCGTGTTTCATAACAGTTGGTTCATGTACTCTCATAAATGGATTTGTTAATTTTTCATCTTTAATAGTGCTAGGCACGGTTGGAAGATTATTGGCACGTTGTTCGTGTGACCAATCCAATTTTTGTTGAATTGCTTTATTCTCGGGTTCCACGTGTAAACCAAACTTGAGATTGTTAGCTGTATATTCATGGCCGCAGTAAACTTTCTATAGAAACATAAAAATGATTTGATTGTCTTGAAAAGGATGAATTACAATTTGTATAAAATAACATACCGTTTCTTCAGGTAAGGAGCCCAGGATTTCAATAAGTGCCTTGTACATTTGATCAGCAGTACCTTCGAAAAATCTTCCACATCCTCCAGCAAAGAGTGTATCTCCTGTAAATTAAATTTCTCTTTATATTTGATATTTGGATATATTTCATCCTTATTATGTCCTATTTTACCTGTAAATACAGATGGCGGATGTTCTTCTCCTGTAACATAGTAACAGATGTGTCCACGCGTATGGCAAGGTGTCGCTAAACATTTGACTGATAAATTGCCAATATTGAATGTATCATTGTGCGTAATTTTGTGATTAATGGCTTCTATCCTGTCATCTCCACCATATATGGTAAGATCATTAAAGCTTTTTAATAATTTTGCATTTCCACCAGCATGATCCCAATGATGATGGGTAGTTAAGACTTTTGTTAATTTGACATTATTTTGTTGAACAGCTGCAGCTACAGTTTCTGGATCAACAGGATCCACAACAGCAGCTTCCTGTGTTGCTTCATCAATAATCTTACAAAAAAATATATTAAAAATTTTAATTATTTTATACAAGTTTATAATAACATTCTTGAAGATATATTAGATAGGTATAGAAACTATTTTGCTACAAACTAATATTAATAACTAATAAAAAGAATTAAAAATTTTTATAATATGAAGATTTAGAAAAATTTATATAAATGTTATTGTAAATAACATATGATAGATACCAAATACATATAATTATCTTGAAGCGCTGGTAATATTTGAACCTTCATATTGGAATGATCTACTGTGGTACTAAGGCTGTGCGATCCACGAAATCCGTTGGAAGAAATGCTCTTTGCTGAAAAAATGTTGAAGAAAGTAGACTTATATATACATATATACAACTGAATTGATTATAAACTACATACTATCTGTGAATCGCAAAAAATATGGAAAAATACTTATTAATAAGAATTAGAAAAACTAGTTACTAATAATAAGATACAATTTTATTGCGCCGCAATAAGATGTAATAACGTTAGCTTTAGAGCTTTATGCAGAATATAGGAGACGAATATAAAACAGATACCCCTAAAATATATAGACGTGAGTTTGTTTTCGAGCCATGTTGGACATGCACGAAGAGCAGCTTGACGAAACATGATGGTGAAAGTTTCAAACTGCTTGGCACCTCATTTATTTTGTGCGCATTAAGTGTCGTCGCTTCTCTCTACTTGCCTGATAATGAATCAAAGAGAGGCGTCGAATTGGTAAGAAACAAAAGATCAGACCGATTGAAGCACTACTGATCATTCATCCACTGGGTGCCGATCATTCACCCATTCGATATGAACTGCCAGTATTGCCAATAGATAATAGATAGAAGAGTCTTTCACAAACAACATATGCGCTCGCACATTCATACATGCGGATTATTCAGTACCTAGCGTCACCTGATGTCGATCAGCTGTTGATCAGTACCGGCGCGTATAATTATCTCGTGCATGATCGGATGCGATGCATCTAATAGATTACGAGACATTCACGTGATTTAATGATAAGCGAGATATATTAATCTTTTAACAACTAATAAGGAAATCTAAATAATTGATTAAAATGTCTGTTAATGACACGAAGGATGTGGTTATGATAGAAGACGACGAGTATCAAGGTTAGTTGAGAGTATAATGAAAAAATTATAAAATTCGTCAAAATTTCTTTATTTTTTTATTTTTGCATCTTATAACTCAACATGTATATGACGAAAAATAATTAACTAGTCTTAAAATTTATTTATTGGCAGAATTATTCTATTTTGTAGAGATGCAAAGTATTTTGTTTTTAATCTCATCTCACCTCATGTAGAGGAAGAATCTATTATAATAAATTTAGATACCGTTATTTTGCAGCCTTGTAGTCTTATGAGCTATTTTTAAAAATTTTTCATCATTAAGATTACATTATATTTTTCACAGAATTGTACGCTCTACTTTTACTGTTTTTCTTTAAAATTTCAGTTACTGAAAATGATGAAATAGCTGCCATTGATTACGAGCTACAACAAATAGAGAGTGAACTGCAGAAACTCCAGGATCGTAAGAAAATATTAACTCAGCGCAAGGAAAAGTTACGCGACGACGCTCTTTTGAAGAAAAGTTTCTCCTTGTCCAAGAAAAATTGGAACAATGAAGAGTTTGATTGGTCCGCAAAACTCAAGAAAGCTTTAAAAGACGTCTTCAAGATTGACAAGTTGCGAGAGTTACAATTGCCAACTATGAATGCAATTATGTCCAAAGAAGATGTCATATTAATTATGCCTACAGGTGGTGGTAAAAGCTTGTGTTACCAGTTGCCAGCTGTAATCAGCAAAGGTATAACTATAGTAGTTTCGCCATTAGTGTCTTTGATGGAGGATCAATTACATGGCTTGCATAAATTTAACGTAAAGGCTACCATGTTGTGCGCAAAGGCAGACAAAGAAAGTGTCAAGATGACCATGAATGCACTTGCGGATAAAAAGTCGGATCTAAAGCTCATCTACGTAACGCCAGAGTACATGGCAAAGTCCAATCGTTTTATGAGCAAGCTGCAGAAAGCGTACGAGTTGGGACATCTGGAGCGTTTCGCCATAGACGAGGTACACTGTTGTAGTCAATGGGGTCACGACTTCAGACCGGATTACAAGTTTCTAGGTGTGCTGAAATCCATGTTCCAAGGCATACCGATTCTAGGTCTCACCGCCACGGCTCCGGCTAAGATCATCGTAGACGTGCAGAAAATGTTGGACATCAGCGGTTGCCTGGTCTTACGAGCTTCGTTCAATAGACCTAATTTATATTACGAGGTTCGTCGTAAACCGGCGGATAAGGAAACATGCCTCACAATGATAGAAAATCTCTTGAAGAATCGATTCGCCGGCAAATCGGGTATAATCTATACGACCACGATTAAGGATGCCGAACAATTGACCACGGATTTAAGGGCCAGAGGTATTAAAGTCGGATGCTATCACGCGATGCTCGAGGCGGAGTACAGATCGGAAGTGTACTCCAAATGGATATCAGGCAAGTATCAAGCGGTGATTGCGACTATCGCCTTTGGATTAGGCATCGACAAGCCGGACGTGCGATTCGTGATACATCACTGCGTTTCTAAATCGATGGAGAACTTTTATCAGGAAAGCGGTAGAGCAGGCAGGGATGGCAAGAAGTCGGTGTGTCTCGTACTTTACAGATTAGCAGATATATTTAAGTTGAGTACAATGGTATTTCAAGATAGAGTCGGGCTGCAAAACTTGTACAAGGTGTTGACGTATTGCCTGGATCAAACATCCTGTAGACGAAGTTTAATAGCGACTCATTTCGAGGAAACTTGGAACGCGAGCGATTGCGTCGAAATGTGTGATCATTGTAGGAAGCCGAATGTTGGAAAAGAGGTCGATATAGGGCAATATTGCAGACAGCTGTATCAAATTATGACAAAGGCCGTGCAAAACGAAACACGATTGACCGCTCTAAAGCTTGTGGACGCCTGGTACAGCAAAGGTTCCTCAGTGTTGAGAGTATCTACCGTGCCTGTGCCAAGATTTGCGAGAGAAACCGCGGAGGCTATCGTAGGACATTTGCTAGCGAACGGTTATTTGCAAGAGGACTTTCATTTCTCAGCGTATTCTACGATATCGTACCTTAAACGCGGTCCTAAATCGGGATTAGCTCTCAACAACGATCACAAGATACTCTTCAATTACGAGTTACATTGATAAGTAGAAGCATAAATTAATTAAACAATAAAAACAATTGATTACACTGATGTGTGTTTGTAATATATTATAAATACTTTTCTCTCTTTTTTCAATTTATATTCTTGAAATTATTAGCGCGAAGAAATTCATTAATTATGAATTCTAATTTAATTCATTATTAACGTCCACATTTTAGTCGCGATAAAGTTTCAATCAATGACCGGGCAAATACGTCATCGCGTTGCGCACGTGAAAACATACCGCAACTTTAGATAAAAGCGAAAGTACGCACAATTACGTAGAAGCTGAAGATGATCGATCGCAAATGAAAGAAACGCGAAACGTGATAAGCGTACGAGAGGCGGTGGATAATCGATAAAAACGGCCTACGGAGTAGCGAAATGTCAGCGGGTCGGGTAGTAGGAGAGACTGTAGGTAGGTAGAGCGACTTCCGCGATCAGATGGAAATATTGATCTAGGATAAGAAGAAGAGTGTCTCTGTGTACACGTTTGATGCCGCGTCGCGTTGTCGCAAGTTCGCGTCGTTGCGTAACCGATCATCGTTACACCGTGTCAGGGGGATCAGCCTGCGATCTCGAGAGCAAAGTGCGTCGCGTATGCGCGTGACACTGCTGATATTTCAGCTGGACCTTGTCCAAGTCGACGTGCGTGCTTGCGCGGCAAGAGAAGGCACCTCGAGCAGCGATTACGTCGACGATTCAGAAGCAAGAAGTTGATGACCGTCTCCCACCGGATTGTCTCTCGCGATCTTCGATCATCGCGAGGATCGTCGCGTTTCGGCGATGCCGACTGACACGCTGGAAGATTCAAGAGTCCTCCAAGACATCGTTGTCCACCCTCTTCGGTGAAGGACGGGGAGGAGTCTCCCCAATAGTGGGACTCGATTACGCATGGCCCGCGTTATCTCTGACGGAACTTGGCGGCACGGATACGCGTTATCGCTTTATATGTAACGAGGCTAATTGATAACGATAACGTTGCAAGCGTTCTGTGAAAGGGCAAATCAACGTGGGACTCGACTTGGCGGATCCAACCCCGGATACCTTCCCGCCCGATTATGTTTGCCTTTCGTTTCGCATTTTTCACCGATCGCGTTCAGCTCGCGATCCCGATGCGGATCCTGGTTCCAGCGTTTCCTGGACGAGGACAGTCCGGGTCGAGTCTGGAGAAGCGAAGAAACTGTCTCGCGAACGGTAAACGGATTTCAGTGCCAACGAATGCTTAGACTCCTCTTAAGAAACTTGAGTGACCTGAGCATCATCGTCGCCTTCCGTCAGAGATATGTCATGTTTCATCGAAGGAAAACAGCGTGAGTGATCACGAAACGAATATGCCTCTGCCAAATATCCTGCGGAAAGCGAGCAGCTTTATCCTCGGCGATTGCGGCCAGGACAATCGACGCGTCATTTACCAGGACGGCGAGGCGTTATTCTGCAAGAATAACGTTTGTGTGCATCCGCCGACGTTGATGAGGCAGAACACCGACGTGGTGCATCATCCCGGGTACATGACCGTAACGTGCAAGCTGAACAAGAACTCGAACCTGCCGACCCTGCATCTCAGCTGGATACCCAACAGTACGTTGCGCAAGCATCCGACCGCGTTGGAGAACCTGAGCGCCAGGAACGCCGCGGCGCATCATCATCGGGACGATGATCCGACTGTCCCACGTTCCCAGATCCCGAAGGCACGTGGCGCCGACGAAAGACACGTGCTCGAGAACGAGAACGAGCATGAGAACGACGTCGAGAATGACAACGGGAACGGGAAGCTGGACGTGTGCTTGGAGGCGAAGGAACCAGTCAGCTGCGGCGACTGCGAACGCGTCTGTTCCGGTTCCGGCTATGACTTTTCACGTCGAAATATAGGCGACGAGTTTGAGAAGAACAGCGGCGAGAGGACCGGGAATCGCGAATCTTCAGATTGCGCCGATTCGAGGAAAAACGAGAAGGACGAAGATTCGAAAGAGAGGAATTTTAATGAGAACGACGTCAGGAGTATCGACGAGGAGCCGCGCTTCTCGTTTCGCGATGATATAAGCATCAAGAGTCGTAGCTTGTCATTAACTTCGACCTGCAGCTTGTCAATCTCAATATCTGCTGACGGTAGGTAAAAAAATATTTAAAGCTATTTCATTCATCGAATAATTGTCTTTTATTAATGATACATTGTTTGTACAGCTGAGGAGATGCCGACGTGGATGAGATCTCCGGAACTTTTGGCTCTTCAACACAATCTTGCCTTTCCCGAGAGCGCGACTGCGTCGCCCGTGACATTGCGCAGAGCGCATCGATGCAGAAGATTCTCGGTGGATCTTGGTGAGATGCGATCCTTACGACTGTTCTTCGCCGATCCTGCTTGCACCTGCGGCCAGTTGGTAGTGGCGAGCAGAGAGAGCCAATACAAGATCCTGCACTTTCATCACGGCGGCTTGGATCGCTTGGCCGCCACTCTACATCAATGGCATCAATTGCTCTATCCACGCTTGAGCGCGGACACGGAGGAGACTCTGCCATACAGGTCAGACATGATTGGAATATAAATTGTTCGAATTTGCTCGACCTACATAATATTCACAGTAAACATTTTGCGCAGGCATTTTATGGTATGCAGACCTGAGGTAAGTCGGGACGAATTGCATCCCGAGGAAGGCCAAGTGCCAATGATCACGTCGTTAGCTTGGAAGGACTTGTTGAACGAACGTGGTCAGATGGAAGATGATCTCGCTCTTCGCAAAGGAATCTTTTTCGGAGGCTTAGAGCCGGCGCTACGAAAAATTGTCTGGCCCTTCCTGCTACACTGCTATTCCTATCAAAGCACGTACGAGGATAGAGAGCAGATCGACGCCATTAGGCGACAAGAATACGAGGAAATACAGAGACGTCGATTAAGTATGAATCCGGAGCACGCCGAGCGTTTCTGGCGAAACGTAGTGTGCATAGTGGAGAAAGACGTCGTACGCACGGACAGAGGTAATCCTTATTACGCCGGCGAGGGTAATCCTAACATCGAGGTAATGAAGTAAGTTATTTCAACACAGCGTCAAACTGACTTTCAGCTCTTTGGATATTATCACCATTGCCTATTAATCATCTGTGTTTTCCATGCTTGTAGGAATATTTTACTCAACTACGCGGTATACAACTGCCGCTTGGGTTACACCCAAGGAATGTCCGATCTCTTAGCTCCGTTATTAGCCGAACTTAACTCCGAAATCGAGGCCTTCTGGTGTTTCGCGGGTCTGATGCAAAGATCGGTGGCTGTGTGCACTCCGACTGACACGGACATGGATAGAAATCTATGCTACCTACGGGAGCTAGTGAGAATAATGGTGCCGGACTTTTACACGCATCTTCAAAATCATGAGGATGCTTTGGAACTTTTGTTCTGTCATCGTTGGATACTTCTGTAAGTACAGCTATTATGTTTCACATAATAACACTGCGCTCTTATATACAAGGTGTATCTGAAATGATGCACTAAACTTTGGGAGCGTATTCTAGAAGTCAAAATAAGACTTCCTACTAACAATGAGGGGAGTCTGCAATGAACCCCCTCGAGCTAAAATTCGAAAGTGTGAGTGGAAAATGTTTAGTGGCTTATTTTACTTAATAATTTACTGGGCTATAACAAATTTCAACCTTTTATCATTTTTTTTCTGAAATACAGCCAATTTTCAATTTTTTCCCCAAACTTTAGGGGCCTCTAGCTCGGAGGGGAATTCATTTGCGGATCCCCCTCATTGTTCATAGGAAAAAAAAGTCTTATTTTGACCTGTAGAATACGCTCCTAAAGTTTAGTGCATCATTTCAGATATACCCTGTATATGAATTTTACACAATTTTGACGTATATATATTTATCGTATTATTTTCCCCTTCCTTTTATCTCTTTTCCATTATAGGTGCTTGAAAAGAGAATTTCCAACTGAAATAGCCCTGGTCATGTGGGAGGCCTGCTGGGTCAATTATTTAACGGATCATTTCCACTTATTTCTCTGCCTCGCTATAATGTGCGTTTACGCGGACGATGTGATTGCCCAGGATCTGCGAACGGACGAAATGTTATTGCATTTCAGTTCACTGGCCATGTACATGGACGGGAACGTAATACTTAGAAAGGCACGTGGCCTACTTTATCATTTCCGTCAACTTGTTCGCTTGCCTTGCACGTTAGCAGGTCTCTGCCGGCAATGCGGTCCAGGGATGTGGGACAGCACGCATGATCCGGTGATAGAGTGCGTAGGTCACGAAGACACGAATTGTCCCTATTTAAATAATTACGAGTAAATTACTTTTAGGAAGTTGAGATAAAAAGCGGAGCATCAGTATTATTTAACGTATAAATTAACTCATTTCGTCGAGTTATTAAATTATAAGTCATTATTCTCTCTATACACCGATCTTTCTTTATACATACCAGATTTTTTGATTCGTAGCATAAGTTTTCTACGAACCACTAATATTTACAAGACACTATATCAAATCTAGTTAATTACACTCTAGGTTTTTACATACAAATTAAGCTCAATTGTCACACGCGCGATACTAATTGTAACGGGCGATTTTGTTCTTGTACAAAACTGCTTAAGCACCCTTCGAATTTTGACAAAGAGAAATAATATATTACACATCAGTCCGAATTCAATGCCGAAGCATACAACAGACATATCTCGAAATATCAATCTCCGAATGAAATTCATGCACTGTCGATTGAGATAAACTTAAGAAACTTCATCAAAGTTGTACGCGAGTACAGAGATTTGCGATATAATAGATAGATTTACAGTATTCGTAGTGTTAAAGACTGATGAGTGAGAAAGGAAACCTAGTACAAGCGTCCGAGTGCCACTAGCTGGGATAGGGAGATATCCGTCGTGTGATCCTGGTCCGTAGGCACCAATCTAGTAGAGAGTTCGTCCGCGGAAAACCAAAGAGAAAAATCAAATCGTATATAAGTATGAAAAAGTGGCTATTTATTATTAATATTAAATATATACCCGCATTTTGTGCGGGTGTATAAATTAACAGTGTCTATTCACTCCAAAGTGTTCACTTACATTCATACATATACATATTTTTTATGTATGACAATCTCATACACCGGTACTTTTCGCATATGTAAAACAGCATCGAGCTTTTATTTTAAACTTAAAACACGAATTCTCGCTTTAATTATTTAATAAATTAATGTAATTAAACATAATTGTTTGCTAATCACATGGTGTTGTACGGATGTTTATTCTTACTGTATGGGAATTCAAAAACAAGGAAAGGTTATTCAAATAAGCTAATTTTTCTCACAGAATAAGTGTGAAGTAATAAGTATTTTAACTTTTTTTTATTATTTTTCTATGCTTATTATTATGATTCGTTATCACGAATATATGTAAAAATACAACTGGTTATTCAAGATCTTACAAATACCGTGCCTATATGCAAAAAAGGCGATCGTAACACATTCCACGCTAATTCATATATATGTATATAAATATAAATATATATATATATATATATATATATATATATATATGTATGTATGTGTATATATGTATGTATGTGTATATATATATATATATATATATATATATATATATATATACACATACATACATATATATATGATCAGGGACATAAAATTTTATCGAAAATAGCTTTTATCGCTTTTATCGTGCTATCTTCTATCGTTGGAAACTTGAAGAGAAATCTATCTGTGTTAAAATCTGTCTCATGCAGAGATCTCGATTCAAAATAAATATAAGGCAAAAATATGTGTGTACATATACCGGTTTGAATAAATCGGCAAGAGGCTTGTCTAATCAACTATATTTATTATTATCATCCATTTCAATTGCTTTTGGAAAATATATATATATATATATTCGCAACTTATATTCTTCATTGTACGCTACACTGGCACAGGTACACAGATGACGGACATGCTGCGAATAATTTTTTGGCAGTTTTATACATATATCTTATACAAAAATATGATCTCAAAAAAAAGCGCAACATCATACTTTAGCTATTGCTACTATCACCTACCGCTAACATTATTCCATAATAAATACATAAAATATGGAGAAATGATATGATATACCGTACAAAAAATACAGATACAATAACAAATTGTTAGATCCTTATGATAACGTCACATATTTTTCTGTCTCGGGGCAATTCTACAAAAGTAAACAGTATGCATATAAGAGCATACATATAAAGAGAATGAGAATTGTTTTTTTCTACACATACGTTATATCCTTATATTAAACTTATTCGATATTTGAATTGTACATGCCGACTTGTGCTAAAGTATTGTCGGTTCACCATATATACACGTGAACGTATACTGCCATAAATGACGTACAGTATTTCATTTATGAAATCTCATTTTATCAAACAGCCACATATTATCAATCATTCTTAATCTATTTTTGTCCTTTCACTTTAATTATTATCCATTCCATTTGTATCAAGTGCCTATATAATATCAATTAAAACTGTTGAATGACTCTGCGCAACATCTACATTTTACTATTGATACATTGTAAAATGTATCATTTGTAATATATGACCAACACTTTCACTGCCTAACTGTATCTTTTTTGTAATCGAGCTTGCAACATAAGCTCTATTTTCTTTTTTGATTTTGTATAATATAAATGTAACATTAATTTTATTGTTGATTAAACCAGGAGAATTGTAAGTGTATTTCCATGAAATTGACAGACACTAAAATCATACATGCAATCGCCCATACTATGACAAAAACCAACCAACACTTGCCCGAAAAAGGACTTGCGAATTTATTAACGACGCCAAGGCCGATGATCTTATTAGTCTTTTGTCTGGCATAATAAACCAGGAAAGTAGGTATTAAATATTGAATCCCTGCCCCAGCATACGATCCTGTAATACCAACTAATATCGACAGATTTGTGGTACTCATTGCGATCAGATACGGCGGTATTACTGCTAAAAGTGGAAAGACGAATTGCCGAAGACATAAATTGTAAGCCTTATCCTCGTTTAAAAAGAGCGACTGCAAATTATTCCGAAGAGTAATTGCTATAATGGGAAAACTGGTACTCAAGGTAAATACCGGGAAAAGCGCTAAAAAATATTCTATAAGAAGAATAAAAATATTGTTACTTTTGGAACAATCACCCGAGCCATGTGGTCCAAAGTCTAAAGTATAAAGATCATCCAAGTGCTCAAAGGCAAAAATACCTGTCATAGCTAACAGTAAATAAAAGAAGGCGATTAGTATGTAATCGAGAGCTAAAAATTGATTTAACTTAGACTTATTCGCTATCGGTGCAACCAATGCTGGTAACGAATGATGACACATGAAGGAATAAACGCAAGCGCCGAAGAGGCTGGGAACTCCTAAAATAGTGACGTGTCTTTTATAGAAGTTGCAATTACGTATTAATCAATGAAAAGTTATAGATTAGTTATAGATTATATGATTATCATCATTTCTTAACTTACCGGCTAAATTTGCGATAGGTGGCTCGCCGCGAGGACCGTGTATGAAAAGACTTTTCAAAGCGTAGACAATCATTATAGTGAATGCGAGCCAACGCATTATCGAAGTCAGCAGCTGAAGATACTTGGTCTTCTGAACATTAAAAAACACAAACGGCCCCAATGACAGTACAAATATTGTCTGCAAACAGAAATGATACCACAATAACTCGTGCAACTTTATATCATTTTGGCAAAACTGATTAATCTATTGAGATTTTGCAGATCAGTGACATACCAGAAATATTCTATATGCATCGAATCGATTGATCATAAAACCTTCCCAGCAAAGTTCAGTATCTGGTATGGTGTCATTGCATGTAAGGTTTTTTGGCAGATAAGTACAGGCAACATCCGCTAATGACTTTGCAACTGCTGCCCCATAAATGCTTAAATCTCCATATAGATATATAGCAAAACATAAATAGAACAGAATAATGCCAAATCTGTTAAAAAAGATAGATGCCATCTGGCCCATCTCTATTTTATCACGAATTACGTAATATCTATAAGACATATCTGAATGCTCCGGACTAGTCGAAGGAGGTGCTACCAATGGAGTATCTTCTGAATCAGAATTGGAAGGACCAGATTCACCTATTGTTTGTAGAACCTGAAAAAAGTATAATTTAAATATTTCTTACAAATTAAATTTTATATTTATGACATACATATTGAATCATACAGTGCAATGTATATAGTTTATCACTATTACCTTTACTTTCTATCTTTAAACATCTGTAGAATACTCTACTGTCATTTGTGACAAATAAGATAAATCCAGAGATGCTTACACGTTTCCGATGCTGAATATGCCTCCAGGTGACTATGGCATTAGCCGATGCCATCGATTCTATCACGAATGTAACTGTGATGAAACTGTGCGTACAAAGAAAATTCAATGAGATGAAATAAGCTTCCTGAGGATTCGTAACAGGATCTTTCCTACGTACCTGATGAACGCTAATATTAAAATAACGCTTAATCCTAACGCCCATCCTGCTCGACTGAATACCCCGGGCAAAGTCAGGGCGCCTGTTCCAACGATGAGATTGAAGATGTACGTGAGTCCGACCTATGACATATGTTATGAATTTCTCCCAATGTTTTGTTTACGGTTTGAGGTTATGATTCATGTCATCGATGCACTAATAATCCAAAGCCTGATGTTTCCTTACCCATGTTGTATATTGATCGTTGACATTCTGCTCGGGCATTTCGAGTCGAGTCAGCGCTAAACTCGGGAAGGATGTATCTGACAGACACTGCGAGATGTCACATACGCGTTACGTCTCGCTGTCACATACGCGCCTGTCAATCGCCGACTATCGTTTTCGCTCGACAATAACAAGATTGATTATTTCTCGTCGAATATCCACGTTCAACTTGTCAAAATTAATTTGGAACGAGAGGATAGTGATGAGCTTTCACCTACATATCTCTTCTCGAATTCGGGGCTTGAACATTTCAATTTGGATCTGTCATCGATTTTTCTGCGAGGCAGATCAGACGACCAATTGTCGACTGGTCTCGCATGGAAAAATACAGAGCAGACGTTATCATTGCGATAAACGACATGCGACTAATAATGATTATTCCAGACTGTTTCATCTCTCTCTTGCTTCTGACTAATTAAAATGTCATCGATAATTGAATTTTCTAATCGATTCGATGAATTCTTTTAATTTTCTGAATACGAAGCTTCTGCCGTGCTGCCATCTAGGACAGCGATCTCTCTCTAAAACTTTTCTTACTTTACTACTTGAATTTTATTTTAGTTATAAAAAATATTCTTTTAATTTAATCTTAATCTGTTTTTAATTTCTTAGATTTCTTTGTCGCTAAAAAATTAAACTCGCTTCAATTTTTCGATGAAAAAATTTTTAATTCTTAAATGCTACAGATTTTTAACTTTCGAGCAAGTATGTATAATAATTCTAGATCTTTGAACAATTGTATATCATTAATTATATCGAATGTTGTAAAAACTAAATTATACGTAAAAAGAAATTCGCAAATATATATATTAATTAAAAAGAAATGAATAAGGAAACGCGAGTGCGTCGCAAGGATGCGGAGGATGATCTCGAGGAATTCGATAGATCTCACAAATCATATTTTTCAGACTTTTATTTTATAATCCCATAAGTCTAAAGTAGTCTTTAGGATGTGTACGTGAATGGTCTTGCGCAATACAATGGGAATAAATTATAATACTTTGGCTACGCTTACGGGGTCGAAACCGTGGTGGTGGTCTTACTTTTTTTTTTCCATTTGTTTGAGCGAACGGACATTTCTCCAGATCTGCGGTTTACCCCATCGTGTAAAAAAAAAAAAGAAAGAAAGAAGACAAAAAAGGCCATCTTTTTCCCTCAACGATAGGCAAATAATAATAAAAAAAATAATAATAATAATAAACCGATAAGAAGTCGGAGGCTTATCTCTCTGCGCGCGGAATGACGTACAACTTATGTGTTTAGCTTCAAGGCAAGCGCCTCTTAAAAATACCGCACATTGATTGGAATGCATTGACCGACGTTGATTGCCACGCGTCCATCGTCTCCTTCCGCGGGAAGAGTAATCGAGTCATCTTTCCCGCAAACAGAAACCTCGGAGTTTATCTTCGCATGAAACGTTTCTTCCTGCTCGGATCCTCGAAGAAAACTGGCAATCGAAGCATGATAACGGAACGAGTCTAACGAAAAGGAAGCGTTCTACTCGTGTTGAGAGAAGGATGTCTCGCGAGGAATGTTTGGCTAAATGCTATCGTGTAGTAGACGCAAGTTATTCAAATATATAATACAAAGGACTCGATTATAAGATAAGGTAGAAAAAGGTATTTAGGAATCGGGGCACATGTTTAAGATTTGTTATATTGAATCGATGAGAAATGATGAAAAACAATGAACGCGTCTAAACGAGCAAGAATGATGAACCGCCGATTTATTTTGGATCCGCCGAGATCGAAGAATAATCGCTGCGGGGAGGAGATGTCGGAAGCTCCTCTCTCCTCTCTCGTTTAATCTTAAACACGTACATCCGAATTGAAAGAAGCTACCTTCGCCCCGGAGAAACCAAAGGGCAATCGTCGCGGAAGTTGATGTTACGTCCGCCTGCGAAACGAGACAGAAGCCCCTCTCTCTCTCTCTCTCTCTCTCTCTCTTCCTCCTCTCTCTTTCTTCTTTATCTCTCGAAGTCTCAGGGATCGGGGAATGGTAATATGCGATGGAGAACGCGCGCTTAGAAGCACTTCCTGTGGACGATGGAGGGTCCGGATTCGTCGTATTCCTGCTTCGAGATCCACATCTGTTGGAAGGTAGAGAGCGATGCGAGAATAGATCCACCGATCCATACGGAATATTTCCTCTCAGGCGGGGCGATGATCTTGATCTTCATGGTAGACGGGGCTAAGGCAGTGATCTCCTTCTGCATCCTATCGGCTATACCGGGGTACATGGTGGTACCACCGGACAGAACGGTGTTGGCGTACAGATCTTTACGGATGTCGACGTCGCACTTCATGATCGAGTTGTACGTAGTCTCGTGAATGCCGCAAGCTTCCATACCCAAGAACGAGGGTTGGAAGAGAGCCTCGGGACAGCGGAATCGCTCGTTACCGATGGTGATGACTTGACCATCGGGAAGTTCGTAGCTCTTCTCCAAGCTGGAGGAGGAGGCCGCTGTGGCCATCTCCTGTTCGAAGTCCAGTGCGACGTAGCAGAGCTTCTCCTTGATGTCGCGGACAATTTCTCGTTCGGCCGTAGTCGTGAAAGAGTATCCTCTCTCCGTAAGGATTTTCATGAGATAATCGGTCAAGTCGCGACCGGCCAAGTCCAAGCGGAGGATAGCGTGCGGCAGGGCGTATCCCTCGTAGATCGGTACAGTGTGGGAAACGCCGTCACCAGAATCCAGTACGATACCAGTGGTACGACCGGAAGCGTACAGTGACAATACAGCTTGGATCGCGACATACATGGCTGGGGTGTTGAAGGTCTCGAACATGATCTGAGTCATCTTCTCGCGATTGGCCTTGGGGTTCAAGGGAGCTTCGGTAAGAAGGACCGGATGCTCTTCCGGGGCTACTCGCAATTCATTGTAGAACGTGTGATGCCAGATCTTTTCCATGTCATCCCAGTTGGTAACGATACCATGCTCGATCGGATACTTCAACGTCAAGATACCTCTCTTCGATTGAGCCTCATCGCCGACGTACGAGTCCTTCTGTCCCATACCGACCATGACACCCTGATGACGCGGCCTGCCGACGATCGACGGGAAAACGGCACGGGGGGCGTCATCCCCGGCGAAACCGGCCTTGCACATACCGGATCCATTGTCGACTACGAGCGCGGCAACTTCTTCGTCGCACATGTTTGCTCTCTTGATTTATCTGCAAAGGAAATTTCAAGATTAGCGTTGCAAGAACAAAGTAATCATCTCTTAACAAAATAGCGAAATGATGATTAAAAAATGGGTCTTTAGACATATCTTATCCCTCAATTCTATCATACGTGTCCAGGAATTTTTTACATATAGATAGAAACAGCAATTTAATTGCGACAATTATAATTCTAGATAGCATTTATCGGGAAGATAAAAAAAACTTGTTTGCGTGGAAATACATTAGCGGACTATCAGTAAATTGGAGATCCATTAGAGCCGGCAACCGGTCTCCAAATATACTCAAAATGGCGTCGAAAGGACACGAGTATGCGTGGCGAGAGTCCAGCCATTCAATCGCAAAAAGTCGCGAGACTTTATTCAGGACGAAGCGAAAAATACCCGCATTTGTCAGGAATATACAGGAAGAAATAAAGAGACGCGTTGAAAGGCGACTCGACGAGAAAGCAACCTTATCAACGCTAATTATCGGAACCGCACCCTGCCCCGCCCCGCCCTTTCACAAGCCGATGACGACGGCAGACGTTCCCTCTCTTCCTCTCTTTCTCTCTCTCTCTCTCTCTCGCGTGACATTTCTCGGAGATTTCGCGACGAAATTTTGCGAATTTAGCGGCGGTTGGATCGATTTAAACGAGTCATCGCGTATATCGTATGACGTATCTCGATTCACATCTCTCTTTTTTTTTGCGAATTTCTCGTGGATGCTGCCGTGGATCTAACCGTTACATTCGCGTCCTTCCACATCGAAGCACTCGAGATGCCACCCAGCACACCCATCACTTTATCGTTCGCACCACGATATTATTATACATCCGATACTCGTCACTTTTTTTTGCTCTCCGATTTTTTCTTTCACTACTAAAATTAAAAACGCGATCCTAGAAATCTCTGGATGATTACGGATGAATCACTGGGCGACTTACGTTTCGAGGGTAAAAAAGAGAAGTTATGTACAAGTTCCAAGTTTGCAGCGACACTGGCCGCACAATCCGCCGATCTCTAGCACCGAACACAGAGTGTAGCCGACAATCGGGCCGCGGTGTATTATATGAACAGATGCGTTGTTCCTCGATCCCCCCCACGCGCGGCGCTCGGCCAATAAGGGTGGGACACCCTCGACCAATCCCGGCTTTCTTTACCATATATGGAAGTACTCTGACACGGAGGGGTCTTCCGCTCCCCCTCTATCCCCCGCCCCCGTCTGGTACCCGGCTCGGAGCCGGTCGGGTCGGGTCCCACGACACCCGGTGTGTGCGAATGCACTCGCTAAATTGACCGAATCGAACTCCGCGAGGGTCTTTGCGATCGAATCGATCACGAGCTTTGAAATTCGCCAAATATTTATTCGCAGGTGAACATCTCTGACTTGGACGATTTCAATTTATCTCTCCTATTTTAATGATTTAGACGAGTCGGCCTCGCGATTAATCTCTCGCGTTTACCTGCATTAACGATTACGCCGACGAGAAGCGGGAAGGAACGCGTGTTCGCGTAGGTTAGTAACGGGCTGCGCGTAGTCTATTAATAAACCTCAACCACCTGTCTGGTGATACGCGACCACTTGATGGCAACCTGTCGATGATCTTGTTACTCGAAATTCGAGAGGCGAAGAGGAGAAGAGAAAAGAGAGAGACGAAACGCCCGCTCGCGTTGTCGTAAATCCGGAGCAACGCCCTGCCATGGCGACTATCTCCACCGGGGCGAGAACATTCCGATCGCTCTTTTATTCCGGGGAAGCGCGAAAGTCCCGAAAATCCCGAAAACGACGCCAATGACAGCTGACGGCCGGCCACGCGCGCGGCGTCGACGATGCCCACTTACCTCTCTCTCTCTCTAAACGCGCAGTTGAAGCGAGATTCTCGATCTCGGGGGAAGTCGGAGTCGACGGAGCGGCGACGGAGAACGGGCACTAAGTGAACTGGTTGACTACCGCGAACAACGGCGAGACGCGAGCGAGATCGTGGCCGTGCGACAACCGTAAGCCGGTAACTCTCGCGCGCGCCGCCTGCCTCGCTGTCACACGTCACGCCACGTGGACTCGTCCGCGAGGGGTATGGTCGGCATACCGGGCATATTTTTTACGGGTCTCCGTTTTTCTCATTTTTCCCCCCGATCGAGGAAAACCGCGGGAAAGGGGCTCGCGATCGCGAGCAACGGGGAATTTTCCCGAGCGTCAGCTGACGCGACCTCGCTCGTCATATATTATTATTCGCGGGGATCGACGTATTCGCATAGATGCCGATCTGCGAGACACACCCCTCGGTTAAGCGCGGATGGACTCGTCCACCCGGCTTCCCCCACCGCGCGGATTCACAGCTCTTGCCATATATGGGCATAAAACGAAAGCGACGCGGCGATTGGTCCGCCGACCGGCTAGCGGCTAGATTCTCCAAATGCCGCTTCAAATCGTACGATAGAGAGAGCGTAATGTCTCCTGGAAGTATACACTAGGCGTAAGTTTTCGTCCGCGGGCTACCTGCCTGCGTGATTTCGCGACGTCTCATGCTATCGACGATAACGTAGGTTCCAAGATTCCTTCTCTATTCGGCGTATTTTAATTCTAATATATCGAGATAAATTGATTTTTATATATATATTCATGTGATAGAGATTATCAAAATGAAATTATATATCTTATCTTTCTCTCTCTCTCTCTCTCTCTCTCTCTCTCTATCTTTCGTCGACAATAGCCGTTGCCTTGCTAACAATCTTTGAAAGTTTCACGGGATTGTCGAGTAGGTTTCGAATGTTCCGGAAAGAATACATAAATATTATCATTCATGTAAATAGAAAGACTCCTTATCTCGAAAATATCTGAAAGGAATAATAAAAGGCCGGCGCGAGAGAGAAATGGAAGATTTATTAAAAAGAGATAAGATTGATTAAAAAATGAATTTCAAATAACGTATGTAATTTAAAAAAAATTATAATTAAAAAATGTAATACGCGAAACGCCAGACGTTTCAGTTATTATTATTGACGCTGTCGTTACAAAAATTGATACTAAAGCTCTCTTGCGGTTGCGATAAAACTGCAAGCTTCGCGGTAAATAGATAAAAGTCGATAAGCGTTCTTTTCGTAACGCGCATTTTCAGATTCACTTTGAGACGAATTAAAAATATATAGATGCGCGAGCGAGCAAGAGAGAGAGAGATAGAGAGAGAGAGAAAGAGAGAGAGAACATCATTAAAAATCATTACGAGAGAGTGCGCGGTCTTTTATCTTCTGTTTCTCATAAACGCACCGGAGTCGGTAAAAATAGATTCAAGGACAGGGATGCAAGGGTGCGTTGCACTCTTTCGCCACGTCATGCCTGGCCCTTACGGGCTCGCGTGTTTATATGTGTGTGTGTGTTAATACAGATACCTAAGCGGTGCAAGCGCGGAGAGCCACGGAGAGAGGCCCCCCTTCAAAATCGATACCCTCGGCTCCTCCTCGAAGCTGTCTCGCCTCGCGTGCTTGCGTAGCCGAGCACGTGACCGGCCACGGATGTGCAGATGAAAGAACGGATGTGGATCTGCGAGATGCCGGGCGATTCGGAGCCACGCCATAAAGATTCCATCCCGATACATCGCCGAACATCATTGTCGATTCATTCATAATGAACGCCTGTTCTGAGATCATTACGGACGCCCGATTATACATTCGAGTCATTTAAATGCAGCGGTTTCCTCTTGATGTAATTATCACGCACGTGGTACATGCATAGCGATCGAATTTGGCTGGTCAATCAATGACGTGCGTGTCATAAAAACAACAGTCTCGTCCAGCGTCTCGATCTCTGTCTTTCGAATCGAATAATTAACCTTGTTATGTGTGTTCCAGAGACCCAATGACCTGAGAGAGAGAGAGAGAGAGAGAAAGATAGAGACATCTCGACCTTGTCTACCAAATAAGGCCCCGCATCAAGGTCCTCGTGTAAGGCTCCAAAGTTACGCTATCATCTGTACATTCGAGTCATCAACGTTCCCTCCCTTCCTCTTCCCTCGACGAAACGTAACGCACGTTTCTTCGTGAGTTATCATAGCGATTGAAACGACTCACGAACGTGCGCGAGACACGTCATTTTTTTGATGAATAAACGTGAGCTGCGAATATTCGCGCGAACCGAATGATTTCGAGGAATAAAATATTTGAAATCAAACGACAGGTTTCTCTTTTCAGGATCTGGATTTACGTTAAGGATTTTCACTTGTGAGAGCGAGGGAACTGATGGCGCGTGCGAAAAAAGGTCGAGCCTTCAGGTAGTTCTTTACCCTTCTTCGAGGAACTCAAAGTTAACACTGGTATCATCTGCATGTGGCGTAAGCAAAATGCGACGATGCACGTATCCGTTTCTATGCAAAAGTTAAAAAAAAAAATGTGTATAAAGGAAAGAGCGCGCGCACATAAAGGGATAAATATAAGTTAAACGAAAGTTATAAACAATTTAACGAGGAGTTTCGTTATTAAAGCAAATTTTAGAAACGTCGTTGAGCGTACATGCATAATGCAACATAAGCTTAATGTGATTCTTGGACGATGCCGTCTACCCGATACTATCGTAACAGTACCGTCGTACACTCGGTTGACGCCATCGTTCGCCAAGCGAGGAATCTCGACTGTGCTCAATAATACTCGATACTGCTATATTTAATGCTGACTTATTTCATTTATAAAATGAAAGAATCTGATATGTATCTCGGCGACTAAATAATCATCACATCGTTTTGATCGCTTTATTGTACGCGGCGTCGTGACAAAATTTACTCCAATACAGGATGTTCCTAATGTGTGCGAAAAATGTTGGGGGATTATTTAGCGAAAGGTGAGATTTTAAGAAATATATTGTGATAAAAAAAACAAAATTATAGAAATTGTTGGAATAATCACTTTTAATTATGATATATGAATTTAATCTCCTCCTCATTAATTGACCAATATGTTCAAAAATATCAAATATATTATTAGAAAATTTAAAGAATTGCATAATGCGACTTCTATTAATTTAATCTTTTCTTAATTTGTTATTAAATTAGAAATAATATAATAAAATTAAATAATTTTATATTAATAATTAATATTAATAATATATATTAATAATTAATAATAAAATTAATATTAATGATTAATTTTTTATATTAAAGATTTTTAAGATAATATAAACCAAAGATTTAAGATGAAGAAAAAATTCAAGAAATTCAATTTTGAATCAAGGAGGGTCAAAATTGGGAGAATGTCTCAACTCATATATTTTTGAAACTTTAACACTTTGCATTTTAAAAATTATTCAAGGAATCATCGAAATTTTTTCGGGCATATTTAGGAACACCCTGTATATGCAATAATTCTCATTTCAAGGAAAATATTTGAAATGAAACTGACGTAAACCGATAATTAATTAATGGAAAGCGATAAAATATTTTAGTGCTTATGTCTCGTGAGGGAGGAGGGGGAAAACATTGGATGCGATCGATCAGTCAGACACTCGGCCTTTGTGACATGACACATCCACGTGGATTAGTCATTGTTAGGGCCCCAGGCTTCACGTCGCTTCGCGTCATGCGAGTGGAACGTTATGGCGAAGCAGTCGTCTTTCAAGAATCCGCTCTTATATAAAAATATGCCACTAATACGGACTATTTAAGATTCGCAAAGCGGGTCGTTGACTAATGCTTTTCTTTCTTAACGAGCCTAACGAGCTGTATCGGCAATGCGCATGAGAATGTTACATTAAAACAAGTATATAATTTAATCCCAACTAGCGCGAAAGAGAGAGAGAGAGAGAACGCCACGGCGCATTCCTTACCGGAAGACTTTTGGATATATGACCATATTTGGTTCGGTTTCACCGATCTAGATTGTTATCTTGAATTTGATATCGCGTTGTGGAACGAATAACGCATATTGTTTAATCGATAGCGAGCAAAATCGATAAGGAATCTCGAAGGAGATTTTATGACGAGGATTCTTGAGACTCAACCTTGCATCTATAATATAATCTGAAGACGAACTTAGCGATAAATAATCGGCGCTCGTACGCACGATCGGCGTTCTTGGCTCTCTTTTCAGAGGCTGCGTTCAAGGATTCGAAACGCGGTCACGGTTCGATGAGCTGTGTATACGTAGCCAAAAATGGCTATTTTTCTCGTTATTTCATTATGCCAGTATCATTAATTTTTCGCAATTTACAAATACGAATCTCGCAAACGCCCAAGCCGCTAATATCAAGCGCAAATTTTTCAAAGATTAAGCTGTAGAGTCTAGTGTCCTCGATGCATACGATGATAAAGTAGGCCAGATATATCTAGGAATCGATGGCGCTTAGAAAGGCAGATATTTTTTTCACTTCCCTGAAGCGCAATTAACATTTAGCATAGACGCTAACTGCAATGATAAGTTCGATATTAATCTTATTTTCAATACAGAATGCTCTCATTTAATTTAGAAAAAGAATAAAAGTACTCGACTTTTATAAGTTGTAGAAATTGAAAAGATTTTGGAAATATATCTTTCGTTGTATGCAAAAAAATTCATTCTTGAAACATATTTCGTTGCTTTTGATTAAAAATGGTGAGAAAATCGGAGATTGTTTTCTATTGAGAATTTATGTGACTTGTTTTCAATTATTTATCATTATTTGTCGAGTTTCAGACTCATAACGGATAACCCGATAAATAATCAGCTGATTGCCGTTGCTGCAATATAGTATTTTAAATGAAAACTGATGAGCAAAAATTGTCAAATAAATGGCTAGATATCGAGTATATTTTACAAATGTGCATGCAGCTCGTGCGAAAGGAGCCTCGTCGCCGGTGTCGGAGTCGATGTCGGTAAACGAGAAAGAAAAAAAAATCACGATAGCGAGCAGGAGCGTAACGAAAGTTCGCAGAATCCCTTCCTCTCTCTTTCTCTGCGTCTTTGAGATAATTTTCAAAGTAAATATCTATAATCTCAAAATTTTTAAATAATTCAAGTAATTCTTATGAATTATACTATTACTGCATAAGCTGCTTTTAATTTATTTCCCAAACTAGGAGAATTGTCTGGAAATTTGCATCGCTTTCTCTTCATATATGCTGTTAATTAATGATGTACAATTAAAATCTCGCGTAATTACAAGTGCGCTGAACTTGTGATAATGTGCGAATTGGAAACGAGAATCCGGCAATCGGCGTACATACATGTCATTGAAATTAAAGCGAGGAAATTTGAATCACGAGTTTTTCAATTTTCGACATAACATTCGTTGGCTGTGATAACTCAAAATATAATAACGTGTTATTTGGAAATTGTTTATGATATCATTTATTGATTTATTTATAAAATCATTTATTTAATTGATTTATTTATGATATCATTTATTTAACGATTTGTTTTAAATTTGTATGTATGAAAACTTATTCAAATTTCTTTTCGCTTTTAAGATTTAGCTCAAAATGGAGCGGAGAGCGATCGCAAAAGCTGAAGCTCATTAGTTGCATATAAATTATTTAGAATGTATATTCGATATATGATAATAATATCCGCTCGATGATTTCTCGGCGAGTGGTTGCCTCTCTCGGAGATACGCGAAAAAGTGGATTGGTACGGTTTAGATAGCGTCGAAGGAGGCCGTCAGGGGGATCGACCCAGAAGAAAACCTGCTTCCATCGTGACACCTGTCTCCTCCGTTACATATATACAGGTATCCCAATAGGAATGCAAAACGATGATGTAAGGCGACAGGATAAATAAGTGTTTCAATGTCGGCAACGTAATTGCTGGCTTTTTTTCATTGAAAAAAATTGTACAGTCGTTACTCCGTGTATAGATAATTATATTGTAATTATAAATCTGCGGTTACGAGATGTAGGATACGAAATGTCGTCTTGTCTCACCTTTATGGTGTTTGGTGGTCGTGGAGAAATCGATGAGAGACGTCTGCAGCGGGCACCACGCCCAAAGCGAGGGAGGGTGAAGGTGCACCGGGACGAACCCTATACAGAGACTCGTGGAACAGCTCAATGTTGCCGTTACACATCGAAAATGACGTACAATGCATCTCTTCAACTTCGACCTATAACATTTATAAATGACCTAACCCAATGAACTATCCAACTTCGAAAGGGACTTCATTTCCATCTTTCTTTTCTCTCCACAATAGGGGGACTAGATCAGTCATCATCATGGAATAAAATCCAAGTATCTCGACACTTTGATGTGCAAATTTTATTGCTTTAAAAAATTTTTATTTTATAATTTAACAGATAAAGCGACACTTTTTTTATAATATTAGAGTTAATCAGAATTTTTCTCTAACAGTAAAACCATGATGCTTACTTACGTATAGTTAATTCTAATCCTCTTTCTTTCTAGATTAACATAACGTTAAACAATGGGCGAAACGAGAGATTTATTTCGTTTCTCCCGCATTGCAAATCGTCGAGGAGAAATTGGCCGCGCTAACAAAGTCACTGACTTGGTGGCTTGGTTTAATTGGCGACCCGAGGCGACGGCGAGGTGTTTTCACGGCTTCAGAAATCAAGGCCACCGCACGCACACGCATCTCACACACGAGATTGAACGTGTAGCACGTCGCGTGAACGCGAGCATTTCTATCTTCTCTGCCGTTTGAGTTGCTCTGGGAACAAGTCACAAACAAGAGGCTTTTCGGACTCAAATCAATTCCTGCGATAAGAAAGATTAGTTTACTCTTACTCTAATAAGAATATACGGATAAATTTTTATTGTGAGATTTCACATTTATACAGATGAGATTAAACAAGGAACAAAACCGCAAAAATCTTGTATGTCAAATGAGACTGATTCTTGCATTCACTAATATTTAAAAAAGAAGAGATAATTAATAATTTTCAAATCAATATCATACAATTTTGATACGCTATAAAGCCACGCTTTTTTAAAATTCATTTCCGATTATAAATGTATATATTTTTTATAATTAACATTGTTTTTGAATTTGGATCGTTTGTGTTTCTTGTTGTTAAAATTGCAAAAGCAAAGTTTTGCAAAAGCAAAGATTTTCTCATCTGTATCATTTTTAGAAATTTATTTTTCTAAAACTTCTAATCTTCTTATTATATACTTGCATTTTCATATATACATATATGTATTTTTTATGTCTAAAAATATTTAAAAATATATAGGATTCTCTCTCATTTATCTCTGTCGCGGTCTAATCATAATGAAGAGTCTCAAGAAAGGCGACATCTCCGGTTGATTTCAATTCCGGGATATAACACAGAGTTTCCCCTTCCTGTGGCAGGATGCCACGCCAAGGCAATATCCTCCGGATGTTGGTATCCTTCGAGATAAAGTCTAAATGGGATTTTTCTACTATTCTTTTGTCAGTATTATATATAAGCTTACTTATACCTCCTAGACAATAATTAGCCTCATCAAGACACTTGCGCGAAACGCAATGCAATTGGAGCGATTAGCTTGCTTAACGAGAGGGTTCGTACTCACATATCAAGTGTAACATGCATAATAATACTTAAATACATATATAGATTTTGTGTTCTACAAGTCAAAAGATGCATGTTATTTTTTTTCGAATGTAAATTCATCATAGATATTAAAAATATTTACCTATTTATTTAAAATATAATAAATAAATATATTTATTAATATATTTAAAAAAATATATATATGAAATTAATATTAATAAATTTAATAAAATTTAAATTCAAACTTACATTAATAAATATATGTAAAATTATTTACTGTATATAATATAAATATATATTTATTAATTTATTTTTCTATAGCTTTTAATCTGCTTATTATATATTTACATTTTGACATATATTTTTTAAGATTCCGTTAATGCAATCGCTCTGTTAATTGTTGTCGGACAGAAAGCTGTATGTACATATATCATCCTTACATGCGTATAATTTGACTTGAAACATGCGTGTAATTGCGATACTTCTTTAATAATTTTCCTTCGTCGCATGCACGAAAGAATTGCACGCTATCCAACACTACATCTAGCCAAATAAAGAGCACGTTTCAATATCTCTCCATTATATGCGAATATGTGTGTCAGGGTTTCCGTGTGAATTGCTTTTTTGGGCGAAATTGTTACGCTATAAAAATGAGCTATATGAAATGACGAATTAAATGAGATAAATGTGTGTTTATCATAGTACCACATCGTGCTGATTTAAAATGATTTATTCCGAGAGAATAATAAACATGAGAAAAATGCGCCAATTCGCAGAGAGCAATTTACATTTAAAATCGGCAAATTTTAATTTTTCTAAATTCGCGGATTTACTTTTTACTCCAAGATCCTGAGATTATTCATCCTGATTAAATATGAAATAGTGATTAATATTTTATAATAAATGTATGGAAGATTAGGAGGACCTATTATATTATTCGCAAACATTAATAATGAATCATAAAGTACGGAAGAAATGAACAAAATGAGCGGTATTCGTTGCAACGCGAACGAAAATATTTAATGGATTACGTGACGTAAAGAATTAATCGACATAACGGGAATCCGATATACTCGGCCTTCGATCAGCCATATAATTTTATCTCATGCCTCTTACCTTTTACATGTGTCTTTAGTTTTTTTCTAAATAATTCAGCTCATGCTAACAAGTCAACGATCGTGGATCACGCACATACACATATATTGCTTGGTAAATACGTATATATTAATATAAAAAATGAAAAATAATAAATGACTCTACTTCGGGAGAAAAATAAATATTTATAATTTATAAAAATATTAAATATTTAAAAAGAGTAAAATATTTTTATATACGTACTTCAAACGATGAGTTTATCAGCAATACAAATAAATGTAGTTATATAATTCCCGCTCTAAAATATAGACGTAGATGGCGGTACTAAATGGAAATGCATAAGTTGCATTCATTCGTTTTGATTCTGAAAACGTTTGATCGACCAATCGGGGCAAAGATTTCCTTACCTTGATTGGTCAATCAAACGCTTTCATCATTTGCAGCATTTAAAACGAACGCTGCCGTAATAGTGACATTTCATTGTTCCCTATAACCAAGTTTCTAGTGCACATGCGTCAGTTATTTGGCTAAGGATATGGCTGCGCCAATCAGTTGCATTCGTCTTAAATGTAAATATTGGAAGCATTAAAATAAATACAATCATCGCGTTATAATAATCAATTTTCCAGTTTATTGAGAAGGAAATTTCTTATCATCTATCAATATTGAAAATTTACAGTTTATATGACCAGTTTATATTAAAAATTTCTAATACTGGCAACGCAACCTTAAGCTCATTTGTGCTACTGTCAAAATAGTGACAAGTGACATGTGACACTATATCAAAGGTACCGCAGTTCTAAACTGTTTATAATATATATATATAAATTATAATATAGCATTTATATAAATTATTGTGTATATTTTTTTATATTATAATTTCTTTTTAATATTATCTATGTTATAGATTTGTGAAATTTATAGATAAAGTTTACAAAAGAGAGCTAGTTACGATCCTAGATACTAGACGCAAACCAATCAATCTTTCTTACGAACAGTTGTAAATCGATTGGCTGTTTGGTTTTATTTTTCACCGTAAATTTCCCTTCGCGAGAAAAGTTGCGTCTATGTATTTTATATATATATCTATGATCGTGTATATCCATACTTGAAAAAAATTAGCCACATTTGCATGTGTCGATTGTCATCTCTCGTTTAACGGTTGAAGAATCTTGAAGAGGTTAGTTCTCTCATTTATCCATTACGTATCAATTGAAATGCAATGATCGACAGTCATTTTTATCGAAGCAGCTGCGACTCATATCTCGTGGCGCTGATCGGGAGATACGCGTAATCGAATATAATATTGCAAGGATTATGACAATTGCTGATACAACATGTATCGACTAGGAAAATATCTTCGTTGAAAATTCTGTAGAGGAAATCAGATCAGCGACGTCATGATCCGAACAAACAGGTTTGTCTCTTTGTCTTTAGGCTTGTTTGAGATGATATTAATTTTACAATTATATGTAAGAATTGTATACAGTAAAGTATACAGTCTCTTTCAATTGATAGCTTTGTGGGATGATTTTATCATTATTTTTTTTCTAAATCCTCTAGGAAGAGATATCGCAACATAGAGGAGGAATCTAGCGAATTTATGCCATTAAGCAAACGAATCAACAATCTTCATATCAATAGTTTATCAGGTCTACCAGAGAGTAGACCTGCCGGTGTGGTAGAGAGAGTGGAAAGCATGGAAACCGATTGGGAAAGTGGAAATTTTATGTCTTCTCCGAGCTGCTCTCAAAACTCATCGCCCAGGGGCAGCTGTGGTTCTAGCCAAAGTAATTTTACCAACGATTACAGACCAGATCTAGATGCGACGGAGAATCCTTTTTATTATGAGAGCAACAAGTTGCTCTTTTCCTTATATATGGAGCGTATGCAGCGAAGATTGGACCTGTATTGATAAATGCATGCATTACTTGCATTATATCCTATAAAATATCCTCTTGGCATTTGACGTCCAGTCCTGTTATTTTGCCATATTTTTCTACGCGACATATTTTAATGAAGTTTTCCATTTTTCTCATTATATTAATCATGTAGATAATAGCAAGATACATTCATTCGTATTGACCAATAAATTAATCAAATTTTCGTATAAGAATCGGGATTAGATATATCATCCAATTGTGTACAATTGCGTAAAAAAAGTAGATACTTTTAATTAGCGTATATGAAACTTGCATGTAATTGATATTATGGATTATTTACGACGGAATCGGAAATTCGATTATATTATTTGATTATGTTATTATATGTTTCAATAATATCAAGATATATTCTTGATCATGTGTAATTTAATATGCAAAATTTTTGTGCGTGAAATTTTGTAAAATTGTGTAAAAGAAGATTAGGACGACGGGGAGGTACAAATAAAAATCAGTAAATTCAATTGAAAATAATATACATGTATATATTTACACATAGTAATATACATAAATAATTATTCAGAAGCTTAGTTTACACCAGTGTCATTTGACATTCTTCAAGCATATTTAAGCAGATTGGCCAATGATTAAATCAATTTATTAATTATTTACTATTTGATGCATATTAAACGATTTATGTTAGGCCATATGGGATTTTCGGAAACGCTCGTTTTATAAAGTGCGCGCGAGCGGGAGGTGGCAGCACCGTCGAGATATCGCCAACTTGGCCGAGCATCCACCAGGGGCGCGCGAGTCGCCGGAATCGTTCCGCGGGCGTGCGAGCACAACAGAGTCCGAGCGATTGGGAGGGAGGAGACAGAGCGAGGTGACAGGTGTCTCGATATCGTGCGCGAGGTGAGATACTTGCAATTCGGCGCGAAAATTTCGCGAGTGCGGTACGTACGTGGGAATAAAGGCGCATCGCTTCGACCACTTCAATTCGGGCGGATACCGCGCAGGCGCCGCGTTCCATCGCAATATCCCATATCGCTTTCCCTCTTTCTCTCGCCCACTCTGCACGTAACCGCGCGCCGCCATAGTTAATATTTCAGCCGATATATAGAGAATATTAATAGCGCGCGTACGTGTGTGTGCGACGCGCGTCGTTTCGATCGAAAGAGAGAGATAGAGAGAGGCTCGTTGGAAGAACGAGGATGCATCGGTGGTGATGTTGAACGTCTCGGAGGCGAGAGGCCGAGTGTCAATTCGCGGCAGCGTGACTCTCTCGGGCCAGCCGAACGAGTCGAGTCGAAACGCGTGGCCAGCGTGTTGTTGTAGTGGTGCCGTAGGGGCAGTCATGTACCGTTAGCTCCATTTCGTTCCCGTTGGCCGGTTCTCTCGCGGAGAATTCACGCTTCCTACCTATCTACCGACCGAGGAGGAGACCGAGTCGTATTCGATCGGCTGTCGTAAACCCGGAAACGCCAAGTGTGCGCGACTCCGAATCTCTTTCGCGCGCTGAAACGAGAGAGAGAGAGATAGAGATAGACTGAAGGACGGACGGACGGACGGACAGACGGACGGAGAAAGAGCGGCAGTGTGCGAGCGCGAATTCACGTCGTCGAGTCACTCTCTCGGGCTTCCGTTAGAGACGAGCGTACGTGTGCGCGCGCGCGCGCGCGGGTGTCCCGTTCTCGGCACATACGGGTTTCTCTGCGTGTGCGTATATGACGTGTGCGAGCCCCGCGAGTCTCGCGAGACGATACACGACACGTCGATCGGTCAGCGTCGTACCCGTAGAAATGAGAAAGTCGTTGGCGCCGCGCTGAGGATCGGGCCACGATCGACGACGCAGGCGAGCCAGCCAGACGGACGATTCCCGTACTAAGCGTACGGAGTTACACGAAGGCGGCGACAGTAACGGCGGTACGTTGGAGCCGAGCGCGCACTGGAGAGAGCTGCTCTGGTGGCTGACTCGACATCTCTCGTTTTGCCAGCTCGTCCACCGCCTGTACTTACGAGTAAGTAGAACGCGGAAGGCCGCGAGAAATAGCTACCTGTCTCGTCTTCTTCTCTCGTCCCTGCGCGTTAGAATAGATATACGTCTAGGTATATATTATCTAGCGCGATATTTTTGCATGCAACGACCATATGCGTGCACGCTCTTCCTCTCTCCTCTCTCTCTTTCTCTCGCGCTCTCTCTCTCTCTCACTCACTCTTTCTCTCTATGTATATATATATATATATATCTTTGTTATCCTGGCTCGATCGCACTACGTAAAGTCGGACGGATGGGCCGACGATACCGCGCCCCGTGGTTGCCATGTCGCGCTGCACTCCCAACGACGTAGACCACGAAGAGCACGAGAAACCGCGAAACGGTGGCCACAGAGAGCACCCACCCCAAGACACTAAAATCGTCGCGGGCCCCTCGTCGTGGCTCACGGCTTGGCTCGAGCTGGCTTTGGTGGGGTGGTTGGAGGTGCGGACAGTGGTTGAGAGGCTGGTGGGGTTGGAAATTGCGTGGTGGTGGGTGTTCGTCGAGGTCTCGGAGGCCCCTCCGTGGCATCTCGCTGCCTCTAACCCATCGAGGTGGGGGTGTAAACAACAGCCCTGCCCGTGTACCTCCGTCGCCTCGTTTCGCCTCTGCCCTGCTCTTCGTCAGCTGATGCGTCTTTTGCCGCGTGCCGTCGTCGATCTTTTTCCTACTTCCGTCCTTGGCCCCCCGGGTACAGCCCGAACGAGACGAGTCGAGACGAGGTAGGAAACGCGCGACGAGGGGGACAAAAGTAGGGATAGAAACAGGGAATATATTCACGGCGTGTTAGAAGGGGTTTCGCGATGCATTCGGGAGAGCGGGAGAGAGAGAAAGAGAAAGAGAGAGAGAGAGAGAGATGAAGAGAGGGAAATGTAAAAGAAGAGGAAAAAAAGGAGTCGCGTGCCATTTTCTCACGCGGATCATTTTTCCATCATGGCGGATGAGCGTACGTCTGCGTTTCGTGCGATTGATGCCGTTGCACGAATCGCTGAGGGAAGCGTCAGGATTAAATCGAATTTCCATCTCCGTCGAAATAATTTCTCCTCGATTATCGTCGCTTTAGCATTCCTCTCGTACGTCCTCGCGCTTCTCCGGGGGAGCAACGAGACATTATTTTTTTTTTTATCGAAGGCGTGGAACGCACGAAAGCGGTTGCACAACAGGCGCCGATCCGTCGAGCGTGCGGCGCCCCATGCCCAGTGATGTCATAGCGTGTCCGAGTCGCGACGAGACGCCCGATGGATTTCATGAAAAATCCACAGATGTGCCTTTCGCGAGGATAGACGTACACGCGCATACATACGTAGACGTACGAGCGACAGAGAAGGATAGAGAGCGGGAGAAGGAGAGCAAAGCTCTCCTGGCCTCGGTTAACCTTCAGAGCGAATCTCTGCGCCATTACGACATGCGCGTCTTGCGAGAGCGTCCAGCGGCGGCAGGCCACGAGCGACAGGCGGAGCTGACCGATCAGTCGCGTACGCCATTCCGCGTATGACGAAAAACACGTCGCGTAGTGTTGTCGTCGTCGTGGACGAGGAGTAGCTGGCGCGCGTCGAGATTACGTCTCCAGGCCCTACTCTCTCTCTTTCTCTCTCTCTCTCTCTCTCTCCCTCTCTCTCCCTCTTCCCCTGGTTCGGGACGGCAGAACCGAGAAAGCACCCTTTTGGCCCTCCTTCGGGGGAAGAGGCATCCCCCCGCGCGCACATGATAGACGCACGCATACCCGGGTATCTCTAACCTCTCTGTTTCTTTCCCGCGATCGGGGCGGGGATACATCGTCATCCCGCGTTATCATTGTCATCATTGTCCCAATTCGTCTGGCGGTGTGTCCGTGCGGCCGCCTGCCCGCGACGACGACGGGTGCCTTCGCCCCCGACGCGTTTTCGCGTTCCCCTTCCCCGGGGAATGCCGGTGTGCCGCCCGAGGTTCGACTCCCTTCTTTCTTGACGTTTCCCCCTACCCTTGCCTACGGTTCGCCTTCTTTCTCGTGCCGTTTCTCGCGGTACATCGGCCACGTCGAGGTAGCGCGCGAGAGAAAGAGGGAACGGAGTCTCGAGCTCTATTTCGCGGTAGGTTCCCACCTATGGACCTCCCCCCCTACCCTCATCGCGCTCCTACCCCTTACGGCACCCGTAGGGGCACCATCACCGCCTGATGGAGTGGGGTGGGATCCTGGGCCACTTTGACGACTATCCTCCCTGCTCCCGGATCCCTTTTAGGTAGGGGGAGGGGGTGAAGTGGGGGAGCCCTCACCCCACCCTCGGAGCGATATCAAGGCTCCGAGTCAAGAGCACGTTACTCGCCTCGTCGGCGAGTCGCTAAACCAACGTGGGATTTTCATTTTGTCGCTTTCGCGGAAAAGCACGTGGGAGGGAGGATGCGAGGTAGTCGGGTTCGATTAGGTTAAGTTACCGGGATGGAGCACGAGCACCTTCGCGTGTGCGTCAACGATGGAGGGCGACTTTGATCTCGTGTGTCGCGCGATTTTAATTACGATATCGTTCATTGTGGATCGCGCGATGATTCGACCGCGAATTTACGTTTCACCCGCGCCAGGAATTTTATTCGATTTCATCCCTGTCTCTAGATGACGGTCTTGTGATATTTTTCATGTTGTGTATATTTCTTAAAGGTCACGAGAGTGAAAAAGATGGACATATCTCAATATGCATTCTTATAACATAGTACAATTTAATAAATCTAAAACACAGGAAGCAAATGTTTATCCACATCTCATCTATTTGTAATTTTTCAATTGAACATCTTGGGTAAGAAGATGAGACATCGAGGCTTGATTCTTAAATACAATTAATTATTATTGTGTTTAAAAGTACAATTTTTTTATATACTTTGTACCTAGGTAACACAAGTTGGTTTCATGAACGTTTTCTAAATGTATCTAATGATATTAAGATTTAGAAAACGTTCATGAATCAACATGTGTTATATATTTATCTTGGTATTTGCTAAAAATAACATTTATATTTATAACTGCATTTGCGGCAACAATTTTATTTTTACATTTAGTGACGTATATATATTGAATATTTCAAATAAAATAAATTAATTTTGAAAATTTATGTTTATTCGTAATCGCGCGAGAGAGAGCATATTTTATTTTTATACTTAATTCAATTTTAAATTCAACGCATTCTCTTATTTATGTCACCTTAAAAATGCAGTTTTATAATAATACTTGCATCTTTTATTAAAGAGTAAAAATGTTCCATTTGAAAAAAATTAAATATTTTGTTATTATTGAGGCAATAAAAATGGATTTCTCTTTTTACAGGTGTAATTCTGAAAAATGAATTTCACACCTTTCCCTGGATTCACCGGCTCACTGCCGACTGGTACTGTTCATCAATTCGCTACAGCAAAATTTGCGCAGAATCTTACTACAGGAGGACAAGTGGTTGGAGTTTTGTCAGGTGGTGAAGGTGGTGTGCATTATCTAAGGCCAGTGGATCCAAATGGCTTTGCCGTGGCTCAGGGCGGAAACAGTCAGCAACAGCAGATTATTACTCTGCCTATCACTGTACCGGGAAAAGATGGCACCCAACAACAGCAGACTGTTCAAATACAAGTTGTCAATCCCAGCGTATCTCAAAGCGGAAATAGCGGTGATCAACCGAAATATCATTTGGCGCCAATATCGCTGAGTCAGTTTCCACAAGGGACAGCCACCGTCCTCACTGTTGCCTACAGTCAGCAAGGTGCGGATGGAGTACAAATACAAGTACAGCCGCAAAACACTGTGGCGACTACGCAAACGTAAGTACACGATGCATATTTTCTACATTTCGCATTTTATCTTACACTACATTTTACATATGGAACAAAGTCGAAGAGAATATTAATTTCTTTATTTAATTTTACGATTGTAGATCCGATCAAACGACGCAAAGCACATCTACCGCTGTGACCACTACATCTCAGCAGACCATTCAACAGACGGTACAGCTTCCGGGAGCGCCCGAAGGTCTGACTGTAGTTGCCCAGATTCCTCAAGATTTGATTCTGCGGGAAAGCATAGAAGAATCTAAGGAAGATGTAAAAGAGGGTACAACACCTGTGGCCCTTATCAAGCGAGGCAGTGTCAAGAATCAAGGTAATCAGAGCGGAGAAGAGTTTATTACTTCTATGCCCGCTAGTTGGCAAAGTCTGGCCACTCCAGGATCTACGGTCGCTGATTACCTCTCCAGACTACCCACTAGTACTCTGCCTCTCAGTTTGCAACACTTTCTCAAATTTTCGGCGGAGACTATAAAGAGAGAAGCTACTATCGAATCTAGTCCGCTTGGAGCGGATGGTCTTGATGCTTCCGGAAGTACAGCCTCGGGAGAGCAAGCGGTTCAGATTACAGTCGCTGGAGGAGAAACGGCGATCATTCCCGACGTTGTCGAAGAACAGGAACCGGGAGCAAAACCGAAGCGAAAAAAGAAATACAAAAAGAAACCTCCGAAACCGAAGAAACCAAAACCAGGGCAAGTAAGCATAGTTACCGCTCTCGATGGTACGACCCTGTTTTGCTGCCCTCAATGTAATATGGCGTATCCGGAGAAGGAAAGTTTGGAACAGCATTTGATTGGACACAAAATCGAGAGGAGGTTCATATGCGACATTTGCGGCGCTGGTCTTAAACGAAAAGAACATTTGGAGCGACACAAATTGGGTCATAATCCCGACAGACCTTTCATATGTTCCGTTTGCATGAAGGGTTTTAAGCGAAAAGAACACTTAAATCTTCATTTTGTTATACATTCTGGACAAAAGACCGAAGTCTGCACCGAGTGCGGTAAAGCGTTCTATCGGAAGGATCATCTTAGAAAGCACGCGAGATCTCACCTCGCTAAGCGTGCCAAGGAAGATCCATTGAATACGAGCGACGCGGCGCAAAATCAACAACAGGCGGACCAACAGCAACAGCAAGTGGAACAAATGCAACAACAATCTTCGGTGCCCGAGTTGCAGCAAATCCAGATACAAGTAGGGCAAGGATCTCAAGCGCAGATTCATCAGATTTCCGTGAGCGAGCAATCTACGGTAGTTTTACCTACAGCTGCCGAGACTGGAGCTATGACTATGCTGCATCATCAACAGCAGCAGCAACAGCAACAACAGCAGCAGCAGCAACAGACGCAGCAGCAGCAGCATTAGCAACAGCCTACCGCCCCGAATCAACTTGGGCGGTACTTTCGTTTCAACCATCAGCACGCTAGAGGTCGTGCACGACATAGCGTACTCGCTGATTAAATTTTGTAATTTGATAAGCGAGTTGATGTTATCGAAAGGAAGTTTCTTTAATCTTCATCGTTGCCTAGTTGATTATTTCGCAGTCTCCGTTTCGTGAAATGCCTCCATTTATTAAAAAAAAAAAAATGTGAACACCCATGTTTATCGACACCAAGCCGGTTGGAACTTGAATTTTGCGCGCCATCGGCTTATACCTTTAATAGCGGCACAAAAAAGCTCGCATTCGTGTTTATAATAATATCCTGTAACAGTTATTCTGTAAAGCGCACCGAGCTGAATCTACGAACAAAGTTCGTGTATATTTACGAATTTCTTCTCTTTTACGTACACGTTATAGCGTACGTGGAAAGAAGCGACAGTATCCGCTCGCTCTTCGGACAAGATGTTTTTGTCGCTGATCCAGTTCCATGACGCAAGTTAGAGATAAATATGAAAAGTTTATATAAATATATAAATAAATATAAATAAATATAAATATAAAAAAAATATATATTTTTGAAAGCGCGAACTGGATTCGCCGAAGGTGAAAAGGCAATCGAGTTTTGGGCTGAAATATATATATATATACATAATTTGCTTTTACGACGATGATATAAAAATACGTAACGAAAGAATTAATTACATGGAACAGAGTTTGTAAATACAGCGCAATCCTTTATTCCCAAATAAGGGAGAAAATCATGTCGTATAAGTACTACAGCGAAGTGAATCTTATTTATTTCTCTTGTATAACAGAATCGACTATCATTACGACTGGAAACTTGATTCACTGAATCGAATTCAATTTATATTTTATTAGCATTATATTGACAGAAGCATGCATACATTTTTTCTATAATTTAGATCATTGCATAAATATATATATATATATATATATATATGTGACTTTCAAAGAAGATGCAAAAGCATTTGTGGCGAATCTGCGCTTGAAGAGTCCGAATGTTAAAATCGTGGGATAAAAATCAGATTGGAAGTAATTTCGCGCGATTAAAAATCTTTTCTGAAGCAAGAGACAGATTTAGCTTATCGCGTTAAAAAAATGTTTTCCGATAGAGGAAATTTTTATAGTATACGCATTTACGCACGTTGCTATAAAAACATTTTAATTATACGCGATAATTATATCACGATCTAATAAGATTCGTATTTTCACTCGGTTGATTTAATATTGGAATATTGAATTTAATATTGAATATTAATATCGAAAAAAAAAAATTACACGTCGCGCAAAACGAATATTATGACAAGATACGAAGTGTTTACGATACTCTTCTAGATCACACGATGTGTAAAAAAAGGAAAGAAAAACGCTAGGTATCTTTGGATGTAAACCAAATCGATCGATCATGATTTACGAGAAAAAAAAGCTTTTCGATGAAGGTGTATGTATACCACAAAAAAAACTTCTTATTGTAAGTATTGCAATTAAAGGCAATGGGTATAATTGTACAAGAAATATATTATTATTTTATTATCACATAATATAGATATATCATTATCGTAGTTAGGATAAAATAGTACGTAAGCAATTTTCATTGTTACTTACATAAATATTGGAGGAGCTACAAGCTAAAATAAAACATTTAATACAAAAAGAAAAATTGTAATTCTCGTCTCTCTAATTCGTGTAAGTTTCACGGAAATCGCATGAGGTAGATCAAGATCTCGTCGGCGATTTCGCGATACGTTGCAAGATGACGAAACTGCGCGTATACCGGGTAGATAAACGTGAGTCGAGGGGACGAGGGTAGAAGGAGGGGGAGGAATGTGACGGCGGGAAGAGTTTCGGGTTAAAATTCCGTTGCCCCATTCGGGCATTTTCGCCGGGGGAGAGAGAGAGAGAAAGAGAGGAGAGGGTGGGGCGAGGGGGGAGGACGCGGTTCGGTGCGCCGCGTCGGGAGACCCGGGAGAGAGAAAAAATAGTTAAGAGGCTGGTACAGTAGAGGGCGGATGGGTGGGATGGGGACACCGGCTTGAGGGACAGGTGTCAACGATACACCGCGCGACGGGGGATCTCCTTCCTTTTGACAGCCGGCTGCGCGCGGAAAGGAAAAAAGAACGGCGATCCAGGCGAGCGCTCGAGCGCGGGTCACCCGGACGGTAAGCGTCATTTTACATCCGATTCCCGGCGTCTCTCGCGCCCTATGTCCCGCGGCAGAGGCCGACGAGCCGCACGCCAACGGCCATTTTCTCTCCCATGGAGAGAGCCTGGTGCGGTGGTGCGGCGGCCCCACGCCACGTATCGACTAAGTATCCGATGGAACGGAGTGGGATGGGGTGGGGAAGAGAGAGGGAGAGAGAGAGAGAGAGAAAGGGTGGCGTTTGCGTCTCGCCGCGTCGCGCGACCCCCATCCCCCTGACGATCGGCCACCCCTCCGCGACTATCTCCGTCGGTGGTTTTTTTTCTCGTCATCCATATCCTTCCTTTTTTCACGGCGCGTTCTCGCGCGAAGGGGGTGAGTCGTCTAGCCGTGGCGCGTCCTTGGCCGGCGGCGATCCGCCGTTTCAGCGAGCGTTAGCGAGTGTCTTACGCGGCGACGTGTTTTACACGTCACGAAGCAAGCCGGCGTATCGTCCGGATATATATTTCGCTGCGTGATATCCCGTTGTGACAGACGCTTGTGGTCGACGCGCAGCGCGGTGGCGTGTCTACCATCGCGCTTCCGTCTCTCGCTCTTTCCTTCTCTTTCTCCTTCTCTGTCTCTCTCTCTCTCTTTCTCTCCTCGATTCTGTCTCTATCCGGTGTCTTGTGTGCGTCTGTCTGTCGCGTGCGAGAAAAATCTGCCCCCGCACCACTCGTACTCTCTCTCGTGTGTCTGTCACGGGGATCCCCCTCCGAGGAAAGGATCCGGTACGGCGAGGAAACATGGGGAGAGGGACATCGTTGTGAGTAAATACCTCTACCGGACCTCTGTTGTAGACGATGTCGTTCGGCGCGACTTGACTTGTGATCGAGCTGCCAAGCGAGTCGGAGATGCCTCCCTCGGTGTTGAAAGATACATCGCGATGTATCCTTTTCGCGCAGAGAACGTTAGAGAAAGAGAGAGGCTGCTCGATGATCGGCGAAACGTCTAGTTTGGCGATCCCGTCTCTTGGCTCGCTCGAGACTCGAACTGTCAAACTCGATGATGAATTCGTTATTTTCTCCGCAGAACGTACATGTTTCCTAAAGTAACCTTTCGCACATCTCTTGTATTGAAGAAAAAAGTTCTTTTTTCTCATAAATGATTTTTTTCATCTCCTGTCCAGGTATATGATTTCCACTGACGATCTGCAATGAATTTCCCGCCGTTCGGAGGTCACTTCCCTACTACTATACCGAGTATTCATCAGTTCGCGACCGAAAGCTCCAGCGGTGCGGGCGCGCGTTACGCCAATCATTTTCCCAACCAGCCTCCGATCGGAGTGCCGGTTATGGGAAAGTACCGTCCCGAGAACAACGGCGTACAATCCGCTCAGTCGCAAGTGATGATGAACAATAAAACCAGCTATCCCAACAGTAATGTTCACCATTATCCAAATGTGCCGTACTCTCAAGCCCAATCGGTTCAACAACGGCCGGCCAATTCGCCTGGAATGCAAGAGAAACGCTCGTATCATCAGGTAATGTTATTTTTCATCCAATTAATATCTTTGAATTTAATAATTTAAATAAAAAAATAAGCAAGGTGCTAATTAAATATCCTAATTTATCACTACAAAAAGACAGCGCTCTAAATTGTAATGTACTGTTTACATTTTCCTCTGTTGCAGCAGTCCACGGAAACTATAAATCAACAAGATGTTTGTAATCTGCTTCAAGATAAAGATAAGAATAAAGAGAAAAAAGCTGAGGAACAGCGCAATGGAGAGACTACCACAAATGGTACGCAACAGGATTACACGATGCACCAACATCATCAACAACATGCTCATACTCAGACACCAGCCACTATGCCCGCTACGTGGCAGTCGCTTGCTACTCCTGGATCCACCGTAGCTGATTATCTCAGTCATTTGCCGGCTAGTACTTTACCACTGAGTTTACATCATTTTCTTAAATATTCTGCCGAAAGTATTAAAAAGGAATCCGAGATGGCTCAAACTACTTCGGTGGCTGTGGCGACTACAACGACACCCAACATAATGATGTCGCCGAATAATAAAAAGAAGAAAAAGAAGAAGACGCCAAAGGAAAAGAAACCGCGTCCAAAGCCTGGCGAAATTCGTTTAACGACAGCATTAGACGGCTCGACGTTGTACTGCTGTCCGGAATGCCATATGGCGTATCCGGAACGAGAATTGTTGGAGCAGCATCTTTTAGGTCATACCTTAGAAAGAAGATTTGTCTGTGACATATGTGGCGCTGGCTTAAAACGAAAAGATCATCTTACGCGTCATAAACAAAGCCACAATCCCGAGCGACCTTACGTTTGCACCGTTTGCTTGAAGGCTTTTAAGAGAAAGGAACAATTGACGTTACATTTTGTAATACATTCTGGAGAGAAACGACACGTGTGTACCGAATGCGGCAAAGGATTTTATCGGAAGGATCATTTACGGAAACATACCAGAAGTCACATCGCGAGAAGAGTGAAAGCTGAACTAAGTCAAAACGCCAGTAAGAAATCTGTCATGCGTGTTAAAGTCTGAACATGATATAATTTATAATGATTTTTTTGTCATATTACATTGTCAATTTTCTGTGCTTCAGGTACACAACAAAATCAACAGCAAAATAACGTTTCAAATATGCAAACGACAACTGTTTCGGCATCCTCTGTTCTTCCGGGCGGGCATCCGGGTTCTCTCCTGTCCTGAGCCCCGCCACCAGGGAACTTTCAAGTTCCCCATCCAAACAATATTCTTCATACGCATACTTCACATCATTCGCTGCATCATCATCATCTAACAGCGGTTAATGTGGCGCATCAATCGAGCATCACGCCACTCGCTACATCCGGTCATTATCAGTCGCACGAGCTTAGCTTTTTGGGACACGTTAAAGATTTCTGAGACGAGGAGAGAACCTCGACAAAGAGGTAACACCAAGATGCTAACCGATTGTCACTGTCTCGTCGTCGACGTGAGTAGTTCTGACTGACACATGATTTGGATTTAGTGAGTTTTATATAAACATATATATATTCATATTATTACGTGCTTCAAAGCTTCCATGTCTCATCTTGTTGATGCAACAAAGATGTATGATTACTCCTTTGATGAGATTTTATTTTATTTATTTATTTTTTTTTTCATTTTAATTTTTTTCACTTATACTTGCTCTGTCATTATTCATGATTTATAATTTGCTCATTGATCCAATATTGTTCTCGCTACAGAATTATATATCAATCAATACAGTAATGTATCAAATATAACACGGTGTACAATTATTAATTTAGTTTTAAAGAAACTTTATTGATTATAATTGGACACCCAATGTATATAATATAGCAACAATTTGCTAAAATGTATCTTTTTTAGAACAAAGAATGTTTTTTTTTTAAATATTAATATAAGGAATAAAGAGACATAGAAGCTATACACTCCTTATAGCACAAACAAAAGTACACATGTGGGAGAAAAATATTAATCTTCCACAAAAACTCTAGAGTAGACAAGTTTGACTACAAGTCAAAAATTCTTGCCATACATTGTGTACGACGAGAAAAAGAAGATATTTTTATGAAAAGTCAGTGTTAACGTAGATATTAAGCTGATTGATGAAAAAAGGGAGAGAGAGAGAGAGAGAGAAATTTAATATCTCTTAATTAAATCTCTTTTTCTTTCTTTGTTTTTTCTTTTCTCGCATCATCGTGTTTTAATCATTATTATTTCCGCGATGGTCGTGAATATGTTTTTATTATTTCTTGTTAAATGACATTACACAAGTGCAAATAGTGTAAAGGGAATGGAAATTACATACGCAGTTATATTCCTAATACATATAAATGTGGACGACAAATCGACCCACCGATTAGAAAACAGTCTTTCGTTTATTGAAAAAACAAATACTGAATTTTTTTAGTGTGCATATATATATATATATTGCGAAAGGTTATCTAAAGCATCTTTTAGTATGCATGTATATCGATGTATAATTTATATTAAATTATAATAAAAATTTTTGGTTATGCCCTCTCTATGAAAAAAGTGGCAAATTAGCATAGCAATATTTCGCGATTGACAAAAATTATTCGTTTTTATTAAAACTTTTTGTTTCCTTTATATATTAGTTGACAGTATTTTATATTTTACGATATAGTGTTCTAAATTTTTACTTTTATATTGTATGTATACATATGCACAATTTTATGTACGCGAGTTCTTGACCAATAGGTTTGAGACAAACGCGTCGTTACTTTCCTTTACGACTTATACCGAACACTTGTCACGGAAGCTTAATTAGATTTATAATTTTTTTAGATGACTTTTTTTTATATTGTTTTTATACATTTTCGTTGGACCTCTTATATTCGTTACATTCGTTGAGTACTGATTATATATATAAGATTTATTTTATAGGTTCGGCATATATATATATATATATATATATATATATATATATATATATATATGTATATTATGATTTTTTTTTCGATTATATAAACTAGTTTTTTTAATGTTTATATTTATCCATAATCGCGGCGCGCGCAAATCTTCACAGACTGTGATTGTTTTCGACAGAGAGAGGATATTTGCTGTAATGGTCAGACTGCGTTTTATACTTTGATTTTTATCTCTTTAGTCTTAATGTACGTGCCATCGTTTTTTAAACTCATCCTTCTCAATTTTTCTCTTGCCATACTGACAGGTATTTGTTTTATAGTCATATAGATACCGTCGTGAATATATATATATATATATATATATAGAAATAAATATATTTTTTTTATTATTACCATGTACTATCTCATCGTTGTGTCATCATTTTTTATTATCAGCATTATCATTATTGTTATTATTATAATTATTATTATTTATCTCGTATGTCTGTAAGTATTATCATAAAATAATGTCTACATATTATATAAATATGCATACTACAACGTAAAATGTTAGAAATATGATGAGATCTTATTGTAGGAATTTCAAATATCCATTCTTATTTATTCGATAGGAATTTTTATCTATTTTTTATCTGTTGAAACATAAATATTACTGTTTTATCACTTACATACATTGATGGACATTGTGACAAAAATAATTTTTTATGTATTTTTTATAATTTTATCTTATTAAATGTGTGTTACGTCTTTTCTGCTATTGTTATGTTGTGCTTTACATTCCTTATTAAAAACATACAATACTCTTTCTATGGCAAGTGTCCAGTTAACGTAGATATTACGCTTATTTTTCCCTCGTAGATATTCATTATAATAACTATAAAATAATTTTTTTTCTATCTCTAGATTTTTATTTATCTTTTCACATCATATCTCTAGCATAAAACGTTTTGAGTAACACAGAAAATTCAGGTTTTGTCAGACCTCAAGTATAATGATATACTAAAATTATTACATACATGGATATATATACATGTATACTATAAAAGCCATATGTAAGAGATCAATTTATATTAAAATATTTCATATTGTCATGTATACTTGTAACTATCGAGACAGAGAATATGTCTTAAATTATACGTTAGTGTATAAGTTTGTATACAAAATATATTATAACATAAGATAGGAGCAGAAAAAGAAAAAAAGGCAAAGAATTGTATACAAGATGTATCAAGAATGTCGCGCACTTTCTTCTTATGCAGATACAACCTTAAGAGATATACAATTTTCTGAAGTGCAAAAATATTCACGATAATTTTCGAGATGCAAGTAACTGAAAGGAAATAAAGATCTAATGTTAGAATTTATTATTCAGTATATATGCTAGATAATGTAAATTTTAACGATATTTTGAATGTAGACTTTATTTCTCAAGGTGTTAAAGATTGATTAAGGAGATATATCGGATTAATTTTGTAAATTTTTAAGGTGTTCTAATTATGAGAAAGTGCAAAATTTTTCATGCATCTTTTATATGGGAGAGAAAGAATATATACGCAAACGTCGATATAAGTCTTGAGGAAAGTAATCTGTTTTTTACAGTGGTAGGTGGACTATGCAAATAATGGTAAAAGATAAGAAGAATAGCTTTACGAGATTTATAAGAGAAAGGATGGAAAAAAGTATGTGAATATTGAAAGAGAGAGAGCAGCAGATATTTCCAAAGTTCGACATATGTCTTCGACTGTTCAAACAAATGAGTGGCTCAAGAAGATCTATTTTGAAGGCTAGCTAAAAGAACCTATTAAAAGAACCTATTACCATCCTCGACGAGGCGAACAGTTGATTCTTGACGAGTTAAAGAACCGACCGTTTCGTCGTCGAGCTATATAGAGTAGTAATGTTCCTGTAGAAAAAGGAAAGATAATAGTTGATGCGTTTCTAAAGAAGAGAGAAATACTTTTCCGGTGCCTTTGTATTGCGCTGGATTTTCCGCACCTATATAGTTTTCCATCGTAAAGTTTAAGATCTAAAGAGCGGCGCGTTGTGCCTCTCTGTTTTCGAAACTACATGTATGTACACTTGTCCGCCTTCACGTCGTTCGAGCAGCCATTTTTCATTATTTTTATATCGCTTTTCTTATTATTTTAATATCTTATCCGAAATAATTTCAGTGAATATATATTCAGTGATATGCCATGATATTGTGATTTGATAAAGTACACGTTTCTTTCTCAAGATAAGGAGAATATTTCGTTTAATTTCTTGAGATAGAATCAGAAGAGTGATTCGATTAGGGGGACAAAAAATATGTATATATAAATATACAAATTGGATTTATTTTTGTCACATAAAATATTCGAATAATATTTTAAGGAGGATGATTCTTATTTCATTTATGTTTTTGTTGTATTCTAGAAAGTATATAATTTTACTGAATTTATTGAATTTATTTTGGACATAACAGAGAAAATGATTGGGACTAATTAAAGAATATCGTTATTCCTGAAGTGTGTCAGGCGCGCTCGTTCGGTTTCGATCAAACTGGAGATATCGGTTAAACTTGATTCTCCTTCATCTTGATTAATTAGAAGCGATCAATTAAAAGTATATGGATTTTATAGAAAATATACTAATAATAATATAGAATATAACTAATAATAATTCATAGTAATAATAATAATCATAATAATAATAATATTAATAACAGCAACAACAACAACAATAATAATAATAATAATAATAATAATAATATTAGTAATGCTAATAATAATAATAATAATAATATTAATAACAATAATGATAACAATAAGATTAGTAGAAGCAACACGGAGAAAACAAGATCCGATTCTCTTACGACGCGCTTTATATATATATATAGTTTTATGCGAAACCCCAGAAAGCTGTAAGCAACTTTGTGAGTCGGCAACGACTTTCATTCGACGACGAATCATATATATGTAGATTTTCTCTTTTTATGTTTTTATAATTATATATATGATAATTTCATAATTCCTTGAAGTAGAGAGTATAAATAAGCTCCGTTTTATCTTTAATAATCTTTTGTAATCGTTGCTCGAAATGAAAATGGTTCTATACGATAAACTTTTTTTGCAAATGTACTTATACTTGCAAGGCAATGTCCTCTGTTCTTATCTACTCATTCGTTCCGAGCAGCGAATATACCGTTGAACGGTAGAGATACTGTAAAGGCGACTTTGTAAATTTGTAATCGGACATCAAAGTTGGCTACTCGACGAAAGGGTAGTGGAAAAATCTAAAGAGAGCTCGACACCTCGATGTAACACGAATGTGAGGTCTCTCAGGAGCAGTGATGGCAATGAAAACCATATTTTTCTATATACGCAGTGTCCCGGGACTTTCCATTATCTGTATTAAATCTGTAGAGCAAAAAAGAAGAAGCGAATCTGACCCATGTCTTGTCGCAAGACGCAAAAGTATACCTCGAGTGCGAATGTAATTGTCAATTGGTTCATGCAAAACGAAAAAGTTAGTTAAATATGTTATTGTATATGTTAAGTATGTTATTTCTTCTTTTATTTTTATCATAAAAATTGTCTTTCGTTTTTTTTCCCTTGTCTGCGACATTTGTTGCGGAATACAGAGTACAAGCTTCATCCATAGATTTTGCATGAACCAAAACGTACGTCGCTATCGTGCGAAGAATCTCCAACGGGGAGACTATGATTTAGTCTTTTTGTTTTCTTTTTGCCTTAATTTCGATCCAACACCTTGTCGCGTGCGTGCTAGGAATGTACGTGTCATACATATGTATGATTAACAGAATTCTCGACAAATATACGTTAACAGGCGATTGATGACGGAAAGACATACAAATTCCTCGACATAGTACAAACGCTCAGATTCTTCTTGTTTTCCCTTCGGATAGATTAGAATGCAATGCGTGGCACGGGATGCGTGTGTAACTAATATATGAGAGTGAAATAATAACCGGCTGACCTCGAATTCTTTCTCGTTCAATGTAGTCTTTGCGCGGGGACAAATCTTTTCCGGATGACGTGAGATTTGTATATTTGTATCGCGCGATTAGGATTAAATCGGGATGGATGATAATTTTATATAATTGGACTAGGCGAGTCTTCTACAAGTGCAATAATGTCCAGACGTTGGAGTCAGTGCCTCCATTTAGTCTGTTTTTGAAACAAAAATTTCAAATGCAATTAGAAATTGTCTCGTCTTTTTTAGATTTATTTATTACTTATTAAAGACTTTATTTTCTATATATACAAGTATGTTTATAGATGGACGCTGAAATTTTTTATAATTAAATGTACGGATCGATTTCGAGGGCTTCCGGTGATAAATTATTTACATAGCACTGACGGCTGCATCACATTTTGCCTAATTCAAGCAATTTTTTTCGTTTATATTTATATAATCTGTAAGCTTATATTCTTCGATTATCTCCAGTTTTCAGCTGAATTTGTACCGCAGTCTTCCAAGGTACAAAAAATAACCGGGTTATTCGTCGTGCGTGAATCAAAAACTGATAAAAGAGCACAGTGAGAGGACATATAGAAAGAGAAGAAACAAAAGGACGAGATAAATGTGTGTTAAAAAAAAGACAAGTGTATAATTAAGCGATCCCTCTGATGATGTCAACGTTTTATTTTTATATAGAACGCTTAAAATGTCTGATGTCGATTTTGAGAACGCGAGACGAGAAAATTGAATGAGCAAAAGGTGAAAGAGCGAGTGTGAATAATAATAACAAAAAAAAAAAGAGAAAAATATTTAGAGAGACGTAGATGTGTATTAGATGCTGATAAACTTAGGCCGCGAGAAGAGTGAAAATTTACAATTTGCGCGCGTTTCTAAGATACTTCGGATAAAAAAAATATGCTTCATGTATAATATATCCTATATGTTATACCACATTCTATGTATACACATATACCTATATACATAGATATGCATCCACAAAAATGCGGTGAGACGTATATCTTTTCTTACAATTATTTATATATCTAAATATCTATATAAATTGTAAGAAAAGTCATACATATATCGGAAGATCTTTCATTTGTTCGGAGTTTATTACCCGAAAAAGAATCTACTCTCTCTCTCTATCCCTATCCCGCGTGTCACTTCTCTGTTTTTCTTTTCCTCCATTCTTGCGAGAGAATGAGAGATTGTCGATCAACTTGAGTATGCGTTTTTGCATTTCCAATGACTGTATCATACATATAAACGAGGTAGATATTTTTATATATATAATAATCATTTATTAATTTATAATTAAGACTCACTGCGGTTGATAACACACAATACTCTATCCTTTTCACTTTTTCTTTTATCTTAGACCGTACTCTTATATTCCACGCATTGTTTGTGTGTGTGTACAAGAGCGCAACTTGACAGTATAATAAGAGAATGCCAATAAAATACCATGAATTTTCATAACAAGTACAACAAATTTATATATATAAAGCCCGACTCATGCACGCGCCTATAATGCACGTATATTATTGTGTTGGAAATGGAAGAATCGACATTATGTATATTTTGTGCCTTTTCGGGACAGGACGCAACATTTGAATATCTTTTCTGCAAATTTGCTGCAACGAAAAATGCAGAAATCATATACATTAACGAGATTTCGATACACGTCAATTTTTTTTCAACGATGCTAAAACGGGGGGTACAAACCATCCTTTCAAGTAACAATAAATTATTTCTACAGATATGCATCAGTGAATCCATGTAGATGTCTTTATATCTTGCTATCGCATATTCTCTCATAATGCTCTTCTAATTTTGTTACAATTGCAAATACTACTAATGCGTTTTATTACATTATTAATCGCCGCACAAAGATTTAGCCAGGATTTATATTCCGTATATTCGATGGAAATGTTTAATAATCCACAAAAAAAATATAAAAATTGCAGATTTTTATTTCTACAATATTACCGCTTTACAATATTACTGTTAGTCTTTCAATTTGATGAAGACTGTTTTGTTTCTCTATTTTAAACGCAAAAGAAAAAAAAGCTAGAAAATTTGGGAATCGTGTTATTGCATTGTATTGCCAAGTATATTGGTATTATAATTTTTTTTCGTTATGCAACTGTCACCAATATTATATAAGATCTAACGCGCTTCACGATGTCATAATCAGTTTCTATTGTCTTCTAACGCCTAGTTAAATTTATATATTTCTCAACGCAACAAAGAGACTATCATTTCTGGATAACAAACAGCAATGAAGAGCAATCTCGAAACAAGATTAAAGCTTAAATCTATTTAAAACGATCAGTCTAATAAAATAATCTATGTTCTGGCTGATTATGTCATACATATGCGTGATTTATAAAAACATTCATCATCGGATTTACAATCTTATGCAAAAAAACTAATTTTTTGTTCAAATATATAATGCTATATAAAAAAGATTGTTGATAATAATAATTATTCCGAATTTCAACGCAAACTTATGCAAATTCAAAAGATTTCAACAGGTACATTCTTAATCAACCTTGTACACGTACAGTGTATTATAAAGGATATTATAAAATTGATAACATTATCGTAATCTTGCCTACTTATTGACAAAGTACATAGTAATAAGATACACTCCCTTAGGAACATGGATTCTTATATTAACAATTATTTTCGATTATTCCGCAAAGTTAAGTATGTTAGATAAAGCTCATTAAATTCGTATTAAATCTTAATTAAGAATTAAATCATCGAAATAGACCTCGGTTTATAGACGGAGATGAGAATATATGTTACACGCCGTTATAGCTAATAAAACTAAGTCCGCAAAATTGAAAATGGAGGAGGTCCCGCCTGTCTCATCATCATTGCAAAACTACTTAGTCCTTCATCGCTCGGTTGTTGATCGTTCTGATTGTTTTGCGATATATTTAAATGCTTGCTTCGACCGCTATTATGACTTTGCAAATGCTTCTTCAAATGGTCTTTTCGATAGAAAGCTTTGCCACACTCTGTACAAATTTGATTCTTGCTACCTGAATGAGTGATCATATGACGCGCCAAGTGTTCGTTACGTTTAAATGCTTTACAACACATATTACATTGATAAGGCCTATCTTTATTGTGACCTTGCTTGTGACGATCCAAGTGCTCCTTTCGTTTTAAGCTCGCCCCACAAATATCACAGATATGTGGTCTCTGTTTATGATCTTCCAGATGTTCGTGAAGCGCCTCCCGATCTTCAAATCTATAGGCGCACTCGGGGCAATGATAAATCAACATACCTTGCAAGAAAAAAATATGTATATTTCATCAAATTATCGAAATTTATTGTGTGAGACTCACAAAGATTTTTTTCAATAAATATTCCATCATATTATTATAAAAGATATGAAGAAAATTGCCTTAATATAACATAACTCACCATTAATATGTTGCGGTTCAATCTCAAATTCAATTTTTGGTCTTACTGCTTGACAACTATGCGTAGAATTATTACTGTTGTCTTCATATTTAGTTACGTATGGTAAACCTAGTGTACTAGAACAACGTGCTAAGTATTCAGAAGTAAGCCTAAAATCAATCTGTAGAGGATCTGTCATGGTCGCAGCATCAACTTTCTGCACAGTTTGTGTGCCAGATGATTGCTGTGAGATTTGCGGACAAAGCTCTTTGGTACCGCACAAGTTGTTTTCATTCCTATTCTCATCAGTCTGTTGAAAGTGTTGTGGCTGATGACCAGAGTATGTATATCCAGTCATGCTGGGTCGAGTATGCTGATGGGCATGAGTGTTTGGTGAATATTTCACGTTTCGTGAATCGTAAGCCATGATATTGTGCAAACAGCTGTTGCAGAGGCCCTGATATATCCGTTACAAAACTTTAGTCGCTCGTTCGATATCTATGGTGTCTGTAGTATTTACAACATCCACAGGGTCGCCTTGAAAGTAAAAGTAAAAAGAACGAGAAGTTAAAAGGCGACAATCTCACTATGATATATGTGATAGCATTGGAAAAAAAGTGCGTCTTACTTTACGATGGACATCATTGTAGAAAAAATGATCGCATCCTGCTGCGTTGTTTTTATCATGCTCATCGCGTCGTTTCTCCGGCGAGGCAGATATATCGGCATCGCCGATCAATCGTCAGCCGAGTATAAACCTCGATCGGATGATGTTTCTTATCTGCGATTACGTTTCATGCCGGATAAAGATTATGCTGATGAGCCTGCGAAATCTGCGATTATCTTGCGAAATGAGTGATACGAGTAAATCGATTACGATCGATACAGAACAAGAGGACGATCTCAACTTCAAATCCCTTTCAACGCTCTCAGTGCTCTCACCTTCGTACGCTAATCTCACGATATGTATGTGTGGACCGAACGCTGCGAGCCTATCCGTTTGTATCGGTTGTGCCGGCCATCTTTACGCATCAGCTGCGCTGCACTGTCAGCAGCTGCGCGGGGGGGACCGAAGCGCGCGAACGAGACTGCGCTGCTACCGCAGAGATGTTAAAAGAAAAACCGCTTTTTTCTTTTTCTCTGATGAAAAAAAATGTTTTTTTTTCATCGAAAAAAAATTAATTTCGTTTTTTCTTATCATTTTTTTAAATGCAACATTACTTTTCTTCATTTTTTTTGCTAATACAACAAAAGGAAATCTTTTCTCTCTCTTTAAAGTCCTTGCGTTTTAATTTATCTTTTTCCGAAGATGATTTTAATGGATTAATTAAACTTTTGTGGCAAGTTACAGCCAAGTACAATATGATTCGAGCGATTTTTGAATGTGTAACAAAAAATTTTAATATGCATTTTAATTGAAAAGTAACTGATTTGTTATATTTGATAACCGTTTATTAGATTTATTATGTTTGATAATCATGATAAACGCGAAGGTTCCATTAAAATTATATTAAAAAATAAAATAAAATAAATACCAAACCCATACAGCGCAAACCAGTGTTGTTACATTGCAGCAATATTGCTGCAATGTAATAACAATGGTCTGTGTTGTATGGGAAGTCTCTTACAATCGGCTTCCTCTATTCATTCGCATAAATATAATAATATATTAATTTTGAATTTATAAAACATTTATGAATTACGAATAGATAGAGGAAATCGATTGTAAAAAATTTTGGTATTTTTAAATAATAATAAAGATATTTAATAAAACATATATAAAAACAAAATCCTAAAAATAACGAGGTATGTGTTTTTTTCACAAAAATCATATTTTATGAAGAAAAAACATTTTTTTCTACCTACATCTCTACATGTTACACTATATATATTATTACTATTAAATTACATAATAATTCTCCAAAGGAAAAAATCTGTCGAACTTTAAAAACTCTCTATACAAATTGGTTTAGTTTACAAACGAATAACGAATGTACAAATTCTTATAAGTAATTATAATCAAAAGTTTATATCGTTTAGTAAAATGCAGCATATACATATATATATATATATATATATATATATATATATATATATATACTATTTAATAGTTAAAAAATCAGAATATATCGAATCAAGAGATCTATATTGGTTTTAATACATTTTTTTCTCTCTATTGTATTCTCTCTCCTTTATTTTATTTTGTCACTTTTCCTTAATTGTTGCAGTCTTAAATAGAAGAAAAAGTACATGTTAATAATATACTAATTTTCTTGCGTTTATTTCTAAATCATGCACGATTTTAGACCAGCTATGACCTCAATTTTTTGATTAAATTTGTTTCAATTATGCGTAACTAGAATAAAGAAAAATAAAGAAAGCGAGAAGGGTACAAAGATACAAAGAAATAATTAAATATTATTAAAATTCGGTGTAGCTGTAGATTCTTTAAACTTAAATATGCACAAATTCCGATAATGCTTTTACAAATTATTTACTGTACTCGATTTGCCTGTTGGGAGGGAAGACGGAATTCCTCTCGAGGAAACTTTGGCAAGAGAATTTTCCATTCGACTGATCAATTTCTGAAAAGTATTCCTCTTGGTTACGCCGTTTCCTTCAGAGGGATCCTCGATCTCCTCACACTCGTTCGAGCTACTTCGTCTATTCGTCTCGATGGAATCGCTTGCTCGCGACTTTCTGTTCACAGCAAACCGATTCCACGATTTCTTGTCGGAGTTGATTGTCGATTTCGACGCGTCCTCGTTCGTGTCCTTTTTCTCGCTAATGTCTCTTTGTCGCGTAGTGAAATCCACCCACAATGCTATATCATCGTACAAATCTTCGTTCTGCATCCCCGCGATGTCGCGGATGCACAGATCGCTCCTCGGCGACTGATAATGCTCGATCTCTTCCTGGGGAGGGTCATCGCCATTCGTCTCCAATTTCGTATTTGCATTACTTATAGTTTCTTTTGTCTTCACACTCGACTCCTGCATCGATCGCAGGCTCGCTTGCTATGAAAAGAAGATTCTAATTAAGTGTTGATCGATTAAGAAATTGCCAATTAACGTATTACGAGAAGGGAAAGTAATACCTGATTTTTGTATTGTTCTCGACAGCTACTGACATCATCGTAAAATTCCTCGCCTTGTTCGGGATCATTTGGAGTTGTCGATTTTATGTAAACTGGCTTAGGTGGAGGAGGACAGTGGTATTCCGACAATTCTTGTTCTTCGTTCATTAAAGATTTACAATTCGGGGTCAAATCGGACGCGTCGTCATAAGTAGGCATTTCTTCCTTGGTCGAGGACGGCGGTGGACTCGATGAAGCTTTGCCCTTATATCTCTTATCCTTGTTTGATTCTCTTCTACTTAGGACTCTATTCAGAAAGGATTTTTTTTGCGCAGATTTACTCGATATTTCAGTCTGATCCTTTGCACGATCTTTGGCGAATTTCTCGTATGGAACTAAATTCTGCATCGAAACAGTAAAGAAAGTTATTGAGTTAATTATTGGAATATAACTGATATATTTGCGCGATTTTTCATCAAAAATTATTATTTTTCCAAGCGTAAATTACTCGATGGAAAAGAGAGAATTTATATTTGCAATGAACAGTAAATAAATGTTAGTATAACGACGACGAATTAGTAATAATGACAAGTGCATTTAAATGAAATAAAGAACAAAAGGTAAAATTGCTTCGCATTTGCAAAAATGACATATCGAAATTTTAATTATTAAAACATTAATTTTTTGATTGTCTTATTTCTTTTTAATTTTTAATTATTTTATATAATTTTTTAATTTTTTAATTTATTCTTCCTTTTTCATTAATAATGAACATACAATTTTTTAAAATACCTCTAATTTCATCAAAATAGATAGTCACTTTAGGAACACTCTGTATAATAGAAGAGCATAGTGACTTACTTCTATATCATCATAAAGCTCTTCCTTTTGTTCTTCACCATTGCCGATGGAACAATCGTGATTCTGCCGTTCGCTGTTCGCATTGATAGCATTGATTCGCGAAAGGGCGACGATATCATCGTACATTTCTTCGGATGGTATCGTGTCACGAGAGCGACTGATCTGTTTTTCCCGTATCTGTCCATTTTCTTCCTGCATTTGTCCTTCGTTATTATTTTCTCTTACTTCTTTCGCGCAAATATCATCGTATCCGACAGTTTCCTGCTTCTTATTGATCCGTTTTTTCTTCGATAACACCATATTCTGATAACACGTTTTGTTCTTCAAATCTTCGATCTTGTGATAAATGTCATCGTCGTCATCGTCATCCTCGACGGCCGCTTTGTATAAAGGTATCGCGTCGCCGTCAGGAGGTAAAGAGGGTAATCTCCGCGGTATCCGGGCAGGTAACGGAGGCGGGTTCTCGACCTTGTTTTTTTGCTCGACCTCTTCATCTTTACTCGCCGATTCGGCCTTGATCGTTGGTTTGTCGACGACAATCGACTCTCCTGCGTCTCGATATCGGATCGCGGCCTCGTTGGGAGATATGGGGGTTTCTTCGTTGACGAGGGTTCGGTTTTCGTGAACTTCCGTTTTGCTCTTCGTGCTCTTCGCGCAACCCACCTCACAGATCTTGGCTATCCATTGCTCCATGTCCTTCGGCGTCCTCGCGATGAAGCGTAACGTCTCGTTCCCTGGACGGTACATCTCGAAGGCGGACTCGCTCTTCTGTCGGTCGCGGGGTATCAAATTTGGCGCCGGTCGGGCCATGTATCCGCGAATCGGGTAAATCACGTAGGGTCGGTTTTGCCGTTCGTTTCGGTAGATGAGCAAATGCGACCCGATGAGCGCGATCCAGCAAGCCCGGCTCTCCGACAGAAACAGCTTCCTCTCTTCCTTCTTGTAAAGCGGACCGCACTTGTGACATTTACTTTTGATCTGTATCGCAGATAGGTTCTTGTAGATCTTGATTAACTTTTGACCCTCGTCTGTTTCGTCTTCGTTCTGCTCGGGACAATCGTTCTGATCGACACTTTGACCTTCGTTTTCGAAGGTCTCGTAATAATCTTGATGATTCTGCTTCTTGGGAGATTCTTCCATTCCTACGTATTCCTCCAAGTCGCCTTCGCTCTTCCTTAACAATAAACTTTTCGGACCGGAGTTCATATCTAGATAAGGTTCTGGAGAATCTCTCTCTCGAGTCATCGTTGTGGTACTTAGAGTCTCCCTCGAGCGCACCAACAGCTTCTCTCGCAGACTCTCCAGCGTAAGAGGAAGTTGCGCGTCGCGAAGGCATTCCAAAAATGTTATCACTTCTATCGAGACAACATTTTATAAGAATAAGAGCTGAATTCAGGTAAATATATGATATATTTGAAGTAAAGAGAAGTATAAACAGTTTCTACATTTATATTAGAGTCTCTTGTCGAGATACGTACCGCGCAATACGTCGCTGATGTTCGTGTCCATTTCCATATTGCTGGTGTATTTCGATGCTATTTCTGAGCAAAATTTGCGCCAACTTGGACAAGTTTGAAATTTCCCATTGAGAGAATCTACAATACGAATTCGATCGATTTATCCATCATTTCTCCGCGGGCTCCTCTTTCTAGAATATCATAATTATAATTATAATAAATATATGCAGGATGTTCAGCGATCCGCACAATTTTCAAGATACTTCCCGCAATTTAAAAAAAAGTCATAAAGTGAATTTTCATCTGGCTGCGACATGTAATAAAAAAGTTTGAAAACAAAAATATTTTTCGTGAAGAAGTCAATTATTTTGAATTTTTTAAATAACACTATACAATTTTTTTCATAATTTTTTCATTATAGGGGTTTGAAGATAAATGCAATGCATTTTATGAAAAAATTTTTTCAAATTTTTTTTGTATTTGTTGTATATCCTGCATAAAACAGAAAATTTAGCTTATGCCTTTTTTAAATTGTCAGAAGTATCTCAAAAATTGTGCTGACCATTACTCTGAACACTCTGTATGCATTTATTTGCTTAATATTGATGGTTGATATCTTCAGTGTTGACGATAGTCACATCCTTACAGGATGTATTATGAGATACGGTCGCTGCAGATAAAGCTTTATCAAACATTTGAATACTATTCATTCTTACAAATTATAGTATCTCGCGTATACATATTTTCGATCAAAAAAATAATTTTGCTTACTTTCTAGTCCATTTTTTTTTACAAATTTATCATTGAATTTGTATTTTTATTTTTAACGGTGTGTCGATTAATTTTTTAATACGATTATATTCTAGTACGATTCGCATCGCGAGAAGAGAGAATACAATTTGCGAGACATTTGCGTGTTTAGAAATAGAGAATATGTATGATCTACTTTACACCGTGCTAAATACCCGGCATAATCAAGACACAGCGTCATCAAAGTCACTTCGATTGAATTATTGCTATTTTCTCGGGCGAGGAATTTCTCGAGTGTCTTGACGGATGACGCGTCGCCGAGGTTCGCCCGCGGAATTTTATTAACTTTGTTAGCATTTGTCTGCCTTAAATTACTTGTCCGCGACTTTCCGGCACCGCCCCTCCCAGTTTGTCTTTATAACTTGGAAAGAAGAACACGTCAACGTTTAATCTTTAAATGTCAAACTTTTAATTAAATACATCGAAATCAGAAGCAAAATTACATCCTGAGGCACCTTGCGGAAAAAAAAGGACACGATACCTGCCAGAGAATTTCAAGCTGATTGTCCGAGACTTAATCGACGATCGCGGATCGAAGAGATTTTTTTAGTAACGTGTCGCCTGTCACGTATTGTAAGGAAGACGAAGAGAGAGATGAACAGAGATAAACGGTGTAAATGATCGACCGATCCGATATCTCCGAGCGAGACTAGACTGTCGCCTCGTTAGAATTCAATTAGCGCGACGTGACACGTGCGAGAGACATAAGGCGACTCCCGCCGAGACGTTCGCGCAGCTTCGTCCTCGCCCTCCGCGTTGACTCCTCGCTTCTCCTACGCCTCTTTCATGATCTGACTCATTCATCGTCTCTCCTGCTTGTCATTTCCCCGGCCTTCGTTGCGCCTTCATGCCCTCTCGTTTAGAACGGTCATCGGTTGGAATTGATCGTTTCTGCCGACCAAGTAAACAACGAAATTGTACTCCCTCCTTTTCCCTCTTGCTCCATCTTATTGGGTTCATAGATGACCTAAGGCTGTGGAAAATCTTGTCGTATTTGTTGAAAATCAATTTTTGCGTCGCAGGAAAATAGAGAGAAAAACAACGTAATTAGTTGCATAAATGATCCTGTTAAATATATGCGCGCATATCTTTTAAAAGTGATCGAGATATCTCACGTAATGTGGACTTTGCAATTGTGATTCAATATGAGATATTAAAGAAACACAAAATAACATTATTGTAAAAGTCTAGTTTTATTTTATATTATATTATTTTATTTTATATTATAATATTTTATATTATATTAATTTTACATGTTAATTTTATACGAAAATAGATATATATTACGTTAATATATTACTAATAAAATATTTTTGGATGTCAAAGAGAAATTGCTTTTGTATTTTACAGCAGCTTTCAAAATAATTTTAGATCATTTTGATCTTTCAAAAAAAAAACCGCATTATGTCAAGAGCGATACATTTCTAAAGTATTATTCAACATGATATAATTTAAATCGCTCTTGAAATCATTTACATCTTTGAGCACAGGATTAACAAATAATTTTCACCGATGGCAAATTATATACACGATTATTCTCTAGTATGTTTCCCAAGGAACTTTACCGCGAACCTTTTCCAATGGTTTGACGTAAATATTGGCCGAAATTTCCGACAATTCCGGCCATTCATCGGCCTTGGCTTGCGCCATTTCCTCATCGACCTTCTTGTACATTGTACTTCGTATATCCTAGCACGCATGTAACGCATAGTTAAAGGATAATTGTCACTTCGTTACGCGTTGCAATAGATTAAAATTATATTAATATTAAAATTCTAGGTGTTAATAATTTTCTGTCTCACATATGTAATGCTCTTTCTCAATTTTACTTTAATTACTTTAAGCTATTAGATATTTCGAAATTGGGAAAGTTACCTCAACTTCTTTCTCGGTCATAAGTCCTTTTCCTACGACGACCTTGTTCAACAACATGATTGGATCTTGCTCGGTTTGTACAGTCTTAATTTCTTCTCTAGTGCGATATGAGAAGCCGGGATCGCTCATACTATGTCCAAAATAACGATAGGTTGTCATCTCTATCACGATTGGTCCGTTTCTGAGTGCGTAATCTCTGCCGAAACGTATAGCTTCTCGAACATCCACGACCTTCATCCCGTCGACCTATGTATAAAATATATATTTAGCTATTTTAGATATAATGAATATAGAGAACATTAAATTAGATAAAATTAATAATTTAAGTCTATTTTAGAGAATTAAAAATTCGATTTTTTTTTAAAGAATGATGTCTGAATGTCTAATATATTTTTTACAGTTAATATATTTTTTACAGTTTATTAAAAAATTTGCAAAATTGATAAAGTTATAAAACTTTGGATAGGTTGGTGCCTTCAAGTGAATCTGCTAGAAAGGCATTTTTCTCAAAACACTATTTTCAAAATCGGTGTGATAAATATCTAGAAAATTATAATGGATTAAATAACTTCAATATTTTTTAAATGCAAAAGATACTTTTTTGAATAAATAGAATTTAAAAAATTATTAATTAATATTTTTCTGAAGCCAGAAAAGTAAATTTCTTCAAAAAAAATTCATAAAAATCATCAATTTTTCATAGTGCTAGAGTACTATAAAAAATTGATGTGCTATAGTTACTACTTCATAGTTTAATAGAGTAGTCTGGATTCTTAATATTAGAACTTATTACAAGTTTAATTTAGGAGAAACTCATGTCAGTTGATGATGTCTCTTCTTTATATAAAATATGCATCTAAAGCAACCTGCGTTTTACCCTTATTCCCGGTATAAGATCTCCGCGTGTATATAACTGCGTATTCGCGCAGGACCGGTGCACGGCCGTGCCCATGCCGTATCGGTTATTCTCGCAGATGTAAACCGCTGGTAAATTCCAAAGCTTCGCCATATTCCAGGCCTCGAAGACTTGGCCCTGCGAGGCCGCGCCATCGCCGTACAATGTGAAAGCCACGCCGCCTGTACCGTTGTACTTATGGGCCAGGGCCATACCAGTGCCGATTGGTACCTAATCGCAAAATAAAGCGAATTTAAGAATTAAAAAGATTAATAATGAAAATTTTTTTAGTGTCAAAAGGATAAATTTCTAATATTTAAAAAAAAAATTTAGATGCTAGGTTCCCAGCAGAGGAGAGAGTCGCGAATGATCGTCTACCTGTCCGCCGACGATACCGTCGCCGCCGTAAAATTTCGGTGCGTACATGTGCATCGAACCGCCCTTACCCTTGGCTGCGCCCGTTTTACGACCCATGATTTCCGCGTGTACCATGCGCACCGGAATGTCAAACACGACGGCGAAACCGTGACACCTGTACGCCGTGATGACAGTGTCCTTCTCGGCCATGGCCATTCTCAGACCCACTGCTATAGCTTCCTAATAGAAAATGCGCAACGTACGTTCACTTTCCGGTTACCTATCGGTTTTCAATTGCGAGTTCTTGGTTATTCTTAGGTCTACCTGACCGGCGTATAAGTGTAAGAAACCATTGATGAGCCGCTGTCTGTACAATTCGGCGGCTTTGTGCTCCATTCGACGTATGTAGTTCATTTTTTTGAGAGCGTACGTGGCATCGTCAACATTTAGGGTCGATTCCTCGGTCGGCCCTTTATCGAGTCGATACAGATCGTATTTCTAAAATGAAAAACTCGAGTTAGAAAGGAAAAAAAATAAAGTTTCGTTCTGTAGATCGCATACCGATTCTACGATGGCTTCTTTGGTAGAGTTGCAACGATGCAGCAAGTTGCATCGCATCTTGGCACCGCAGAAATAAGGCGAGAATCTTAGCTTCATCCATATTGAATACATACTTGGATTCTTTTCTCGATATTGTTAAAGTGTAAATTGTTGAAGTGGAAGTGGAATAATTTCCTTGATTTTATTAAAAGATGTTCCGATGTCAGTATCTTCGAATCAACATTATTAACGTGATACATCGATGATTCTCGTGTGATATATAATTATATTATTTTATACACGTTGGTTTATTTCTTTTTTTTTTACTGGAAGCTGCATTAATTATTTACTATCTATGCGTGAATAAAAATTTATCTTATAAAGAACTTGATCCATCATATTTCAAGCCTGCAAAATAGCCTCCTCTAAAATAACCGATTGAATTTCCAATAAATTAATAAACAATTTTAACGAATTGCATTTGTCGCAATTCGATTAATAGTGAAATGACAATCGTGTCGATTTAAATTTAAATGATCCTTTCGATTTGGACTCTGGAAGTTGGACGGAGAGTAATTTTATCATAAGAAATAATTCTAAAAATAGGTTTCAATTTGAGAAAGAATGTCTGTAAATGAAAATTAATCGTATTAAAGGTAAAGAAATATTAGGCTATCGATCTTAGCGGACGTAATATCTAATATGAAAAAAGGAAAAAGAAGAAGGAAAAGATATGTACAGAGATGTGCTGCTATTTATCGAACCAACAGTAAGTGGCCCGGTTATTGCATGTGATTAAAGAGTAAAACTACAATCTTTTTTATTTTTTATTCTAGAATAAACGAGCTTTATTCTCATAAATCTCTCTTCTCTTACAAAAATAAAGCGAATAAGAAGCTACGATATTCTACACGAACATAGCCATTCGATTCATATACAAGTTGGATTACATCAGATAAAATCATTCTAAATCGAATATACATAAAAAACAATAATCAATTCCATTAATTGGATAATATAATGAGAGCCTAATTTTTTAAAATCATTAAATAAAACTCTGAGCAGGATCGACTGAAAGATTGTCTTAACGTTGATGTCGTTTCAATAACGCAATCTTCTTCACGTGAAAGGGATACAGCGGTTTCTGCGTGAATGGATCCAAGTGCGTTGTGTGAAATTCATGAGATTCTTCCGAATGAAGGAGAAATGTCATCGCGTCCCGCCACCATCGACGCATGTCTCGTCTTCGTGTCTCGTGCATTTGCATCGACAACAGCTTTTCACCTCGCACGATGTATCGGCTGTGACGCGGACACGGTTGACCATGCTTGCTCGCGCTCCGCGACAGCGAGGAATGCGTGGGCGCTGCTACGCGATCTATCTCGAGCTGCTTGTCAGGGATAAATTGGACTCGTTACGGTCGTTGTAAATCAGTACTTTAACCCCTTACATCCCAGTGGGACTTTTATGTCCCGATACTTAAAAAATTGATCAGTCGGTTCTGCTATGATGTATCATTATCGCGATGACGGCTTATTTTAAAGATCTCGATTAATTTCTATAATTTTTTTAAAACAAAAATGAAAAATAAAAATATTTTATGAAATTGTCAAACAAAATTTCTTAAAATTTGTTTATCTATATTCTGGATATTTCTTAGCAATCTCAATAATCTTATAAAAACAATACTTTTAAAATAATCTATAAAGGTAATTCATCAAAATAGTTCTTACATTTCATTTTTTAAATAGTAAAACCTTTCACTTATAAAATAGAAATCAATATAATATTAGAAATTTTCGAAATTGTTGATAATAAATATAAAATCAGAAATTTAAAATTAAAAAATTAGATATATATTATTGTGATTAAATTTTTTTGATCAAGAATAAAAATCAAGAATATAAAAAATGGAAACATAAAGGATTAATCAAATAATTACAATTCGATATTTACACGTGCATATCTCTTTATCTTGATTTTTTTACAAAAAAAATCTAGATTTTTTAAATAGAAAATTGACTTATAAAAATTCAACGCTTTGATAAGACGTACAAAATCTTCCTTTAAAAATGATTTTACAGAAAACCGATGAAACATTCGTATTATCATGTTTTATATACGAATAAGATGACATTTGAATATAGAATGTACCTTGGCACGCTTGAGACCTCGGCGATTCGTTCGTGATATTTGACGCGCTGCCGGTGTTACCTCGGCTTTCTGCTTTCGTTCCTTGTCGGGATTGCCAAACAGTCCTTTGGACTCCGCGACTTTGATCATGAAAAGCGAATCAAACTGCATCATCTCCTTTCGTTTGATTATGGCGACGAAGCAACCCGGATCCAACATCTGTTCGCTATCCTCGCCGTAAATTTCATCGATACTTCCCACTTCGAACAAATCACTATCGGGGATCTAACGATGATTTTTATTAATATTATCTTTAACGAGCGTAATTGTCATTCTCGAGATGATAGCGATAATTATGCGCGCATATTTTTTTATAAATGATCTTACAACAATGTCAGTCGTAACTAACGACACTTCATCCTCTTCCTCCTCTTCCTGCTTGATCGAGATCGTTTGTTCGGGTTGCACCTGCAATTGACCCTCCGACTGTTCCTTCAATTGTTCCTGCCTGGCTTGTCTGACTATCTTCGAACCTTTCCCGCTATCATCTTTTGACACAGTCTTTCTTTTCGGCTAAAAGAAATGACGAGGAATATCATCTACTTGAAACGAAATGTGATATTTGAAGAGATCATCTTCAACGATCATCATACAAACGATTGAAGATAATTGTTTAGATAGTCAACTTTTTATTAAAAATAGTCTTATATTTATAAGAAATAATTTCTGAGAAACACATATTATATTATATTATTTTCACTTACAGGATGTTCGCGAATGTACTTCTCTGTGGCTATCCGATTGGCATATTCGACAACCTGTTGAATCATTTCCGTAGTTTCGGACGGCAGAATTGTATGCACTTGATATATCAGGAACTGTATGTTCGGCCTGGTTAACGCGTATTTGAGGGTGGAAAATTGTTCAGCGAGTAAAGCGCGGGGTTGCTTGGTTTCACCGGCCAAATCGCTAGTTAACGATTCCAATAGACTAATGTCACCGTCACGTGCGACAGCGAGGTCTACGATGTCCCGGATGCCGGTGTAACTACACGGAGGAGTCGCTAGAACGACGGTCGCTCTTTCTAACTCGATAGACGCTGGTGGCGAGACATATCTAACGGTGAACAAGACGAAAAAACTCAGCACTTTCCTACTAATCCCTTCAAGGTAGTATGGTGGTTCATAATCCCAGGTAATGTCGGTTTTACAAACATTTCCTATACCTTTAATATCCTACCTTCAATTATTAGTTTAGCAAATGTTTATGAAACTATACCTGGGGTAATCATGATATAAATTCGTAAAAAAAAGGAACATTTTTCCTCCATTACTTTTGGGAGAAAACTCGACAATGTTGCAGAGTAACACCCAGACTCCCGAGATAAGCCTCGTACTCGCAGCGATGATCTCCGGCGCCGAAGACCAACAGCCTCCCGGCGTCTTCGATGTCAGCCAGGAGTCCCGCCAAGTAACCCGTATGACGAGGAGCGATCGAATGCGTGAGGATCACAGGTCCGCAAAGACGCGCGACGCGAATCGCCTGCGCCAGCATGGCCGCTCCGAGACACAAGGATCTTTCCTAAATATATCTCTTATCTCTCTAATTTATTTTTTTACATTCGATATCGGTAATTCCAAGTTGGAAACTTCCAGCGGCGATTATATTTACCAGAAAGACGAACCGATGGCTGCGAACCAGGTCGGACACGGCGAGTCTCTCTCGCGCCTTGTCGTGCAAGTTGATCATCTTCGGGCAAACTGGATCGAAGATGTAGTCGGTCTCGTTGAGCTCCGCGGCTTTAATATCGTCGCAGAGTTCGAGTTTTAGCTGCGACATGTCCTTGATGAACTCGTCCCTATCAGCTACTCTCATGGTGTTGATCCATCCGGAAGCAATCGCGCCTTCGTCGGACCAGTTTATCCCCTCGGCGGTACGCAAGTGCATCGGAAGAAGCTCGTCTGAAAGAATAAGATTGATTATAGGGAAACGTCAATTTAATTGATAATGCGCTCGATGTCTTTTACGTTGCTTTATACGAAAGGAATAAATTTATATAAATTGAAAATTGGAATTAACCAAGACTGAGAGCCGAACCGCCGATACGGAGACGCGAGATGCTTGCTGCCAGATGGGTTTTTGACATCAAAAGAGCATCTTCGATATCTTTTAGTCCGAAAGTCTGAAAAAGCATAGATAGAATTGTCGCAACTGTACGTCAATCTTTTCTTTATTAAAGATTCTTTGCGCTCTTTTCTTGACATATGTTAGAAAACTTAACTTTATCAGGAATATCTGTATTTTATACTCTGTATTTAAACGAGATTATTATCTATTTGTGTTTTAAAACAAATCTTTAAATGTGTAAATGATGCATTTATTGTATTGACATTACGAGATGCGTTGTGTCACAAATATCAAAATGACCAAGAGCACAAAGAATTTAAGACCCAGTCTACTTTAAAGAATAAAAAAAATCGACTTTCGTACATTTTCTGAAAATATGTTTCAATTCGATTATATAAATTTTATTGGTAAATTTTTGTAAAATTAATGGAGTTGCAAGACTTTGGATAAAATGGCATATATTTTTCTCGAAATACTGCTTTCAAAATTAACAAATAATTTATTTTTTTTAAATAAAAAACATTTTATAATTATATTATAAGGATCTAATCAGCTATTTTATAAAATCAATACTTAATATTTTTCTAACTTTCAAGAAATGAAAAAATTTCAGTAAAATTAAAACATCTAATTTTAAAATGACATTACCTCGTTATTTTTCATACAATTTTCTTTAATGAAATTAGATTCAGTATCCTATAGAATAAAATTAGACTGAGACCTTTTCATTTCAGACAATTACACGAGAAGCAATATGTCACTGTCGAACTATGCAATTTCGAATCACGCTACGCGCGAGAGCTGACATTAAAAAAAACTAAATATCTAAGTTTAAAAATACTACCTACTCCAACTGTTTAAAGATTAATAAAAATATATGTAAAATACTAAACAAATCAATTTTTAATAATCTTCAAAAGTCATCAATTTTTATATTGCTAAAGTAGACTGGGTCTTCAATGATGAGAAACAAACATATATCGAATAAACCTTGAATATTCTGTTTCGAGTCTCAAGTGCGTTTCCATTGCGTCGACGTGCAAATTTTCTCCCCTGCATATCGTACAATAATAACCAGACCACCTTCTCTCGTTGTTTCAGGGCGGAATTTTCCTGCCAAAATCCACTGTCTTCGAGAGCACGGTTTAAAATGTTCTTATCTGTAAAGTTTGCGTATTTGAAATGTCAGGTTATGTAATTATTATTGTACATGTTATGCAATTATTATGAAGCCATTGTGATATTTTATAGATGTATTTGCTTTCTCTTCGTACGCAAACATCATAAAAAAATACTACAGATGATGAATTAGATGAGAAAAACATTTTTCGATCTTGAAGAGAAAGAGAGAGATTCGAAGAGAGTTTCTCTTTTCGCCTACGTTTATATTCGAAAACAATCTCACATCTCAAAACGTCGTATACTAGACCGAAGACACGTCTCATTTCAGCTTCGTTAGCATAACTCGGAGAGGGTTGAGCATTTTGGAGAACCTGGGCAGCTAGTACGATGTCGTTGACACGCCAACCCGGTTCCACGCAAGCTTCCGTCATCGAGCCACTACTTCCCGAGATGGCCTTCAAGGAAGCAACAATATCCTGACTTTCGTCTTTCCTTCCCTTGGGAAGATGTCCTTTTTCTATGGAGCACTCCCAATCCTGCGAATTCTTTCGGCTCATATGCCGTTTAGAATCCTCCGACCTCGAACAAGAAATTCACATATGATCCTCTAGCAAATTAAATCTATCCTGCAGCGAATAGGATTACGATACTTCTAGACATTTTACGGGATATGTAACCTCGATCACTTCGGATTTAATACGAAGAATGCTCATTTTTGAAAAATGCATTTTCGCGATTCAGACATGAATATAAAGTGAAAAAATCGCAAAGACGTTGTACGTAAAATTAATTATTAAATATAGATTGAGTTTGTGATTCAAGCATCTTTCAATCAACATCCTCAAGATCGAAGCGAAGTATAACACATATGAGAATCTTGCCAGTTCATAAATTTAAAAAAATATTTTTTTGTTCCACAGCAATTGCGATTCGCTTCCCGATTAATTATTTTATTAATTATTCTTTTTATTGTAATCCACATACACACTTCCCATTCTTATACTTGTCTTATATTTTCTCCACAAACATAATTATATATCTGTTAACATAAGTTTGATTAATTAATTATTATATATAATTAACACATAATAAACAATATAAATGATTAATATAATGAATTTGATTAAAATAGTCTTTACCGATAATTTTACATGATTAGACTCTCCAGAAAAAAATACATTTTATTATACCTACATCATAAAATTATAATAAGAACTAGAGATGATCCATAATTAATAAATGTGATAAATTGAATAAAAATTGTAGAAATTTATTAAATTTGAAAGTCATCGTGTGGCAATTATGCATGATTGCCCAAATTAATCAAATTTACAATAACATATCCATCAATCGTAGCAAAATCGCTTGTACTATCTAAACATCTCCATTTAGATTTATATTAATACGATTTCATGTGTACCGTAGAAAATAATATCGCTGATATTTTTAATTTTTTAATTCTTACCTTTTTTATTTTTAATTCTTTACCTTTTATCCTCGGTCTCAGAGTCCTTTTCTCTCTGTAATTCGACGAGACTGTGATAAACTCGGTGACGCCATTCTTCATTGCTTGGCAAAATCAACTTTTCGAGTTCCCTCTCATGTAGCTCGTCGTTGAGCTTCGGTGTCTGCGATGTGAGAAGCAGCCGAAATATTCTTGCATAAAGGGTGAATATACTAGTTTTACGTGCATCGACGTTAATTTCGACGTCACCGGAAGATCCTCCCGATTCCGACGACCGATCTGACGGATCGCCGATTGTCATTGCGCTTCCAGGAACCGTCAGTCGACGAGGGACGATGGTTTTAAAAAACGAAATATGAAAAGATTATAATATAGCAAAAATGAAAAAAACACTTTAGGTAAAGAAAAATATAATTAATAGAGTGTCAATCAAGAGGTAAAATCGAGGAAGAGATTAATGCGCATCTGAGACACGCGACTCGCGAGTTTGGGCGACTTAATCATGCGCCAGCAAATTCGTTTACGAGACCGTCGTTTTTCCTGTGGCCGGGCAATCGTTGAGGCGGAGAGTCAAGAGAAGACTGAAGACACCGAGGAGACGAAATCGTGTCGCTCGACATCGCGTGTCTCCGAAGCGTATCCCGTGAAATTGCATCTTGGACTCTCATCAGCGAAGTGACTCGGATACTTTTTCAGTAAGTAGTTATATACCAAGTGCACTTTTGTCTGCTACTTTACAAACTTTCGCAACTATCGAAACTAAGTAAAGTTATGTCCAGAGAAATGATAAAAAATCGAATTTAATGAGTAATAGTTAAAAAATAAAGAATACATATTAATTGCGCTAGAGAATTTTAAATGCCTTTACCAGGAAACGGTGTACATATTCTCTTTTTTACTTTTATTATTCTATAACATATCCTTTTTTTACTTTTATTATTCTATAATTATACATTTTAAAAAATTCATTAAAAACATAAATTAATATCGTATAATTTTTAGCACCAAATTAAAATCCTGCGGAAAATTAAATTTATAATATTTATATATATTATCGTAAAAAAAAGAAAATGATATATAACTGAAAAATATAAAAAAATATAATGCATATAATATATAATATAATAATATAATAAAATAATACAAAATAATGTAAAAACGCAAATAACTTTTCATGTTCTATATGTGATACCAAGTTAATTTCATTGTATTATTAATTTCAATTTATATAGATTATTAACATAGAAAAAGACTGCAAGTGAAACGTGATACGAGTAGTCAATTTAACAAGTTATTACGATTGATATAACGAGAAAGGAAAATAAAATAAAAGAAAAAAGTATGTGAGACTCTAATAATATCTCTACCTTGTGTATTATTGATATACAGTTTTATATATATGTATTTATTATAATATCAGGCGATATTCAATCATTCATATCGAATTGCGTCTCGTGCACGATCATTTTCGTCGAACAAAATGAAAGACAATAGATAGACAGCTGTCACGTAGGTGCCCGATCGATCATCTTGGAATGACGGCGGCAGGTACGATCATGTTGACACAATTCCATAAGCAGTCAACATTCATGTTACATTCACACATTAATCTCAATTTATCGGCGAACCTATTTTAGTAATATATTTTTACTTCTAGTTACTCTCTATTTCATTCACAACTTTTATATATTTTAATCTTCCACGATATTCTCTCTCTGCGATATTGCACATGATAAAAAATTAATTTATTAAAATATAATAAACAATTTATTATATTTTAGAGAATGCTCATATGCAGTTATTCTTTCGCATATTCTGTAAGCAGAGTAGACCTGTATACACAAGAGAGATATGTAATATATAGTTAAAATATTTATTAATAAAAATATATTCACAAGTTTTTACAAACATCAATCTAAAGTTAAAAATTATGTGATAAATAAATATTATTTATAAAATATATTATATATGTATATATATATATATATATATATATATATATATATAAAAGGCACGTTATTATTTATTTAAAATTTACACTATGTTTTGTTTTATTTAATCTTTTTACCTGGGCAGTTCTATCTTTTTGCTTCTCGTTTGATTAAAACAAATATATAAAATATTCCTATATATTTATATTTTAGAAGAAACAGAAAATAAGAAAATAATGTAATAAAGTGTAAAAAGCACGATTAACAATCTATATTAAACATGGTATAAATAACTTTTAATGGCAGTCACGTCGCACATTATTAAAATAATTATATTATCAACCTTAATAAAGCATGATTTGTGTATCAAATCAAATCAAATGTACACATACCTATTAATTTATCCCTTTATATTTTGTGAAGAGATTGTATAAAACACGAAGGGTAGATTTCAGATCCAAATTTACGATATCTGTAAGAGAAGCAATTTGAGATTTAAAAGTCACAAAGATATTAAAAGAATTTTTCTCAATCTATTTATGCATATAGATATTACAAACCTTCAGGACGAGCTTTGGGTTTTGGCAGCCCAATGTCTCGCATAATATCAAATGCAAATGAAACATTGTGAACTTTCTGATCAACAGTCTTTGGTGTCAAATGAAAGCTACCTAATGGAACAAAAAAGCCTTCTAAAAGACCAAGCAACAGAATCAGGAACACACCATCATGGAATTGAGTGTCCAGATCAGTCACTTCCAAATGTACCTTGCTCAAATGTTTATTTACAAATGTTACCAAAGACTAAAAAAATAGAAGATTAACAATGTAACAAAATCAATATAATGTAATTACAATAATGGAAAGACAAATGGCTAAAATTGCAACATAAGAGGCTAAGTTAAGCTTACTTTCTTCACAACAGCCAATTTATCAGGTACATGATCGAAAAGAGTATCGAATGCGTCGCGCTCGCAACGCATTCCCAAATCATCATACGTTGTTGTTAATTCTTCTCTCACTGTTCTATGTATAAGCTGGCCATCCTTTTTACGTACCACAACCACTTGAGCGGTAACTCTTTCTGGCAATCTAACGGGAGCGCGGAACAACCGAGCTAGGCTAACTAGTAAGTGCAAAATTGCAACGATATTTTTCGAATGTACAGATTCGACGCTCCATTTGTAAGGAGGATATCGGCCTAATACTCGATTAGCGGCAGACAAGACAACAGTGAGTTTTTGCTTCTGTCCTTCCTCAGATTGAGTTACTTCGGGTACATCCAGTTTCTCTCCAGTCAATTTTTCTAAATTTTTTAAAAATAAATAAAGAATTGCTTTTATTTTGTTACAAACAAACTTTTCTAGAATCTTTCTATGTTTCAAATCATACATATTCATATACCTAAGAGCTTTTGCAGCACTTGTCCATCATAAAGATCTTCAACAATATCCTTTACAATAATTCGCTGGTCAGCCAATTCATCATTGATCCATTCAATTAAAACAGATATCAACTCCTGTAGTTTGGGATCTTCCAAAGATTTTGGTTCTATCATGGAACGTTCTTCGTTCTCGTCAAGAGCATATTCCTCTGGTGGCATATCGGGATTAGCAGCATATCCAGGTGAATCAATCGCATATTTTCCTTCTTCTTGGACATCTTGTACTAAAAATATTATCCTTATTATACATTTTTCTCAATTTCGAATATTTAAAATTCAATAAAATTCAATTACAATATACAATATTGGAATTAAATTTCGAATAGAAGTATCAGTTTAAAGAAAATAAATATTGTGTGAAATGGAAACTTTATTTATTTATTTCTGAACAAATTCAATTCGTAAAATGACACATCTCGCTCCATATAAGGATGTATGTTTTGTTGAACAGCAAAAAATGTAACGAATAAATTTCGTGTTATATATATGTACTTGAATATAACGAAAGTTAAACAGTACCTTCCTTAATACGTTTCTTTCGTCCAAGCGTTCCAATTTTATCCCAAAAGCTCTCCTCCTTGTCCTCTTTCTTCGTGATCGGAGTCCGTGGTGACTTGGGCCGAGGAGACGCCATTATTGAGGGCCTGTCGTAGGACGTAATTCTTCCTTCCTATAGGTACAGGATAATTCATAATAAATCGACATTATACTTTACGTGAATTGTGATTACGACAAAAAAAAATTTTTATACGATATTTTCTTTAAAGTTTAGAAAATTTAGATAAAATATAATATATACCAGTTTCAGAAATTAATATTTATTAGTCTAAAATCGGATAAAAATATGCACTTTTGCGATCACGAACTTGCGAAGAGTATATGATATACTTGTCATGAATCACCTTGTATATGGAATTGTAAAGTATATATAGAACGTCATTTCTTAAAATAAAACTGTAGTATCATGTGTATATATGTATATATGTGTAAAAACTATTTATGTACCATTATAAATGAATAGAGAATTGCATTTGAAGTGACAATATGCAAAAACTCGCAAAATTGTTTGCATTTTTTTTTTTATTATAATTCATTTTCATTTCTTATATTCTGACTGTTCTTCTATCTTAAATCAGCTGTTTTCCTCTAAACTAAAATTCTCTCTTACTTTTGACATTTGCTTTTCTCTAAACTAAAATTCTCTTATTTTTGACGTTTGCCACGTGATCACGTGAATTCAGAGTGCGAAAGTGAGAAGAAATAATGATAATAATAGAGAATAATAAGAATAAAGAATAACAATAATAATGCTAATGAAAATAATAATAATGAAAGAATGTCATATTAGAAGAACAGATAGAAAGAAATATTAAAATACAAAAAATTTTCGATTTTCATAAGTTTAAACTACAGAAAATCGGCTGCATACACACATCTGTATTAGAAAAAGTACACATATACAAAATGCATCGATGTGTCTTTCAGCTGACTCCTGAAATATGAATTTTAAGAATACAAATAAACTAACCTAGAAAATTAATTAAGTCGAATATAATATCAAAAGATAAAATCGATTGATGCCACGTTAAACACTCTTACAAAAAAATAAGTCAAATATAATCGAATATTTTTGACATCACGAATTCAAACTTCACGAATGGCTTCAATGTCATTGCCACAATAGTGAACTTGATCAGCTGATAGCGCTGTACGAATTATGAGCTTCTGGTTTAATTTAGTGAAAGACGTATTTCTCAGAATGTTGCAATTATTGTCGTTCAGCAGACGAAAGATATCGAACTCTTTAAGCATATATATTAAAACGAATACAGGGAGCACACTCTCGGTCGAATTAGATCCAAAATGGGATATAAAAAACTTGAAGGAAATTGTTGCGCCTCAGATGGGTATAGCGCCAGAAGATATTAAAATCATATTTGCAGGTAAAGAACTGCATAATTCAATTATAATAGAGGTGAGCTTACTTATATATACACATGTATATTTTTGTACATCCATGTATTTAATTACTAATTATGTTACATTATAGGAATGTGATTTAGGTCAACAAAGTATTTTACACGCAGTACGGACACCACATAAAATAGTTAATAAAACGAGGAATACAGACCTTATAGAAGAATCTATATCTGAAACATCTGACTTGAATGACAGTAGTGGGAGCAAACCTATGAACGAGACACTTATGGATTTATCTTTGGATGAATCAAATCTTGAAAATTTATCCCTAAAAGGTGACAATGATATATATTAATTTAACAAAATAATTTAAGTAATAAGAGATTAATTAGTTTTCTCTATATTATTACTGTTGACAGAGCAGCAGGAAAATCGAGCGCATTTTTATGTATATTGTTCAGCACCATGTAAAAATGTGACAGCAGGTAAACTAAGAGTCAAGTGTGCAAGATGTGGCAGTGGAGCTGTCACTGTTGATAGAGATCCTCAATGCTGGCCAGATGTATTGCAACCAAGAAGAATAACTGTAAACTGCGAGAGTGATTTTTGTCCTGTAACCTCAAGCATGCATAAAGATGAGACAGAGTCTCAAGTCTCTTATGCACATTTTTACTTTAAATGCGCAAAACATCCCAGTTTAGGAGAAAACGACGAAGCTGTACCACTTTATCTTGTAAAGCCAAATTTAAGGAATATTCCTTGTCTAGCATGCACAGATATTAGGTATTGATATATATGATGACATATAACAGATAAGTTGTAAAGCTTATTAATGCTATTATATTTCCTGCTGTATAGAGAAACTGTGTTAGTATTTCCATGTGAAGCTGGTCATGTAACTTGTCTTGATTGCTTTCGTGAATATTGTACAGTACGTTTACACGAGCGACGATTTGAATTTGATGAGGAATATTATACTTTACCATGTCCTGCTGGATGTCCTAATTCTTATATTCGTGAAGTGCATCATTTTCATCTTCTTGGTGTGGAACAGGTTTGGTACAATAAACTATTATTGTATTTTAACTTGACTTTCTTAATTATGATGTATTTTATATGTTATAGTATGAAAGATATCAGAGATTTAGCACAGAAGAACATGTTTTACGTGCTGGTGGTATTTTATGTCCAAGACCAGATTGTGGAATGGGTATCATACCACCTTCTATAGAAGATGATAGAGAATGTCGCAGAATCCAGTGCATTGGTGGATGTGGCGTGAGTAGTCTTTTTATGCAGAAAGAAAATTCATATAAAAATATCTCATCTCCCTTAACAATTATGTAAGTTATATTAGAAGTTATATTGAAAGAACACATTTCTCTTGATTGTAATTTCTCATATAAATTCAGATTTTATTTATATTTATTTTTTTATTTGTAAAATAATTTTTTTAACTATTAATATCTTATTATTTCCAAACTGTAATTTATTTATTTGATTATTAATTGTATGACTATCATTGATCAATCATATTTATTAACAATCAGATCATTGTAATTTTTTAATTTAATCATTTTTTTCAGTATGTTTTTTGTAGAATCTGTTTACAAGGATATCATGTAGGAGAATGCGAGTCGCAAATGTCGGACGCATCTACAAGTGTTTTTTCTTCTAATTATTATTCAGTGGATCCTCTTAAAGCTAACCAAGTTAGTTTAAATTTATATACATAAAAAATACACCTTTTTTTTAGAAATCGGTTTAATACATCTTCTATTTTTTTAGGCTACATGGGATGAAGCAAGTAAAAAAACAATACAAACATCCACGAAACCTTGTCCAAAATGCAGAACTCCTACTGAAAGAGATGGTACATTTAAATTAATTTTTAAGAATTAACTTTTCATCAAAATACACAATTGAACTTTGGATAAAAGTCTTATTCTATAAATTTACACAAATATGGAATATGTGTATACATTTTTTAAACATTGTTTTAAATGACAGAGATTCTCAAGTTTTTTTAAGACTATTAATATTTCAACTATTTTTTTATATATATTTACTAATAATAAATCATTTATCTCTAGGAGGCTGCATGCATATGGTATGTACAAGAGCAGGATGTGGTTATCATTGGTGCTGGGTGTGTCAGACAGAATGGACTAGAGACTGTATGGGCAATCATTGGTTTGGATAATATATTGGAAGAAAATTTTATGTCAGTTTGATAATATATAATTTAAAAGTTATGCATATGAGCATTATATCATAACAAAAATATTTTATAGGATATACTATATATTTTACAATAAAAATAATTAATAATATATTAACTATTGCATTTTTTTATTTCATTTCTGTATTTTTATAAAATTGTATTTTTATATAAAATTAATTGATGATTAATTTATATAAAATTAATTGATGATTGAAATTAAAGTTACGTTTTAAAACGAAGATAATTTTTCTCGAAATTAATTGAAAATACTAGAGAAGATATTAAACGAGTCATCGAAAATTTTCCACAGAAATAACATCGATACATCTATGGATCGTGAATAGGGACGTGGGGGGGAAGAAGGGTGAATGTCAGCGCCACGCGAATGCTACATCTGACAGCAGCTATAACCTTATTTTATGATTGTTGTGATTAAAAACTTCAAACATTCAATAGAATGTATATTACGCAGAAATTGTGCAAACGCATTTATCGTATTCTTTTGTAGTTCGAGAAGACTGATAAAATATTAGGAACACGCAAATTTTTCATCACTTAATGAATAAAAATGTGGAAACAATCCAAATTATTATACAATAGATGTGCGTCGCAGAAGAGCAAAGTTTTATCTCGTAATCATAAAACGGCAGAAGTAATCACAAAACTCACTAATGCAACATCGGAAAACCCCGAGCATGTACTTCCTAAAGAAGCGCGAGTTGTCATATGTGGAGGTGGAGTTATGGGTGGTGCTGTGGCGTATTACTTGTCTCTTTTAGGATGGGGACCAGAGACTGTTTTGATAGAAAATGGCAGGTGTGAATCATTCTCCTCCCTGAATATATTTCTTTTGAATAAAAAGATCTCTTGGAAAAAAATCAATATATATTTTTATAATTTTTCTCATATATGTATGTAAGAATATATTTCTCTATTTTATGCACATTTGTCTTTAGACTAGGAGGTGGAACAACATGGCATACGTCAGGATTAGTAGGGGCCTTCAAGCCTAGTCTAGCACAAGTGAAACTTGCTCAAGACAGTATTGCTTTATATAAGGAATTGGAAAATAAAGGTCTCCCAACAGGCTGGAAGCAATGTGGCAGTCTTTCTTTGGCACGAACGAGAGATCGTATGATCTCATTCAGGAGAATGAAAGCACAATCTGTGTAAATATTTTAGCAGATGTGATAATTACTATGATAAACTGCGATTTTATATTTTGATTTTATTAAGGTCACGCAATATCGAATGTCACTTAGTTACGCCAGAAGAAATTCAGAATCTATGTCCATTATTACAAGTTGATGATCTAGTTGGAGGATTATGGATTCCGAATGATGGTGTCGGTGATCCATATCAGATTTGTTTGACATTGATTCAAGAAGCACAGCAAGGAGGTATATTGTGTTTAAAAAAAATAAAAAATTCAGAATTGAAAATATTTACAAAGATATTATTTGACTTTTAAATTAAATATTTCTCATTGTATTTAGGTGTTACAGTATTTGAGAATTGTGCAGTCACAAAAGTTATTAATCAGAGTAACCAGGTAAAAGCAGTGGAGACAACACATGGTGTCATTGCATGCCAACATTTTGTAAATTGTGCTGGTTTTTGGGCACGGAATGTGGGTAAACTAAGTGAGCCATATGTAAAGGTATTTGTGTAATTTATACAAAAGAGATTAAAAAGAAATTTTTTTGTTGGTAGAAAATAATTACATTTGCATTTTGCACACAGGTACCACTTCATCCAGTAGAACATTATTATTTACACACTAAACCTATTACTAATTTAGATCCTATGACACCAGTTATACGTGACTTGGATGGATTTATCTATTTTCGGGAGAATAACGGGCGACTATTAGGCGGTGGTTTCGAGCCAGTTGCAAAACCAGCATTCGAGGATGGCATGATTCCTGGTTAGATGTAAATTTACTTTTTCTGCTGAAACAATTAATTATTATTGTCTAAGTTAATGTCACAAAATTAACTTACAAACTTATTTTATTTAGACTTTTCAGCAATAAATATATTCTTTATGTAATTATGTGTGTCTGATTGAAAAATTTTATTATTTATTTTTTTTAGAAAGCACAGATAAGCGATATCTACCAGAAGATTGGGACCACTTTCACATTTTGCTAGAACAGATGTTACATCGAATTCCTAGTTTGGGAAATGCTGTTTTGGAGAAACTTTGCAATGGGCCCGAAGCATTTTCCCCGGATTGCAGGTGGATCGTAGGAGAGGCTCCGGAAATACGTAATTATTACATCGCTGCCGGAATGAAAACGGTTAGTTAATTAGCTAATTGAATCATTCACATTGGCTTCGCGAGATTCTTCACTTGAATGGGTCTTTTGTCTTTTGAAGGTCGGAATATCCGCTGCTGGCGGAGTCGGCCGTGCTACGGCGGAACTGATAATCAACGGATCGACTTCGCTAGACATGTATGAATTGGACGTCTCGCGTTTCCTCGGACTACACAACAATCGTAAATTTTTACGCGATCGAGTGCGAGAGGTGCCCGGGATGCATTACGCGTTGCAATATCCGCATCAAGAGTTCAAAAGCGGGAGAAACCTGAGAATGTCGCCGATTTATCCGAAGCTCAGAGACGCGGGTGCAGTTTTCGGTCAGGTCATGGGATACGAAAGACCGTCCTGGTTCCAATTGGACGATGACTGTGGTAATATTCAGTCATAAGATTCATATACATGATGGTTATTCCATAAAAATTAATACTTCGTTTCTATTGTATATTAAATAGACCTGGAGTTTCCCGATGGTTTTCAAAGATACAAAATAGCTTACACGAATACCTTCGGCAAGCCTCCTTGGTTCGACGCGGTTGCGCGAGAATACGCCGCTTGTAGAGAAGCGATCGGTCTGAGTGATTATTCCTCCTTTACGAAGATCGATTTGTGGGTAATTATTATTTAAAGACACTTGCTTTAATTAATACAAACTTGCGAAATGTATTCTCATATAATATCTTATATCTTTATATGTCATAGTCGAACGACATGGAAGTCGTGGATCTATTGCAATACTTGTGCTCGAACGACGTTGATGTGCCTGTAGGAAGTATTATTCATACCGGTATGCAAAATCATCAGGGCGGTTATGAAAATGATTGTAGTTTAGCTCGAATCGCACCAAATCAGTAAGTTGCAATGAATAAGCTTGTATTATATACAAGCTAATTGTTATTGATGATACAATTAAGAATGCCATAATTCTACATGATAAAATAAATCGAAGATGTATAAAATAAATTTATAAAACTTTATTTTTAAGAACAACTGATAATTAAAAAATTAATGAGCGCCTTTCGCTGTATCATCGGATTGTTGTGTGCGCATAAGGACAATGAGTGTGTATATACTTAGAAATTCTCTCTGAATTCTTTTTTAGTTATATGATGATCGCCCCGACTATTCAACAAACACGTTGCAAAAACTGGATCCAACGGCATTTGCCGGCAGACGGTTCTGTTGCCGTGTCTGACGTTACATCCGCATACACTGCAATTTGCATAATGGGACCGGCTACCAGGCAACTGTTAACCGAATTAACAGATGTGGATTTAAATCCAAAAAACTTTCCGTTCTTCACGTTTAAGGTAATAAACTTAAAAATAAGAGACTTTAAGATTATTTAACTTACATCTGTTTTATTATCTATTACTTATATCTGTTTTATTATCTATTTTAATTAGGAATTGGACGTTGGACTTGCCAATGGCATCCGTACGATGAATCTAACGCATACCGGAGAACTTGGCTATGTTCTCTATATTCCAAACGAAGTAATACAAGAGACATCTCTTTAAACTATTAACTAATACAATCTTTGTTCTCTTACAAATTATAATTTTTCCTATTGAAAGAAAAATAGTTTTTTTTTTCTTTCCAATTTACAAAGTAAGTTTACGCGAAATATTAGATCTTATAATTTCAGTTTGCCCTGCACGTTTATACGAGGTTAATAGAGGCCGGAGCGAAGTACGGATTGAAGCACGCTGGTTATTACGCGACGAGGGCTTTACGCGTCGAAAAGTTTTATGCATTTTGGGGACAAGACTTGGATACCTTTACTACTCCTTTGGAATGCGGAAGATCGTGGAGAGTGAAATTTGATGTAAATATTATTCTAATAAAGATCTTTAATTATTTAAAAAAGAAAACATGTATATGTAAACTCTTATTCTAATCAGATCTTTCTATTTTGCAGAAGGGAGTCGATTTCATCGGCAGAGACGCTCTTTTGAGACAGCGCGAAGAAGGAGTTCAGCGGAAATATGTGCAATTATTATTGAACGATCACGATCCCGAAGTTGATACTTGGAGCTGGGGGGGCGAGCCTATTTATCGAAACGGAAAATATTGTGGGTTAACAACAACCACGGGTTACGGATTCACCTTTAAAAAACAAGTAGATCAGATTTTTTCTTCGTCTTATCTTTCTTTTTTCAAAATGAAAAAAAATAAATCTTACGAATATTAATAGGTATGTCTTGGATTTGTGCAAAATTTGGACTCGAAAGGTCAGCCGCAAGAAGTGACGAACGAATACGTGTTATCGGGCGATTACGAGGTGGACGTCGCGGGCATCATGTATCCCGCAAAGTGTCACTTGCACAGTCCAAATCTACCGACCAAGTTTCCCGATAAAGAAAGAGACGCTTATCATGCTACGCGCGATCAGCATTCTTTGTGATCCGAACGATAAACATGTCTCAAATATATGTACAAACGATGTATATAGCAAAGGATTTAATAAAATCGTTTAATAATGCGAGTAATCGCTCATAAAAATCACTACATCGAGAGATCTAGAGATCACAATAGAGACTCTTCGGGACAAAGGATCGCGTAAATAAATTACATTGGGTCCGTTATCCAGCTCTCTTTCATCCCTTGTTATACGTAACTATTTTTGTTCTTAAAAAAATCACATTCATGTACATACTAATACCTTATACTATGTCACAGGTTTTGAAATGTGTACACTTAAACAATATTATTTCTTCTAAAATGTATATTCCTCCTATAAATACCTATTTCGCATCACGCGCAACATGTTATTACTCTGTATATGTATCACGTGTATTCGTATTCATTCGAAGACACAATCATAATTAATCGTATATGTGCGCACGCGAAAAATGTCTGTTGCAATTGCATTTGCATTTGTTGAACACTATTTCTTAATCGTGTGAACTCTTGTCTCATCACGACATATTTTATCATGTATATACTGACATTTTTACGTTGCGTGTACACAACACGTCGTATATATATGTATATATATATATAATACACATGTGAAATACATTGCTCAAAAGACACATTAAGTGAAATATGCAAGAGGCTTCTTCTCTTTCTCTTTTTTCTCTTCTTTCTGTATAGTCAAAGTTTCTTTTTATTAAAATATCAACGCAATAATTGTCTCACTTACACACTATGTAAATCAATACACACTCATGTACGATATCTATCCATCACGAGAAATTAAATTCAATAGTATACATTTATCCGCATTCTTCAACAACTTTTTACACGCAATATTCGATCAGCATTGATTCTCATCTTGCTGTACACATAACGATCGTGTAAAGTGAAACGTTCTATCACTCCGGGATCTCCGTCTCCGTGGTAGGCACCTGTTTCTGCACCATACACGATCTAGCTACAGATTCGAACAATCTGAAACAATAATAAACGTCGAATTTTAAAGAAAAGAAATTATTATTCACGAGTGTAACAATTACTATTTCGGTATTCGAAATCTTTAAAAGAAACTAAAACTCACTTTTCAATTTCTGGCGCACAATGTACAAATTCATGCGACCAAAATTTGTAAGTTGGATTCTTAATCAATTCGATGAAGGTGATGAGAAGACCCCATGGATGTGGTCTGTTAACAATCAGTCTTTCGAGGAGAACCCTGGTGATTTGCTCCTGTATCGCTTCCGTGTTCGCTTCGGCAAATAGGTAGAGAAGCGTACAGCTGAAGTAATGCGTGTGGCTGTTGGGGTACCGTAGCTGATTTGCAATAGCATTCAGGAACAAATAACGACCCTCGGTGTCGAGATCGACCGCCAAATTTTGAAAGATGTCCATGTGTGCGGAGTGTGCGATCGTAGACATATTGGGAGCGTGGCCTTTGCTGCGAATGAACGCTATTGCTTGCGTACCCACGTAGAGCACCAGGGCATTCATCAATTGAATGTTGTAACGGACGCCGGCTTCTTGTGACACTTGCAAATTACTGCGTAACTCGGACAAGAAGGTAACCGGCGCGCGAGCTTTTAGATAAGAGTCGAGCTCTTTCTTGAAGGTCAACGGCTGTATCGTGGATGCAAAATTGGTAAGAACGCGTGGGGCGTGCGCTATCTCCTGAAGCATGTCGACCTTCAAATTCGGCGTGAACGGATCGGGCAGCCGCATGTTTCTTGGGAAAGCACTCAATATTAGATTCCTCATTTGTATGCAGTTTGGCGGTATCACGTCGCAAAATCCATAGTGATAGTCGCAGAGAAATTCAGGAAAGTCGTGCAATAGTACCAACAACACTCGCAGTGTCCCCTTGTAGAGGCTTGTCACCGGCTTCGCGAGCTCCGCGTTACGAAGATAGGGCGCGAGGTATTTGAATAAATCGATGAGAAGTTGCGCATACATCCCCCAGCATTTTTGCTGAGGCGTAATAGCAAGCATACGCCCTATGAAAACTCGGTGCGAAACTAGTTCCAGCCAGGCGTAACAGAAGCCGGATGCCTTTGCCGGGCGCAGAATATGCAGGGTGTGGCAAAAAGCCGTCAATACTTGAAAATTGACAGCTTCCAGTACTGGTTCTGGCGCGCATAGTTCCAGAAAGAGCATGATGAAGATTCTGTGATACGGTAACTGCTGGAAATCCGTACCGCGTATTTCGTGATCTTGCAGCAACACTCCGGCAACGATACCGAGCACTTTGTTCAAGAGATTGATCTTGGTGTGAGTGTTGGTGGCGTCGCCCGAGTGTTTCACTAAGAGCGCTACTAGACGTACAAATGCGTCCAACGAATGGAAGCACTTAGCACGCATGATTGAGGGAGCTGTCGCGGTTTCCGAGAGAGCGCGATAGCAGAGATCGACACACATCTGCGTGCTCAGCTTGAAGAATCTTGTAATAAGATCATCAGTTTTGAGAATTCCATGAATGTTCATCTGATGCACAAATATGCTGAACGCTTTGGTGGGATCGCGTGCGTGCTGTGGACTGTGATGCATCTGCACCCATTCGCGCAATAGATACTCTGTCTTTTCCATTAATCCAGGTGGATCATCGAAATCGCGAGCCTGTAAAAATGATCGCGAGCGATATACATTAATCATGAAAAAGATAAAAAGAAATATATTCTGTAACTTTTGTTAATGATTATCGGTGTTTTATGAATCATGAAGAGATATTATTTTAGATAATTACAAAGACAGATTCTATATATTTTGAATAATTAGAAGCTGCAATATTCATGCAAATGTACTTTGCTTGTTACATCGTGACGCGATACGTTTTTAAATAAATAAGAAACCTCCGATAATCTTGTTAACGTAAAGTATAGAATACCATTGTTGCAATAATCTATTTAGATTAAATAATCTGGACATTCTACTTACTCTCACCTGCAGGATTCCAGAATGAATGTGTGCCGTAGGTCCTGCTGGAGCTCTGTCCACCAATACACCAGAATCATGATTGGCACGCAATGAATCTACTAAACTCGTCAATCTAAAGAGTAAGATTCTGAAATGATATAAATCTTATGTTTGAATATAAAATGAAAATACAATACTATGATTTTGTTTCTAATAATTTATTATAATTTAGTAATTGAAGAAATTTTTGAAATATATATAAGGTCAAGAATGGAATTCTGAATTTCTTTTTAGATAACATTTAAATATTATCCAAAAAATAAAGATATTCAATATGTACGTGCGTGAATGAGCACTTTGTTCACTTAAAATATCTTATATCGTTGATAATAAACAAAATAATTCAAACAAATATAAAAGAATAAAAGGGCAGAAAAAAATATTATCATACATCAAAAAAGAGATAGATATTTATGTTAAAAAAGAATTTAAATAAATCTGATTTCAATGGAAATATATCTTATCATGGCTATCAAATGTTTTTTTTTTTTAATTTAATGTTTATAAAAATACCCTTCTGGTGGTGTTCTGTGATGTGCCATTCGAGCCAATATTTCAATTGTATGAAATAAGTCGGTCTCGGTAACATGAGTTGCTTGTCTCTCATCAATTAAATAGAGTTGAACCAATTGCATGGCAAATGCTGTTGCCATAGCATTTCCTGCTTCCATAGCTTGCGCTAGAGCTACGTCATATTGAGGAAGACTGATCAAGTGAGACCTGTAAATAGCATTCATAATTAATTAGTCTTCTGAATTAATTAAAATCTTCCAAATATGAATTAATAATTAGAATTTCAGACCATACCTTATAAGGTAATCCACGGCTTCAAAATTATATCGAAATTCTTCTCTGCATTCAGTTAGACAACGCGTCACGTGCTTATTAGTCCATTGCATACCATACGCACGAGGATCCTGAAGACACTTTAAGATACGTAAATGCAATTCTCTATAGCGTTGTATAAGATTCTCCGATTCGATGACACCAGAAATGATAGGCCCATCTAGCAAACCTTCAACAGCCTGGAACAGCCATAAATCATCGATAAGTCTCGTCTTGTATCATTGAATATTGACTAAATATCACAAATTTATACATATGTTTTAAATAACTAACTTTTTTTAATAACGTCATAGCCGCACCGGCATCTCTTGACCTTCTAGTCAAAATGATCGATTCCAAAAGGCTATGAAGAGCAGCGTGTTGCGGTGGAGGTGCCGCAGGTCCCATAGCACCCAAAAGAACTTCCGCTTCTGCAGCTAATTTTTCCAACATAGCACCCACTTCGTCATTGCTAACTGCCGCAGCGTAAGCTGCTACTTGTTGCGCCGTAGCGACTGTCACGGCTGAATTAGGTGTGAATGCAGTGACGGGAGTTTCCTTTAAAGTATGAAGTTAAAAGGAAAAAAAAATGAGAAAAAGTTCAAGAACGAGAGAATATTTTTTTTTAGTTTGAGAAGGTATATAAAAAGTACATAAAAAGCGTAGTTCTTACATTGATAGGTTTCGGCATGAAGAGTGCTTGGGTATCCCGTTCGGAAAGCGGTAAAAATCCTGGTATATTTCTGGCAAATTCCTCATAAACGGCCATCTGTTGTGGCGTTACACCACCAACTTTCAATCGGATCTGTTCTGGCATTCGCTCAGCCTGATACTTGGCGAGAGGATCACAGTATCGTCGACCTTCTTGCCGTGCAATTTTTCGCAGTTCCGTCTCGCTCATTAGCCGTTTGTCCATCTCAGGTAGTGCTTTTTCAATAGCAGTCTTTTGTACAAATGCGCACGCGAGTTCCATGTTATCAGCAGCAACTACATTTGCAGCTTGTTCAGCAAGTTCCTTTTGCTGTGGAGTCGTACCGATCAATGCCGTGAGTAAGGCTTGTTTTAAATTTGTGCTGATGGATGCCAAAATCTATACGCAAAAGGATAAAAGATAAGAAAAGATGTTACATAGTTTATTTGATTTAAACATTATAATTAATTACGTCTTATGTGTTATACTATACTGGATATATATGAAAAACTTTTTTAAACAAATTTCTTATAATTAATTTAAAGGTTAATTTTAATATTATTAATTTTAATCTCATTAAAATTTTTTATACCGATTTGTAAATTTAAATTTGAAATTATTTCTTCAATCACTCTCTCATATTTCAAGATCAACTATGTTTCTCTTATATATAGTTACAGTTTTTTAATATTTTGTGTAAACTTACCTGATCACGACATGTGATCATAGCCATGCCAGCGGTTAAATTGCGCACCATGTTACGTCCAGCTGTTCGTATCCGCACTTCTTCGGGATCCAATGCAAAATCCTTCCTCACTATCTGCTCACTAGTTGTAAGAGCTATTTTAATAGATCTATCGACGACTGGATGAATCCATTCTTGAATAGCTCTTTCAACTGCTGGGCGAACAAACTGCTTCAGATGAGGATGTGTTTGGAATAGGGGCAACTGAAATTAATACATACAATAAAATAGTATACATTCTCATAAGGAGATAATTTGTAATTTATGCAATTTTTAAATTGTAATTTGAAAAGAAATATTTTTTCGAAAGAAGAGAAAAGAATGAAAAAGAGAAATCAATTCTAAGAAATGAATTGTAATAATAAAATATCAACAGAAGAACTTTTCCATACTTGATTGTTGATGCTAATGTGCTGCGATATATTAGCGATGCCTGTCACAGATATATCCATATAACTAAATCGTGGTTCAGGTGCGCCGCCGGTTGGCAACGAGGGTGTTGTGTTCGCAGGTGGTGCGGTTTGAGGATTGATGACGGTACCGCTGGTCGTTGTAGATCCGACCAATTCCTCTATAGGCCCCTGAGGTTGCTGTTGATTAGTAGTAGGTTCCACTTTTTTATTCGGATGCGATAACTGATACTCTAAATTACGCAATTTTTCGGGATCTTTCAGATAAATGACCGGTTTTAATTCCTACACAAAACCAAAATTCGATTTTAATTTTATGTATTGAATCGAATAGAATTATATACTGCTGCAAAACCAAACACATTGCACTCTTACCCCAACATCAATGCTCAGATTCTTGCAAAGCACTTCTATTTCGAACTTTAAATTCAATTTCAGATCAGGTTCCTGATGTAGTTCAGCTAAAACATTCATAATCGCCATCGTCCAGGGATTTGGTGGTCGAAAGACACGACTTTTCGCACAACTTTCAAGTACTTTTGCGACGAAGGGCACTACATAAAGTAATTCTTGCTGGCCTTTATGATATGCTTCAACGAGTAAACTTTTTAGGTCTATATCTATCTGTTGAATTAAAATTCGATATAATTTTTATACAATACATAGTGTGAAGATAATATAATACATATATAATGTTTGCATTGATAATCATATACTTGTAAAATAGGCTTATTCCTGCCGAGCGTTAACATTCCGAGCCAGTGTCCTAGATTCTTTAATAGCGATCGATCTGAGAAATTAGCTATTCCCTTATCGCTTCGTAAGAGAACCTAAGAAAAAATAAAATTTATATAAAAACATACAAGGAAAATTTATGAAATCCTCAACTATTAATAAACTAAGAAAGCCATGTTGATTTTTTATTTCCTTAGTTTGAATACAATTTAGATTCATTTATCAGACTCATTTATTTCTTATCAACTATCATTATTATAAAAATTTATTAGAACAAAAATACATATTAGAATACATTACTCTATTTACCTTGATATTTCGAAATGTCTCTCTGGTGACCATTTTATTGACTTCAGGTAATTTTATACAATCCAAAAAATTCGAGTATAGGGCATGAAAATTCAATTCTATACTGGCGCGTTTCATTACTAGATATTGCGCCATCCATGGCCAATATTCCTCCGTCACAATCTCGCGAATTTCGTCGCATTTCTGTTGCAGATTCAATTGACTGAGATTATTGAAAATGAAAGCTGTCTTGTCCTGCAAAGCTTCTGGTGGCGTCGTAATTTTTTCTTCTTTGTCCGTCGCCACAAGCAATGTATCGATATTAGTTGCATTAGCGACTGAAGGCATAGAGGGCTGTAAAAGAAATAATTTATTAAATAGAATATTCATATCAAGAACATATCGAGAAATTTTGTTTATTTAACTTACTCTGGCCGAAAGAGATGTAGTCGGAGTTGTGGACGGTTTCGCCTGTGTAGTGCTTGTTGTGATGGTAGTCGTAGTCATGGTCTTGTACGGAGTCGTAACCGGAGCCAACATAGCCGCCAAAGTTTTCGGAAGAACTGGACCTTGAGGTCTCGACGGCGGTTCCTGCCCTTGCAGTCCGTACTCTATGTACTCTATCAGATGCGGCGGGAATTCGTTGAAATGCGGAATTGTTCTAACATGTTCACAGTAGGTTTGATAATCTTTCAAACGGCTCTTGAATCGATCTAGAGCCGTTATGCCGAAATAGTACATTTTGCTACCCTCTGGTTTCTTGAGCGCATCGAGAACAAACCTTAACGCCAAGCCGAGAGTCATATAACTGTTGACGAGGCCTCTCTCGATAATACCACCGAACAATTGCGCTGTTATTTGTAGTTCTTTCTCTGGATACTGAGGGAAAAATCTATACTCCTCGAATAGATTCCGCAACATACAATTAAACACTTCTCTTTCCCGTCTAATACCAGAATCTTGAAATTTTTTTAACATATCGAGCACTTCGTCGATCGATAAAGTTGGGTGCGGCGGATGATTGTATATTCGTTGAAAATAGCTGTTTGCCTCATCCTCGACTTCTTTGGATACATTTGTACTCATGTCTGGGAATAGACTTGAAGTTTCCGGCATCCTTGCTTTCTCGATGCCGGTTGGCGGTCCGAGACGACTCAATCCACCTATCGTACCACCGGGAAGCACGGACGGTCCTTGAGTACCAACCGGACCCGAATGTAGTTGCGAGGATAAGGGCAACATAGGAAATGGACTCGGAGAAGGTCCCATGAGTCGCGAGGGAGAGCCGGGTGCCGAAACTAGAGGTCCCAAAGCGCCGGGCAAATTAAATGCGGAACTACTTGGGGGTCCGAGACCTGTGCCGAGACCCATAGTAGCGAGACTCGAACTAAGATTCCCCAAAGGATCCACTTGTTTCGAGGAAAATAACTATAAAAAGTAACATTAATTAAAAATAATATTAATGTATATAGTCATACATATGAGTCATACATTAATGTATATTAATGTATATAGTAATACATATTTTAAGTAAAACAAATAATGAAAAAAAATTGGAGAAAATTTTGAAGAACATGAACAAAATAATAGCTAAAAGAAGAAAACACCCCAAAATACCTGACTTCCCAAAGTTGCTGGATTAAATGGTTCTAATCCTCGATGTCTTAAAACTCCAGGTGGTGGTGGTCTGTTCATAGTACTTTTACTCAACATTAAACTGCAATGCTGCACCATTGTCATTATTAATTCCGAAAGTTCTTGAGAGACACTTCTATAATATGTGAAAATAGAAAGATTAATTGTCATGCATATTTAAAACAATGATAAATTATACAAGTTTTAAAAAAACATACCCAGCGCAAACTTGCAAACAAGCCAATATTGTAGTAAGCGTTTCCTGTGGTAATTGACTTGCTTTAGGAATTGTAGGGTCTTCCTTTATACCAGGCCCCATGACTTGAGGACATCGTCGTTGCAGGAACTTAACGCAGGCAGCAACAAAAACTTCTCCGTGATCTCTAATTTTATCTGTCAACCATTTTTCTAATTTCAAATATTCTCGTCGAGACGCCAAACAAGCGAGATCAATGACGAATGGAAAAGATTGTGAATTAAGCAAAGCAGAAAGAGCCTTTAAATCTTGTGCAACATCCAGAATTCGAGATAATCTCGTTTGATCATGATCACCGCGTGTATACCAATCCGCCATGGCATGCATTATTATCGTCTTTATCTTAGCATTATTGGAATGCCATGCGTGGTGCAGTATCACAGCAGAATTTGGATGATTGCCGAGGAAAATCGGCAATAGTGTGGTAAACAATTCCTGTCTCAATAACGTGAGCGGTGGATTTATTTGTAATAACGCCAAAACAAGCACGTCCGGGCAGTGTTGTACTGGCCACTTAAATATTTCCTGTACAGAATTATACAAGCCTCTCTCGGCCATATGTAGAAGCAATTCGACTATATTCAGTGATCGCCACGTTTGGCCTTCTTTGCTATCACTCTCAGGGGCTGCTTTCAATACATCGACAGTTACCGAATGATACGGATAATCGGCGAAACAAAATATATCTGGACATTTAAGAATTTGTTGAATCAAAGAAAATTGACCCTCTACATTATCCCAATGTCGATAGAATAACTCGACAGGAAACCTATCAGGCGGATATCCCTGATGTTGGAGGCCTAATTTGAGACCTGTAATCAATAAACTTAATCCTTGCCTATCCTTGATAATAAACTCTGCATGGTCCAATTTTACTATAACATCATTCCATGATAACGTAGATTGCTGAAATATAAACACGAGATTTGTAGCTGCATTATGATTTAATAAATTATAAATATAGAAAATAAAGACTTTAGATGAAAATTTATCTATCATTTGTATTCACTTCTTGGCGAACTATCAGATAATAATTCCCGGAAAGTAAACAAGTTTATGTTTCGGTTAAAGTTACAATCAGTTTCCAAGAAATGATTTCATAACCATTCTAAACTTACATAACAACATGAAGCATACAATTACCATTTCTTTTAAAGTTTGAATAAATACTTCGACGTTCCATGTCGTGGGGATACTATTGTCTGATGGTTTTTCTTTACTCGAATCCTGAGAGGCAGCCGAATTGCCCCAAAACGATTGCAAGCCTCCAGCATCCTCAAGATTGCTACAGCTACGTGCCATATGCGCCAACACGCGAGCAACGCATGTCGGCGATATTTCTCTCGCGCCTAAACCTGCCAATGATGATCGACATTCATCCACATTACTGGTAAAGCTATATCCTAATTCCATAATCAACTCTACCAGAGTACTGTTATCCTGAAATAAGAAAAGTATAAATATCTTGCGACGTTAATGTAAATTATTAATGATAAATGGATATCGATTTACCATCTGATTGACAGCCATGTTGAATTCGATTTTGAACTGTGATGTTTCCCCGTCTCCTGGGTACAAAAATGGTGCTAGCACCACTGGTACCAGTTCACGGGGAAAGTCGCGCCGAAGGTTTTGAAGAAATTTTTCCTTTGCCTCGACAGGTATATTATAAGGATTGCTGGTATGAAAAACCTGTCCAAGTATCAACTGAAGGACTTCAGGCAAAGAATCGTGCAGACCACCTTCGTGATGTTTATTGCTTGTTTCGGAATTTATATAATTCTTTATTAATTCAGGCAACTGCTTCTGAGTATGCTCTAAAGCTAACAAACGGAGTTCTGTATTTTCTGAATGCTGTAAAGCAATCGCAAAGGCAACTTCCTGCACCAAAGTTAAACCGAGTGTTTTTTTTAAATTGACAAAAAACTTTGGGGAGGGATTCAGCGACTAAAAGGAAACATATAAAAGGATTACGTTTACATTTATCTTGTAAGATTCATGTGCAATAACAGTAATATATGATCGTGCATAAATACCTTTTGATGATGTAAAGGATTATCTATAGCAAAGCACAGGTTAGATATAAAACAAGGTTTGCTCAGTAAGCTGTTGCACTCTTGTTTCAGCAACTTTGCTTGGAAATAATCTTTCGCGCTCGAATCTGACTGTTCGCCCTTGGAAAAGTCAACGCACGAGATCAGACAGCGCAAGAAATGTCGGTCTGCTTCTAGACCGTGCCACTGCACCAACTACAAAGGAATTAGAATTAGAGCGCAATTGTTTAAAGATTTTTGACCTTTCACAATTTCAATAACAATAACAATCAGCAACACTGTCTTAGGACTATTCTACAATGAGTCATTAGCCTAAGAAAATTAGTCTAAGCTAATTAGCCGTAAGGAAATTGATTAAATTGAAATATATTTTCGAAATAATCGATTGTGGCTGCTCAATTTTTTACGATTAACGATTATGATTCCCATTGTAGAATGGGTCTTATACATTTTCATCAAAATTAATAAAAATTGACCAACGTATTGAGTAACGTGACCAGTGTATTACAAATAATCTATAGCTTCGTATTAAAAACTATGGCTCGAGAGAAGCTCGATAAAGAACCGGATGTACGTATCGTGATTAGAGAACAAAAGGAGCTTGTTTACACGAGGTTAAGGCAGAATACGGAAGTAAACACAGCGCGTCGATAAGCGACGAGGAAAAAAAACCCGAAGTCGGTGTTTCGAAAACGACGTGTTGGCGAGGAAGATAAATAAAAAATATACAGGCAGCAACCGGAGGGAGGCAGGAGAGAGGATCGGTCTCGAAATACCTGCGGGACGGTGCGTGAAGGCCCGCGCGAGCTGACGTAGTGTTCCTCGCGATCTACGTATCGCGCATCGATAAAATTGCGGGGGAAGCCGCGAAATGAACACACGCATCTCACAAAGTGTACCGATGAAGAGCGGAAGGGGGCGCGGGGAACGGAAGCTTCGCGGAGAGGAAACAGCGCGAGGGAAGGATGGCAAGGGGAGAGGGGTGGTCGGGGAAGGAGGGAGGGGGAGAAGAAATGGATTTGCGGAAAAGGATTATCCTAGGTGGAGAAAGAGAGATAGATCTCTCTCTCTCCCCCCCGAAACTCGATGATAACGCGAAGATAAATGCGTAGTACTTACGACCGATATCTCTTGACAGCTGTCCTCGTAATTTTTCTTACTCAAATTCGCAACCAAATAACTGATTTGTGACAAAGTAAAAGACAACGAGTCCAGGTTCATAGTTCCATGAATGCGACCTCGAAAGCTTCAAACGCGTTTGAAGCTTTCTTCGGTATCCACGAATTGCCGCCGCCCCGGATTCTCTCCTCCTCGTTAAAAGCATGAAAGTTACATTGGCACGATCCTATGACCAACATCGGGATTGATATTATTGAGATACGATTTCACATCAACGTCATGGCGTGAGCACAACACGGACGAGGCTCACAGAAAAACACGTAACACTGTAACGTTTCCCCGAAGCCGTTCCTCTCCGCTCTGGCTGTCCGTCCGTCTCTCTCCCCCACTTCCCCTCGTCGTTTGCCACTGTCGTCGCACGCAAGAACGTAAAAGTGTACGAAAAGATTCACGATCGTTCGCACTGAGCTGGGAATCGTAATCGCCAGTGTCCCATTCCTTCGCGATTGAATTCGTCCATGATGATGATGATACCGGAAAAACGTAAGGCGAGATAATGGTATACAAAACTCCCGTGGAAGATGCGCACTTGTGTCGCGCGTGAGGCGACTATGTACAAGGTATGGGATACGATGCGATGACGCGCTCTCCCTCGCTCATATATATATATATAGATGTCGGAACGGTATTCATCGAGTGCTGAAAAGCAACATGGCATCCAACGTTATTGCATACCTATTCGTATTTCTACGAATACAAAATTTAAGGCGCTATTTTCTTTATTTTATTTTTTTAAATATAAATCTACTTCTCTCCAACTTTCCGTCTAGCACAGTATTTTGTTTCTGTTTAATGAAAAAATTATACATATATACATATATTTATAGCAGGAAACATATAATGTCATATGATTGGCTATTAAATGGAAAAATTTTCGGGATTTGAAAAATTCTCCATTCAACAGCCAATTGCGTGACATTATACTGTATTTTCTTTCCTGGAAAACTATCATAATTGTAGATTAAAGGCCGCTACACATGAAATTAACTGAATGTGAAGTGTCTTTGAATTGTTACCGCGCAGGCGCGAATGAGAGAGAAGGAAACACTACCTTTATTTTTTTCTCTTTTCATTACTTGAGATCTTTGTAATTTTTTCATTGTACATAAATGTATAACAGACTTTTAGAACAGATTTTTAATAAAATAAAAATATTTACTTTCCTTTCTATCATAAATCTTACATTTCAAGTGAGGAAAATAGTACACGAAAACTTGATCGCTTATAAATTTATTGTAATGAAAAAAAAAGAATAAGCATACCTTTTATTTTTCCTTATATGACATGTATATAAATTATTGTACTATTTTATTTAAATCTATTAAAAAAATTTTATTTTTGATATATTGTTATATACTATATACAACTAAAATTAAAAATTTAGAATTTTTAAATCATTAAATATAATAACATATATACACACATATTTTATTGATCTGCAAAGGGATCATGTAATATATTAGATAATGGCTCAGGCTCTGTTAAAGATATTATACGTCCGCATGAATTTGACGACCTAAAATTGACCAAATTGAAGAAAAATTTTTTCTTTTTCAGAGAAAGAAAAATGTAAAATATATGCATACATAACTTACACATCCTTCAGAAGATGTAGAACCTGTTTGTGTTCTATTCCTTCTAGCCACAAATTCAATAATTCCTCTCGTTTACATCTCAGCAATTGCTTGCAGGCATTTAAATTCTCCTTCACAGCATGAATTTTTTCTCGCAATGATGTAACCTTTTCAGATAATGCACTAAATATCTGAAACAAAATGTAATGTGATATAATATACAATTAAAACAAGTATTTGTATTTTTCATTGCATTCAGATCTGTATTTACTTGCATAACTTCCATGAGATCTTGATCATGCGATGAAACTAATTCCTCCAATCTTTGATCACTGCGTTTGTACTCTTTTTCCAATTTAGCCTTCTCAATCTCTCGTTGCTCGTTTGTCTCACTTGCTGATAAAGCACGAATCACAGAAATTAATAGACCGCTCTATAAAATGAGATTTATATAAAAGATACAAGTAAATACCTATCTAATATATACCTTTTTTCCAATTATAAATATAGGAAGAGAAAATGATTCAATTCAAAATTTACTTGCCGTTTCTTTTGTCGGTTTAATTCCACGCGGTGGTTTAACAGGAGGTATTGTATTCATCTTGTATATATGTATATGAGCAGTCTTCTAAAAGATAAAAAAAATTATTATTAAAATACCTTTGCAAATATATCAGAAACTTGAATTAAGAGTGTGTAGAGTTTACAAAAATTCATAATTTACATTATCGACAATTCTTATAAAAAATTATATAAGATTATTATAGAAAATTATTATTATAGATTAATTATAGAAAATTATATAAAATTATATAAATATAGAAGAATGCCAAACTACATAATCAATTTAAATTGCAAAATTTCTAATATATACTAAAAATAAAACGTACGCATTAGATTTAATTGCGGCTTAATCGTTACATTAGGTTAAGTTATTGTGTCTGAAAAGATGTCATTTTTCTAAAGTGCACACTTTTTCACACTTTAAAGTGAAATAAATATATGTATTTAAGTCTTGAAGGAATAAAGAAGAAGTGAATAAAGAGATAAAATTCCGTTCTCGTCAGCTGTGTTTTCTACTCTTTTCGTATTTCAAGTTAAATAAAGTGCACTTAACGAGTGCACTTTGCGTTACTAGTGTAAATCAGAGAGAAAGCTTCTCTGTTATGAAAGATACAAGATAAATACTCGAAAAGTTGCAATATACTTGTATAAAAAGCTTTCTCAGTTAAAACAAATATATATTAGAAAAATGAAAATAGAGTTATCAAAATTATATTTTATTTTAAAATCACGTATTAATACAAAATAAGTAGAATATATGGAAAATAATATATAAATTTATCATATCAGATTTAAGAATAAAGGAGATATTAATATGTATAATGCACACAATCAATTTATATATGTAATTTTTATATATTTAAAAATACTTTACGGCTTTATATAACATTATTCAACAATTAGAAAACAAATATATATTGGATAAAAATAGTAGTTTTTACCAGAATTATACTTTATTAAATTTGCTTATTATTAGCAATACAAAATAGATAAAATACATAGAAGATGATAGGTAAATATAAATTGATTACACTGATTTAAGAACAAAGGGAGGAATTAATATGTAATTTGATAGATGTATAGTCATTATATATATATATATATATATATATATATATATATATATAATTTGTATATATTTAAAAATACTTTACAGCTTCATTTAACAGCTTTGAAATCATCTTTGATAAACTCAAATCTTGACAAATTAGGAAATTATCTGTAATATAATTTTACTTCTTTCACTTTTTAAATATATCACAGAATAAATTTTATACACTCTTATTATACAATATACTTGAGTTTTCAGTTATGATAAAACAATGCTTGCATGTATGGAAATTCCGAATGTTATGTTAAATAAAAAACTAAACGGAAACAAAGTTAAGCATAATATCATTTTTATCTGTCACTTTTTGTCTCTCTCTTTCTTATACATTTTCCAGACTTGCAAATATATGCAGGCATTATATCACTCATATTATATGTTAATTACATAATTATATTAATGATATTAATTATATACATTTATGGAAAGTTGTATACAATATAATTTTTTTTATATAATTGTGTAATTAAGTATATAAAATCTAAGACCCCTTCCAAGTTATTTTTTTCAGTCTAAAAAATCTATCTGAAAATAATTAGGTCAAACAAAATACAGGGCAGATGCCAAATATTAGACTAAATTGTTTGTTTAACATCATTAAAATAGTGGGATCATAAAATATTATCGTTCTATGTTATAAAGATTTGACATAGGCCTACCTGCATTATTCCTATTATTAGTTTCTTATTATTACTCTTATGTTATTACTACTTTACACACAACATTAATTACATAATTAATTATAATAATATTAACTACATTATGTAGTTTTCAAATCTTGCAAGGCCATTTTATAAGAATTTCTTTACTTACAGTGTTGCAAAAAAAAAAGGTTCCTGATAAATAATACATTTTTTTTTACAAATACTCTATAAATTATAAATTTGCAAGTAAAAGAAAAAATAACAGAAAGTATCATATATAATATATATGAGAAACGTGTATAATATTAGATAATGTTTTTTATATAGCAAAACACATAGAATATAATAGAATGTAATAATTAAATATATACTATCCAGGCACCAATATATATTTCTGAGAAACAAAGTAGAATAAAAAAAAGAAAAAAATTAGCTTGCCATTATCTGTAACTTAAAAAAATGTTGAACTATGTAAATTATTTAGGAATGTGCCTTATGAATAAAATGACTGAATCACCTATATTTGCTTACTTGTGATAAAAAATTATTCCTTTAAAATATAATATAATGATCGAATAAAGGAAAAAAAACGAGACTTTTCCAATTTTACATCTGCGGCAATTGATCGATCGGTGTGGCAAATCTGAAGTCTTCTGGGAACAGCTTACTCGCATGTGGATACATTAATTTGTATGATTGTCGGATTGTAACGTCTGCGACGCCAGCAATATCCCCAATTTCCTTTTGTGACCTTTTGTCCTCTGAAGCCTATCGTAAGACAAAATATTGCATGATAATGCAGATTATAAAATACTATTTCCGCGTTTTTATAAAACGCGGTTGCATACCTGTGATGCCATATAAATCGCTGCAGCTGCAACTGAAATAGGTGACCTGCCTGGTACAATGTCAATCTCAACAGCTTTTCTAGCAATATGCGTAGCAGCTCTTTGTACCATATTGGGAAGACCAAGATTTGAGCAAAATCTAGACATAAAGTCGCCCGTAGTGATGAGATCGACACTGGTTTCAAGGGCCTTGAGAATCAACTTGAAACATCGACCGATTTCTTTCTTGCTTATCTTGCTGACGGCACAAATCTCTTTGAATGTACGTGGCACTCCCTCCTGTCGACAAGCAATGTACAAACACGCAGAAGCGATTGCGTCATTCGCACGGCCCTTCAAGTTTTTGCCATCATGTACTTGTTTGAACAATGTATTAGCTCTGTCCACAATGGTTTTTGGCAAATTGATACGATCCGCCATACCGTTGATCTCGCGAAATGCATTGAGGAGAGCTCTGTCAGAACTGCTCAACTAAAAAATATACATTTTTGCTAAATTTAATATTCACACATTATATAAGGTATTAAAGAGAAAAAAATATAAATACTCACCGTACGCCGATTTTGATATTTGGCAGTACCAAAGCCATCGAAAGATGCAGCACCTGTTCCAGGTCCAATCACAGTGGATAAATCAGCGCCATTCAAAAGCGGATTCTCAGGCCCACCAACACGCGATGGATCTATTCCTGATTTTTCATTGCTAAATGTTCTCCATTCCGAACCTACATCTATCACTCTTTGAAGCAAGAAAGTAAGTGTAAGAAGAATGTAATGTTGACTGTAATTAATTTTACGCTCTTATTTGCAGCACTTTTACCTATCTCCCACAACTAATCCACATTCTGAACAAATCTGATCTCCTGCTCTATAATCTTCTATAAGTGGGGCATCTGGATGTGCATAACAACAAATCTTGTTTGTATCATGTCTGTAAAAAAACAATTTAAAAATTGGAGACTTTTAATCCATATAAATATTCTGTTTAAATACAATTACATAATCAGGAATTAGATAAACAATGTCTGATTGTGCAAATGTAAACAAATAAATAACTTCTTGAATGAGACCTCACGTCCAGTTATAAACATTAATATATTAATACGGCCTTTTAGTTTTATAAGGAAATTTAGTCTAAAGTATTATCTAGCGATTAATTTATGTTTATATTAATTAAAAACACTTGGTACAGATAAAAAAAGTCTCGTACAATTATACACGATCTTAACCTTTACTTTAGTTCAATATCAATAATATCTAAAAATCGCAACTCGTTTGACAGTAATTGTATCATCGATAAAAATGTCTCGAAAATAATATTAATAATTTTGCATAACTTACCGTGATGAACTTGCCATATTTTCGCAGAGCTTTGCATTTGCAAATACTATCCAATCTGTTCAGTATTACTCCAGTCGATGTATATAAAGCATGTGAGATTGTGCGAGTGTCGAACCAATTAAAATATAGCTCCATTCATCGCGCATGCGCATTGAACTATAGAACTAACTGGAATGAAAGCTCCTTTGTTACCATCGACATATAGGCCGATATTCATAGTCCGGTCTTAAGGTGCAATTTCATTGACGCTACTTTTTAGCGTCAATGAAATTGCACCTTTGCATTTAAGATCATCTTAAGTTCTCATTCCACCAATCAATGGCTGCATTGTAGCTATTTGATTGGTTGAATGAATTCTTAAGATGATCTTAAATATAAGACCGGATTATGAATACCGGCCTTTGTTAATCTAGTGACTTTACCCGCGAGAATGTCAAGGTTCGTTCGAACGCGTGACGCGCGTAAACATAATACACGCATGTATGTGCGCCAACAGCTCTTTTAAGAAAATACTCAGGACTGAAACAGTTTCACCAACTGGTCAATTGACGAGTTTTTTGTATCAGTGATTGGTAGAACTGTCTCATATATGAAATAGTTGAATTGAACTTTTTTGAAAAGTTTATTCGTCGTTGTCGCGATATTAACGTCCAGAATAAGTGGAATATATTCGTAAGTTATATACAATTTTATTATTAATAAATAGTTGATTGCTCTCGAAATACGATACTCGATTATACGATAGGAATCAAAATTATAAATTATTACTTTGTTGCAATCTTTACGAGCAATGATTATTCTTCTATTTCTATTTCGTTTCTATCCTAATATATATGTGTACACACACACACACACACATTTAGAATTCTAATATAATAAATAAATATTCTCTCTGATATCATTTGATCTAAATATAATTTGATTTAGAACGCGCAATAAAACGATCGAATAAAAATCGGATAATTAACATAACGGAAATATATATTTTTAAAGTTATATACAAATGTATTTATATATACAAGTATATCTTTAAAGTCACACACACACACACACACACACACACACACACACACACACACACACGTACACACGGATTAATTATTTATTAAACACACATCTTTAAAGTCACACACACACGTACACGTACACACGGATTAATAATTTATTAAACATACATCTTTAAAGTCACACACACACGTACACGTACACACGGATTAATAATTTATTAAACACACATCTTTAAAGTCACACACACACGTACACGTACACACGGATTAATAATTTATTAAACACACATCTTTAAAGTCACACACACACGTACACGTACACACGGATTAATTATTTATTAAACGATTAATATACTTCGTGAAGTTATTTCCATTTTTATTTGCAATTATGATCTTTAATAAAGATTTCTCATCATAATAAAAAAATTTTATATCGTTTATCAAAAATTTAAATTAGATTTAAAAGTATATTATTGCCTCTTTTCGATAATAATTGATTATGTCACTGTACCTATTTCGTGAATAGCTATCATTACAGAGATCGCGTAGAGTTTGACAATGCAATAAAATTAATAATAAAATTCCAATAAAATTAAATACAAATTAATTATAATAATTAAATATAAATTTGTTTATAATTAACTTTTTCTACGTTGAGAAAAGTTCTTCGTTTCTTTTGGAATATCTTAAAGATTTTTTTAATTAAATTTTACAAAATATGTAACTATTAAATTTATAGTATTTAATATTTAGAAATAAATAGATAATATTTCATTTTTATATCGATTAAGTATACGATATTATTTATTAAAAGAACTAATATATCTTTCATGGATCTTTTTGTTAAGTTAATTATTTAGATCTACGATTCGATTGTTTTACTGCATTTCAATCCGAATTATATATTTAAATGATCGAAAAATAAAACGATAATAAAATAATAAGCAATATATCTATTTTAAAAATAGTGTATATAAATAATAAATAATAAATAATTTTTATAAATTACTCACCGCATGTCTCTGGCTGCTTCAGGCTCTCTCCCTGCTTTCTGACTGTCCGATACTTTTCCAGATGTCCTTCTCTTTTGTTGTTTCATCCTTTGTTGTTTCCTCGTAGCAGTCACGTATTCACTCGTGAACAAACAATTATATTTCAGTTAATTATATTTCGGTCATATACAGAAATGGTCGCGAGACACTTTGCACGACACTCCCGATCGCAAAATAATCATACGAGATACGTATTTTTATAATATTATTATTATTTTATTATTATTGCAAGAGAGGAACACAAAAATTACAATAATTCGCTCGATTTTTAAACGAAGCCAAAATCATGCACCATTCGATTCTTACACTAATTAACTATTTCTATTTGTTGATGTATAATATATGCATAATAACGCGAATCATAAGATTAAAATATTAAAGTAATGTAAATTGATGATACAGCAATCGTTTAATTAATATGATATATATGCATGCAGTTTAGGAAAGTTTAAAACATCGGGCGAAATCGAATTTCATTCTACGCAATGTTAAAGAAATAATTATTATTCGTAAAGTTCGATAATCGGAGAATATTGCGAGAAAATTTGTAATTTTTGCCCCTTTCGCTTCAATTTTTATTTGCAATAATGAAAGATCGCGTTTCGATGAATTTATCGTCGCCACAATTGCATTTATTATAAGAGTTAATTATTTGTCATTTGTAATAGTCGAATTATTATATTTCGATCTAATCGCGATCGTACCTTTAGGAAAAGAATTCGATAATACGGAGCGGTCCGTATCGCTACTTTCTCCCGTTGGAATGTCGCCGTGCGAATGAGGGGAGGTCGTCGCGTATGTAAACAATAGCGCGCTACGTCACAAGGCCAAATGACGTCACAAGATCGAATGACGTGTTAGCTCGCTGCCGAAATATTTAACGCATACTGTGACGTATGTGAGAATTGTATTTATATACAAGTATATTTTTAAAGTCACACACACACACACACACACACACACACACACACACACACACACACACACTCTCACGTACACTGAGAAAAAAAGTTGTTAACTCGACTAAACCGTTTAACTAAATTATTTTTTTTTTAATTGAAATATCGAAATATTTAAGTTAAATAAATGTTATGTTAGATTTATAATAGTTAAATATTCCAATTAAAAAGATAATAATTTAGTTAAATGGCTTAGTTAAGTTAACAACTTTTTTTCTCAGTGTACACAATTTAATTATTTATTAAACCTCACGAGATGTATTAATCGTTTAATAATATAAGTGTATTTATATCCAAGTATATTTTTAATGTCTCACACACACACGTACATTGAGAAAAAAAAGTTTTTGTTAATTCAACTAAACCGTTTAACTAAATTATTATTTTTTAAATTAAAATATTGAAATATTTAAGTTAAATAAATGTCATGTTAGATTTATAATAGTTAAATATTCCAGTTAAAAAGATAATAATTTAGTTAAATGGTTTAGTTAAGTTAACAACTATTTTTCTTTTACAATTAGTCTTTTCTCTGTCTACTATTTGATTGTTTTATTACGCTTTTAGAAAATAAAGTTCTATAATGTAACTTTTAATTTTGTATTTCATATGAAATTATTATTTTAAACATAATAATTTTCTTTCTTTGCATTTCTATCATGAATAGACATTTCCAACCTTTACTAAAAAAACTAAAAATATCCTTCAATTTTTTCTCTCTTCGGACAATTTATTTACATTTATATATAATTCTCTTTATTCCTTTAAAAAATGAACATCGAGAACAAGGTACACGAGTATTGTAAATGTCAAAAAATGATCGCGCGAATATTATAGTTGTGAATATATAAAAATAAATGCAATATACTATGAATTTTCTACGTTATATATTGAATCGAAATTGCACAAAAGAGAAAAAGAAGAACAAGCCTATGAATAGACATTTCCATTTTTTATTAAAAAAAAAAATTAAAAATATCTCTCAATTTTTACTCTTCCTTCAGGCAAGTCTACATATATGACCAATATGATTAATTGATTCCATCTTTATATATTTATCATTATGTGCTATTAATTAAAGCCGTAGACAATATTCAGAAATCAAAGTTGCGCGCAGGAATGGCCATACGCAGAAACGAATGCGCACTGGTTCGGCCGCCATGTTGGCGCGTGACTGCTTCGTCACTGCTACGTCACTGCTACGTCAAACGCGTCATACGGCCGCCATGTTTGTGCGTGAATCGGAGTCATACGCAGTTACACGGATCGTCGTACGTCCGCATTTTTCGCATCTTTTAACCGTTTTTAAATGAATATCGCGAGTGAACGAGCGTCGAGAGTGTCGAAGGATGATCGCGCGACTTTTATAGTGTGTCGATGGAAACGCGCGACAGCGATTTTTAACGATATTCAGTGATGGCGTCATTGCGAAGATGGAGCGAAGTTGCGTCGCGTTATTCGCGCCCTTGATGATGATTATCGGATGCGAGCGAGTATCGGGAGTGCCGAATAAAGTGTCGCGCATTCGCGTTGATGATATCATGTGGATTTGTGTGCATCAAGATCGGAATAGGACGTCCCGAGGCGAGCGAACTGTCCCGAGGAGGAGCGGCCTGTGGAACAGCCGGTGAGTAGATTTGATTTATCACATTTGCGTAATAATTTGTGCTCATTCGACGCTTATACAGCATCGCGATGTCCCGAATTACATTCGGACAAATCGGCATCATAATTCGATTCGGTGCAATTCAAATAAAGTCGATCGCGTGAAGATGGTTATGCTAGAAGCGATTTCAAATTTATTTTGTACGTGCGCGCAGTGCTGCACAGCCTATCTCGTAGGGCTGCCAACTGTTAAACGATAAATTTGTTTGATCTAATCTAACCTAACCTAACCTAATCTCTCAATGTCTTTGGATATCGAATGTAAATATAAGCGTATGCTCCCTGGATTTTATCATGCTTTCAAAAATAATATTTAATTATTTTATTAGTGTATTACATTTTATTACGTAGTATATTAATCGTATTAAATGTGCAACGTACAGTTTTACACATTTTAATGAGGAGCATATAATATAATTGGTTAGGTTAGATTAAATTAAAACAAGCTGCTGTGATTCATTTAACGTAATAGGATTAATTTGACGAATGTGCAGCTATTGAAGTTACATGATATTTGTGGACACATTTTTAAAGTAATCATGAGTGTCTTATCTCATCTCGATTACATGAAATTAAAATATAAAATATTTATGTATTCCACATTAACGTTATTCATTACAAGTACTATATTACTTTTCTTATATCTCAATCATATTTCATCGATGAAGCTTTTCATATATCGTAGACAATATGATACTGTGTGTGGAATTTTACAAAGGTAATTACAAAGGCGTTTTTTTCAATAGAAATATCTGAAAAAAATGCATATGTCTTTTTTAATCTTACTCTTTCTAAATAAAAATTAGAATAATAAATTTGCAAAATAATTTGCTTTAATATATTTTTATTGCAAACATATGAAGTAAAGTGCTCAAGGTGCATCACTATGAAAACATCGATAGAATAAAAAATAGATCGCATACAAAAAAATTAAAATATTTACATTACATATTTGATATTTCTGCAAATATTTCCATTATTTTGAGAATGATTTGTTTCATGATATATTGCAATAATTAAAGTATGATTTCTGATATAATCTGCCATGAGAAAGCCAGCTTTAATTCTTTATTTTGTTCAATATTTTTAATAATATAATAATTAAATTAAAGTTCTATGAAAATATGCTTGAAATACTAAATAAAAAAGATTGTTTCTTATGTACAACCTTATACAGTTTAAGTAAACAAAAAATTATTGTTAATAATATACATATATAAATTGATAATTAAACAAAACAATTAATTAATTAATCAACACAATCCACGTTTTTTTTTAGCTTTATGTCTAACATATATATATATATGTATATATATTTTTATAAGTAAAAAATGTTTCTTTCTAATATAAATTAAATAAAAAGTATATGCCTTTAAATACTTTATATACATACCTGTTGCAATAAACCAATAAAGAATGCTTTTACATTCCTCCTTGTACTTTGGCATACATATCCTTTATCAATTATCTCGCAACACGCTTTTATGGCATGATGACAAACAAGCCCATTATCCTTCATGAATTTTCTTTACAAATATTTTTATATTCTCAAACTGTGTAAAGAAATCATGTAACACTGAAAAATACAAAGTGATATTAAAAGAGAAGAAATAAATTTTATATTATATAGTATTGACAATTATTTTCTTACCAGTAATGTATATTCCTTATATGTAGGAATATACATTAGTTTTTGACCAATCCTATTTTTAACCGTCTTTAGGGATGCTTTGGCTTTTGATAACGCAAATCCAGCTAATCCATTTCCATTTCCAGTTACTATAAATGAACTGATTCTAGTCTTACGTGCTAAATTACTGGTCATACAAATTATCATTTTGTTTTCCAAAATCCAGGTTTCAAAACTTTCAAATGTATCTGCAGAAAACAAAGATATTAATTATATAAGATTCTAATATTTAGAAACATCAAAAAAAAAATTGAAAATAGACATCGTATCACATGATTTTTGTATGTGTATGATTTAACCATTATAATCCAATAATAGCATAAATATTAACCTTTTCCAATAAGATCTGATTCAATGCTTCTGCCATCCATTGTAACACTCATCCAACCACATTCCAATGGCGATAATTTTATTTCCATTGATCTGGTCTGACTTTGTGGTAATTCCATAAGTTTTTGCTTTCTTTCAAGATTTACAAACAGTTTTTGCTGTTGAATTAATTTTTTTCCTCTAAACACAGGAGTGTTTAGACCAGGAAATTGTATCGGAATTTTTCCCATGTCAATAATTTGCTCCTTATTTAGGTCTCTCTTTTCACTACTCTTCTTGCTCTGCCTCTGTGTCTTCCTGCATTACTGATACTTGTCATACTCTTTCATAATTCATCTTCAGGTCCTATAGAACAAAAGCACAGTGAAATACAAACTATTTTCTACTGTAAATATAAACTATTATCAAAATGCTATATCCATGAAAGTTCTACTTACTATTCGCAAAGAACATAGAGTTTCT